TCTTTCGCGCACCAGTGCAGTTAAGAACCTATTCCCTGTCCAATTGGTGGAAAATTGACAATTTCTGACTATACTATCCGCTTCTGAATTACACCCAAGCTCCCATCGTACATCGCGAACGTCTGAGTTGTCTCGCATGCTCGTGATGATTCAGGCTGCGGTCCCGCACGATGTGGACTGGCCATCAAACTGCTGGCTTATTGGAGGAGGGTTCAGATTGACAGACCGGAGTTCTGCCGCTGAGACTGCCACTAGTTTATTTCTTCATGCTCTGTGCAACCTTCTGGTGGTGTATTTGGCAGCCCATATTCCCGCATCACTCTCATGCTCATGTCGCTCTTGTTTCGACTCCGGGAAAACTAGTGCCTGACCAGGGCATGGCTAGCGTTTTAGTGTAGCTTTTAGTCAGGGCAACTTTCGAAGAGCGACTGGCATAAGTAACCTTTCTAGTGATCACTTAGGCACTCGGCTCATGCCAGGAAGTATGCTGAGCAACTGCTCATAAGATATTGTCTCTGGCATTGTCTATATCGTTATATGTTTTTCATCTAGCCGTAGCGACATTCATCTTCGCCTCCTTTGATCTCTTCTCCTCCCGTTCGCTAAAGCGATCGCCAAAGAGCCCGATATGAGGGCGCATCAGAATCGTATATTTGACAAATTCCTCCATGCAATCCACCAGGCGATCTCTGTTACCACTAGGCATGAGTCGTTGATCTTCTGGTTGACCTTCATCCGGAAATTGTGTATATGCTCTGGGGATCGAGGATTGATTCGGGATGGTAAACATGCGCATCCACCGACCAAGGATCCGCAGAGAGTTGACGGCATTGAATGATTGAGACCCACCACAAACCTGGGCAATGGCAAGCGTTCGGCCCTGGGTGGGACGAACGCTTCCTGTAGTCAAAGGAATCCAATCAATCTGGTTTTTGAAAACAGCGGTCTATGATTGTGGAAGATTGAGTAATTAGTTGTTGCGCCTAGTGATTGAAGAATTATGAAGAGAGGCAACTCACCAGATTGCCATGTTGTTCAGGCGAGACCCAGACATGGCCATCACTCCAACGACTGAGTTCTCGGAGTTCCTGTACTTTCGGGTGGCTTGTATCGCTATCATTTTTAACAGGAAGACCTTCAGGGTCAAAAACGCGTACATCACAGCCGAGTCGGAACAGGATACGGGAGGCTTCAAATGCCACGAGCCGTGAATATGACCTTCTCCGAAGACTGCCATAAAGCACCAGAACTTTCAGCCTCTCATTTGTATCCCGTATGCTATGCTCGGCCATGTCTAGAACCGTGGCCAGGTCTAAGTTGTTGACCCAGTCCTCAGTGGCATTGCTGCTAAGAAGGAATGGTCGGTACTTCTGGCGGATATCTGTGTCGTCTTCATCCAGAGACAATGCTAAGGATCGATAGAAGGCATCTGTTCGGTGGGTATCAGAAACCACTTGCTGAGGGACAGCGGAAAACATCCTTTTTGAATATATAGGCAGCAACAGAAAGCGTCTCGAAGAAGTTGCCGGCCTAAATATCGGGGACAATCTTTGGATAGAATAATAAAGCATAGAGTATTCGATAGTTGGCGAAGGTAAACGAGACCAAAAACAGACAGTCAAAAAAAATTTCGACTTTTAGATAGAGTGTATGAAGGGAGTATGTCACCAGTGAGTATTGATTGGACAGGGTATGAGCAATGTACCAAGTGGCGGCGGACCATATAATGTTATTTTACGCTACTGGATTGGTTGAGGACTGGTTGTGATTAATAAGGATGACTAAACGTAAATTCCCACCGTGTTCGTTTTAACGTCAGCCATCTCTTCGGACGATACGAATCCAACCAAACCTTCCCGCAGCCTCGCAGTGGGTATTATACCATTCCATAGCACGAAAATGGAGGTCAATAGCACCAGAAATTTGAAGGATGATCATGTGACAGCAGCTGCTCGAATTCGCGAAAATCAGCGACGTTCTCGCACACGACGTAAGGAGTACGTCCAGCGCCTTGAGCAACGATTATGGTCTTTCGAAAGGCTTGGCATAGCGGCAACACAAGAGGTTCAAAAAGCGGGAAGAAAAGTCGCACGAGAGAATGAACTACTCCGATCCCTGCTACTACTCCATGGTGTCACGGAAAAATCAGTTGAAGAATACTTGGAGTCGCGAGGACAACCAACAAGCTCTACTCTATCTCAGTGCATGTCACTAGCGTCTCTAGCACCAGCAAAGCCGCACCCGCCGACTGCCCCAAACCAACGTACTAGCAGTTATCATCATTCATGGACGACATCGTCACATTGGCAATCGGACAACCCGCCACATCAGCCTCGAGCTATTGGGAGTAGAAATCCACCACCAAAGTCAGATGCGAAGACCAACATGGATATCCTTCCTTATCAAGAATTCAATACAAACCGAGCAGCCAGGCTCAATCCCGTCACAACCGAAAGTAACTCTGAAACGCATGAAGTTGCTAGTATTCAAGATACGTGTCAATCCATGTCATGCGTGACTGCAGCAAGAATTATCGAAAATATGCAGAATCATTCGGAATATCGTGACGTTCGATCCGAGCTTGGATGCACCTCCGAATCTACGTGTATGGTAAAGAATATGTCGATTTTTGCCATTTTGGACAAATAACAGGCATTTGCTTGAAGATTTCGGTGGGCATATTTCTTGAATGCTTTGACCTCTCACAAATCTGGTGTCTTAAGAGTTGTCCTCAAGCTTGCGGCTCACATTTCACTAGAAGCGAGAGCTTAGAGGAACGGCATTTTCCAGACAGAGACGGTACGGTACTATTGTCGAAACTAAGGGTCACGTGAGCCAGAAATAGAATTAAGCATTAGATAGGTAGCGAGCTCTCGTACCGAGTCGTCCTTTTCCACCATAAATTGACATATTACTGTTTCCTTTCCTATTGTCAAGAACTATGTCCAAGCTCAAGTCCGCTCTACATTATTACTTTGCTACGTCATACAATACACGCTCTCGCTTAAAATGTATCCTCAGCATTAGACAGCCCTTGTTTCATGATATGAGAAAGGATACATCATGCGTTATCCTGGTTACCTCTCTTGTCTTAACCCTAGGCTGTTAGTCATATATTTGGAACTCCTGGCATGGTGATACTCGGCATGAGTAAGAAGACGCATGTTCCAGGATTGCTGATCCTTCCCTTCATTAATACCATATTATGTACAACCTATTATGTACAACAAAAATAATAATATATTCGGATGATTTATACTTTGAAGCTGAGGTTGGCATTGAATCTCATTCTAATGACTTGATATAGTAATGAATAGTATAATTCGAGGCCTATAAAGTTACGTTAAGTCTTTGATTTGGTTTGCTTCTTCCGATTTCGACTTTGGTTGTGGAACAGGATTCGAGCCTCAAAACGTTGACTCGCGGGATGTCAGGTGACCCTGGCCTACTTTACTTTCTTGCGCCATTGCCCCGCCTGCCCTTATATACGCCGCTTCCTCTCTCCACTTGTTGGGTTTGGCCTTTAAAACTACATATCTTCTGATCACATCTAGGTCTTCTATTTACTCATATCGCTTTTGAGTGCAGAGAAACGGAGCGCAGAGAAACGGAGCAAGGAGTGACTCCGCATCAATCCCCATGGCTCGACAGAAGAAGACAAAGGTCCGTCGCCGCCAGCATTATCTTCCGCGGTTTATCTCTTACCGGAATTATTTTAATAGATCGAAGATCTGGCTCGCATCCGCAACAACCAGCGGAATTGTCGAGAACGCAGGCGAGGGTACATTGCAGAGCTCGAGCAGAAAGTGAAATACTATGAAAAAGAGAGGGCTCAATGCTGTACAAGGCTTCAAGATAAAGCACAAAACCTTCTTCGCGAGAACGAAGTCCTGAAAACGTTATTTGATACATCAATCGTCAGTGAGGACGACCGAGACCAGAGTCTCATAGACCGGTTAATACGTCCTGATGCGGATCGGGAACATATTTCCACCCGAACGCCAACACCTTATGCCTTCAATTTCGAGTATAGTGAACCTCAGGAGCAGGTAAATGAATATTTCCATTCCCTCGCCCCTTACCTATGTCCAGGCTCTCCACTGCAAGACAATACTGAACTTGCTGACTGCAACAGTCTCTGGGTATAGAAGCATCACATACGTTCACCGATATTGCCAATGGAGCTCCGCTGCTTGCCCACTCAAATGGTACTGAGTTGGACCAAGTCTCCGCACCTAGTCAAGCCTTTCCCAGCTTTGCTGCGCGTATACACGACTCGAGAGTCAATGCACCAACGTATTTTCCGACTTTGTCGTCGTTTTACGATCCTCTAGATACTGCAGGATCTGAAACAATGATCTGCGATAGGCTTCAACCAGCATATTCTCTGACACTCTGGCCTATGTTAACGGACGAAACGGCAAGAGAGGATAGATCTATGCTCTGTTCTGTGGCCTACAGGCTAATCTTGCAATTCAACAAGAGACAATACGATGAAATGGAGATCGATATCAGGATTCGTTGCGGTTTCAGACTGGGTCGTACACAATCGGAAGACTGTAGGGTTGATATCGGGGTTCTGTTTGCTGTTCTCGCCGAGATCTCTTTTTAATACACAAACAAATATTTAGTCCAAATTTCATTTTAGTCTGATAGAGATATTATAAATCCCTTGTAACGCGAAGCGCTGGGCATAATAGGCCTGTCATTCTTCCTTGTCCACGATTCAGCATAAGCAAAGTCCATAAATCGGATACGACACAAATTGATAACATGTAGCATAAAAATTAAAACAATTGATTCGCCCTATACAAGGCTACCTAACTACTAGCACTGCACCAGCTATGTTGAATAGTTCCATCTGCGTGAAACAGAAGGCTTGCAGGGCTAAAATTCGATTTAGAAAACGTTCAGTCATGAGTGTTGGGCTTTACGGCAAATATCTTGAAAGAGCCTATTTAACGATATCCATGTGGAGAGTTGTTAATAATGCCTCGATACTATGCTTCTTTGTAGATCCACTCACCAGTCCAAATGTTGAAATCCATATCCGGCAGATTGTATAACTGCCTGCTGGTACTGCGGTTCATCGGATCACAGCATGAGCCCGTAGGGGGTGGCCCATCGGTTCTCTCACTCTTCCACATTTCCTTATAAACATTGAGGTCGGCATTAGTATTCAGAATCACTGCATCTATGATATACATGTTAGGATAAAATCGAATGAGGAAGACCCCGAGAAATGTAGATACCTTGGAACCCCGCTTCTTTCAGATATCTTTCATAATCGGCGACCTGGCTAGCACCGGCTATACAGCCAACATATAAGGAGAGATCCTTCTTGATCTCCATCGGAAGCTCTCGCTTTGCCAGGATGTCGCTAATGGCAACTCTACCTCCCGGCTTCAGTAGACGGAACATTTCCTGAAAAACTAGGGGCTTTTCGATTTCCGGCACTAGGTTTACCACGCAATTACTGATGATACAATCAGCGGTGGACGATGGTAACGGTATGGAAGTAATGAACGCTTCGATGAAGGATGCATTGTTGGCACCGGCGTTCTTTGCGTTCCGACGTGAAAGTTCCAGCATTTCCTGCCATTTAAGTAAGAATTATTAAAGTCAGATAGGCAGGAGACGATGTGCGTACCTTGGTCATATCAATACCAATGGCCTTTCCTTCAGCTCCAACCTTTTTTGCCGCTAGCAAGACGTCAATGCCGCCACCACTACCCAAATCAATCACAGTCTCGCCCTATTTATAGATATTAAAATCGACGCTCATATGCGACAGGGATAATACCTACCACAGCTATGTTTGCCGTCGCCAATGGATTCCCACAGCTGACACCTAGATTCGCATTCTCTGGGATAGAACGCAGATCCTCTAGATCATACCCAAACGCACTTGCGACTTTGCGTTCATGATCACTTTGGCTATAAGGGTCGGTCTGCCTCGCAACTTCAGCGTAGCGGTCTTGCACACCACGATAGGTATCATTCGAATCCATTCCGTTGAACTTTGCGATTCTGGACCCGGAGGCAAAGGGGAATGCCGGTTAAGTGGAGACTATACGAATGCTTCGTCCTAAGGACATAATGTGAAGGGATCCAGCCTAATTATATACTACACGTGTTATCTGAGGTCTATTTAGCGATGCCACATCTATAACGTCGTCGATGTGGCGTAAGGCAGCCCACAGTTTCCACTGATTGGCTGATTGATAATTTCTGGTATGTCACTGTTTGTCAATGGTATGTCACCGCCAAGCCTATTTGTCATGGACCGGTCACCCAGCCGCCCCCAAAATGCTAAAGGAACAGACGTATGGATGATATCTACATAAATGGTAACTGCGAAAATAACCCAGTAAGCTGATAATCTGTTAAACTAATCAAAGTCCTGTGATAGACTACCAGCGCTTAGAACCTAGGAATTGATAACCCAGGCTAATGCGCAACACCGAAGCAGCTTCGATTCATCAGTTGCAACGAATGCAGACGGAAACGCCACTTGCGCGTCTCTAGAATAATATGAATTATAAATTAGTCCATATCTCCCCGATTGTCTCATAAAGTGTATCAAGTCTTGTTCATGCAATATTAGCCAGTATTCATTATTAGTAGTATTACCCATAGTAGATGCATGCCTTCAGGCTCTAGCTTCTTCACCATAGATCCTTGAAATCGCAAAGGAAGGTACTAATAACAAATGAAGAAAAGAGATCCCAAAAGTTTAATTGAGCTGCCAGGCGGGAGATTTTCTTTCCTTTTCGCTTCAGTCCTTCCAGCCAACTCGTTTGGCTATGAATTTGACGACATAGACAAGGCCAAGCAGTACCGGGACCTCGATCAGTGGCCCGACAGTAGAGGCAAGCGCTTGGTTGCTGTTGGCACCAAATGTTGCGACAGCCACAGCAATCGCAAGCTCGAAATTGTTGCTGGCGGCGGTGAAACTTTGTGTGGCAGCTAACTTGTAACCAAACCCGAGCTTGTAGGTCACAAGAAGGGTCACGAAGAAGACAATGATAAAATAAACTATAAGCGGAGCGGCAACGCGGACCACTGATACAATTTGATGAACCACCTGCCGGCCCTGGGATGCAAATAACACCAGGATCGTGAAGAGGAGCCCAAGAAGCGACCACGGGCCAGCCCACTTTAGGAAAACCTGGTCGTACCAACGTGGGCTGGTGAACTTTCGGAGGGCAAAGCGAGTAATGATTGCAGCACCAAGAGGGATGCCAAGGAAAACTGCCACGCTTGTGGCAGCGGCCGAGTAAGATAGTGTTACTTGACTACCAGAATGACTGATGATCTGGATAAAGAAAAGGGCCAAGGGTGCAAAGAGCACCATTTGCAGTAGTGAGTTAACCGCAACGAGGATAGCGCAGTATTCACTATCGCCACCAGCGAGACCAGTCCATATAAGAACCTATCAGCAATAAGAATTAGTCCAGTGTGCACATCGTAGAGAAAAAGTAACGTACCATAGCAATGCATCTGGCCAGTCCAACTAAAATCAAACCTTCTCGAAGCTCCGGTTCGTCTGGTAGAAAAGCCCATGCCAGTGCGAGCTAGGGAAGAATATTGTTAGCAAGTTTCGCCGCGACAAAGTCGGAAAAGGCCTCACCATCAAAAAAGGCGCAATAATCCAGTTAACAAAGACACTGAATGCAATCTGGATCCAAATACCACGCTCTCGGAAGACGTGGTGTAAAGACTCGTATCGCACTTTACACAAAATAGGATACATCATGACCAGGAGACCGATCGCTTGCAACGGTTAGTTAAAGACCTGTACTACCAAGAAAGAAGTAGATACCTATTGGAACAGACACCCCAACGAATTTTCCCTTCTGGAGGGCCGGTCCCGTACTTTCCACAAAATTTCCCAAGATGATTCCGATGGCCATGGCAAGGAAGATCCATACGGCCAGAAAACGATCTAGCCAGCCGAGCCCTTTAAAGGCTGATTGCTTGGTCGTAGTCTGCCCAGATTCGTTTGTCTTTTGTTTTTCAACATCCCCGGCCGTGGGATTTGTTGATTGCTTAATAGCTGTTGTTTCGGTTTCGTGGGGTTGCGGTTCAGCCTGCATAGGCATGTTTACCTGAGGAATGCTTGTAGCCATCGCTAGCATCAGCAGACTAAGTGCGTAAGGTGCTTCTGAGGATAGCTTCTGTTGAATTGATGAAGTTGAGGATATTCAATAGTTAGATAATAATTGCTCGGAAATCTGTATCAACGGAGCAGAGCAGACTTATATATGAAGAACCCGGAGTTTCTTCTTAGAAAGGGAATGTACGGTTAGCACTTGATAGAGTTAGAGGGGTGATTCGTGATAGCCAATCATATCGGGCGGGTGACAGTCTCTTCACAATTGGCCAATAAAAATCGAGGAGTGACATAGAGATGAGCTGGGCAAGTGATTTGTCATGATGGAAAAAGCTGAATTCTTCCAGAAAATCCTCGACCAATTAAAGGGTCTGAGTGACATACAGGCTGCTATGAAGAGGGAAGTATAGAACTGACGATGCAAAGCCGTTTTCAAATGTCAGTCCCTAAGTAGCTATTAATAGAGTTATATTACTAGCTGTCGGTGCAAATTTCTTCGTGGTGACTGTCTAAGATAATATTTCAAATGAGCAGACAGTATGTACTACAGCCATCCATGTAAGCTCTGTCCTGAATGCGATTTCGGCAAGAACGGCGCGGACGACTCACAAATCGGGCCTGGTCGAACGCTATTGACTTATAGGACGAGAAGTCTTCATAAAAGATTGTTCTAGATCGATGCGTTATTAATTCTCCCTTTTCCCGCCAACAGATGCTATATAAGATCCCAACCACAGCCACTTTGTTCCTACCGCTTGTCCTAAAACAGAGATATCGCCATATTCACTTTTCTTTCGTTCTTGATATCACTTGACGGCACCCTCTATTCATACCCACCAGTCCTGCCATCGAGATAATCGTATCGCTTATATTCAACTAGCTACACACTCCGGCTACTCAATCGACAACTCGAAAAACACGCCCATCATGTCTAATAAGCCCAGTGTCTTATTTGTCTGCGTTCACAACGCTGGTCGCTCGCAAATGGCCGCCGGTTTCCTCAGTCATCTCGCAGGTGACAACATTGAAGTACGCTCCGCCGGATCTGCCCCAGCCGACTCTATCAATCCCGCTGTCGTCGAAGCCATGCGTGAAGAAGGGATCGACCTTAGCAACCAAAACCCTAAGATCCTAACTGCCGATGCGGTACAAGCCAGCGACGTTGTCATTACCATGGGTTGTGGGGACGTTTGCCCCTTCTTCCCGGGAAAGCGCTATCTCGATTGGCAGCTTGACGACCCTGCCGGGCAAGGCTTACAACCTGTGCGAACTATCCGTGACGAGATCCGTCAGCGTGTTGAGAGACTTATCACTGAGCTGCGGACCCACAGTCCACCAATTTGAGCATGCTGTATACAACAGAGTAAGGTGGTGATATGGCAGTTTTGATGTACCGAGGATGGTGAATGGTCGCGTGGCTGGCTCTTTTTTGTATTACGTATGACTTACCTTTCTGGAGGCTATGGTATCACTTCTAGCACATCAACTTTTGCCTTTCAATGTATCGAATTGAGCTACAGAAACCCGTGTCGCTGAAATGCCGAGGCGTGCCGTGGCCTAGTGAGACTGTACGTTACTCGTATAATGAGACAAAGAGAGCAGTGTTACTTTATCTAGATCATCTTATAATCCAGTTAGATAAACAGGTTGTGTCTTAGGATAGGAGCAAGCGCAAGACCGGCGTATGCATTAGAGAAACAAGTGTTAGAAAAGTACAAACAGTGAGATCTAGGTATGGCTGAATATCGACTTTCTGGGTCAGTTTTCCGTGTTAAGCACAAATGCAGCTCAGCTGGAAGCTGGTTGAGTCCGGTTCTTATTTGCGCTTTTGAGCGGTTATCCATCACGCCAGCAAAACGATTCGCACGTATTTGCTTCAGTGAGAGCATGAGCTGTCTAGGTAAAACAGGTATGAAAGGCAGAGCCAAATAATACGTTCTTCCAGTATTTCACGATACAAGGTACAGAAACCAGGAAAAATTTTGACTATAGCAGATATGGCGTAGAGTATCACGGGATTAAGGCTACAGTAGGTGGTGACAATGGTACTAGCGACGATGGAGATGGAAGGGGGAGGGTGTAAAAACATATAGCGAGAATATCTAGCGGGGGGCGCGATATTATTCGTTCTTTACCCTTTACTGAGATACGTAATACCGCAGGCCTAGATTGCGCTGCTGAGCGTAGGTCCTGATCGACTGAGACGCACCGATTAGTCGGTTCTAACCGTTCTGGAAAAAGGCCTATTTATCGTACCATGGAAGTAAATACATGCATTCTTGTAAAGGAAATTAGAAATATGGGACAAAAGATAAGAAGTAATTTCATGAAGTTGTCACTGGCTGGATTTCTTTGCTTTTTTTTTTTTTTTTTTTTTTTTGTCTGGAACGGAACGCATCTAAGATACCCTGAAAAAGCAAAGGGAGCCCCAACAGCAGACCACTAGTTAGTAGATTCGAGAAAGCCTCTTTTAGCATTTCCAGGTGACGAATGCAAATGGTATTGTTCTCGGTGAGCAGCTGCGCGAACGATAGGATCGAATGGCATGATGTGCTTGGTGGCTTTGACGGAGACTCGCCACGAGATGCACGGCTCCGTCGCATTGTCACCATGGAATGCCTCCCAGAAAAGGCACACGTTTGCGTTACCGCCTGGTTCAGATACCTGCATCTGATTCAGCGCCCCAGTGACCTGAGAATAGTCAAGCCACAGATTCTCAGCGGGACCAGAGATACCGTGGGTGACATTGAAATCCTCCGACAAACGGATGGTGCCAGCAAATATACCTAGGAAGTCTCCCTCGCATATCGGCACAATAGAAGAGACGAATAGAGTCTCGTCGTCCTTGGGCAGCAGAGTGATGAATGCGGACTTGTCTGACCCACCTTCGTATACCGATTCATCACCGTGTGGTATGCCAAGAATATCAGTCGAGATAGACTGTGAGCTGCGTTGCCTGAATATTTCTTCTTCAGCGTTGACGGCCCACTCGTTTGAAGCATTATTCCACGAGGGCTCTGGCACTTTCAGTCGTTCTAGCACTTGAAGATTGCTGAGGTAGCTAAGACGCTTCGAGTCTCCTGTTTTCAATTTGGTAATCCGCATTTCCAATTGTTCGATATGAGATCGATACTCGTTTTCCCATCTCAAAACTTTATCCACGAGTGGAGTTTCTGATGTCTTGGAATAGCCCCTGCAGAAACTGTCGAATTCTTTGGTACGGTAGAGGAGAATTTTGTCAACGCCAGCCTCACGCATATCGAATATGTTTTTCCAGAAAATGCGGTACTGTCGCTGGTTTTCCGCACCCACGCTATACCCAGTGTCCTCCATGAATTTCTTTGTGGCAGCTTTTTCCGCCATGGTGAATCCATCAGCCGGGCCCTTGGCGGGTGGCAGCGTGGCAGGGTCGATCAGCGCCGCGCACTTGAGAATGATTGGCCAGAAGATAGTTTCGTTGTATCTTGTCTGTATTGCTCTGCCCGTAGTTAAAGCAGTGTCTCTTCGAATGGCGTGAATCGCCTGCTCATAATTGTATCCAGAGACATCTTTGACATGCTCCCGCATCCTCTCGAGCCTAGTTGTTGCCAGGGTCATGCAGTCGCGCTGCCCATATTGTGCGATATCAGAGTTGCATTTGACACATTGCATCAATATTGTTGTTATGACCTTCATCTCGAAGGCTGAGTCTAGGTGTAATGGCAAAGAGCTGTCACGGGGATTCGGCACACACGAAGACTCGGGGTCGTCGACTTCGGACTAGACATGAACCATGTATCCGTTAGACTTGCTTCAATCTGGAGGACAAAATAACATACCGTTGTTTGTACTTCTGGCGAAATTGATCCGTCGGGAGCCTTATCTTTGGCTGTTCCAGTTCCATCAGCTACTGACGCTCCGGGAGGTTGATCTATCAACTCCGACTTGTCGCTTCTTTTCCTCTTCTTTTTCTTCTTCTTTTCCGTGCTGGCCATATCGCTGTAGGTTGTTGGACCGTCCTTTCCTGTCTGTTTCATAAGTCGATAGGACCCGCGAGTTTCATGTGGTGGAGTCGGAGGGGTTTCTATAGTCGCTTCCTTAGCCTGAGAAATAGGCTCGGTCGCACCTCCAGCAATCACGAGTCGAGCTTTGTAAACTAAAGCGACCGTTAATGATCCATTTTCTCAGACGTTGGCGGGGGCTAACTCACCATGATCGGCAGCGTGCGCGATAACCAGATTAAGGTGCTCCTCACTGTCCTCGATTCCGCAAATTGTGAATAGCTCTCGTGTCTTCTGGGCTGTCAGGCCCAAAATGGCTTTATCCATGGCGGGCGATGATGATGGCAAAAGACTAAGACTGCGTCTTGTCAATGAAGACAGAAACCCTTCTGGAACGTTCGGGGCAACGGTTGCCCTCTGGCTTGGGGGGAGGGAAGAATGAGCCAATCAAATCAACCACAGGCGAGGCTCACAAAAATAGCATCAACCAGGCCAGCAAGACTTGACCGGGATTGAACCCCTCTTTTGTTGTGTCTGTGTCGGCCATTGCATATCAAAAACAAATCAAACCATACAACTATGTAAATGGTTCTTTCCGTAACCTTCACCGTCAGGATAGGTGCAACGCCCATCTGGTATATGACTTACGCGCAAGGACAGGACAGAGCTTTAGGGAATATTGGTATCTGCCCCTGAATTTTCGAATCATATCCCCAGGCGTCTCCCCGTATAGTTTATTCCGAAAATGGGACTGTTCACGATGCGCCAACACACTGACCGCAGGAATGAACGGCCGGATGACATAAATTGAAGCCGATGCATGGTTGCACGATATTCCAGACTGAACAATATCCCAATCATGTGCGATGTCGGTCGGATGTGGTGAGGAGTCGGTTTTTCGTAGAAATCGAGGCTCGACTCAAGACGTTGAGGTGAACTTTTCGGGTGTGTTCAGGTCACGGGTGAGCGTCCATGAATATGAGTAACTCTGATGAATTCGTGGTTGCATCCGAGTCAACTGTTGAACAGTTGAACCGGAAATGGTAAAGGTTGGTTATGTTGATCATTTAAAAGTGGTGATGAAAAGCAATAAACGGATGGCAGGTGAGAGACGCCGCCTCCTGGACAAGAGTATCGGTGGTCAATTACTGCCATTGGCCGAATACACCCACGCTTCCTGGGCCCCGCACACATCACGTGTATCTCCGAAACCTTGAGAGTCACGCTCCAAGTTTAACTGCGTGAAATCGTTTAGGCCTCTGTGGTCGGTCGATTTTATGCCACGTATCCAAGGACAGCTATTTAGTTAACTAAAAAAAATTGCTTTCCACGATAACTGCACCGCAGAATTAATGAGGGTACAGTAATAGCGTGCAAGGCGCTGTAAACGAGTGTTACTACAAAACGGTCGAAAAGAATAACAAAGCGATTAATTCATTTTCTTTTAAACGCAGTGAAAGAAATAGGGAGTTTATTGAGTATGATTGGCTAGGGGACACTCTCCACTATTAACCACGCGAATTTCCTAATACCCAGGCGCCCCCAAGTCTGTTGCAAGAATTATTTCATCCTGTCTACCTAAAAGAATCCTCCTGTGTCCACTTTATGCCAGATTTTCCAGGCATCAAGCCCAAGATATTCTTGTACCTTGTTCGTTGGCTCAGCTACCAAGTTCATTTGTGACGGAAAATCCAGAAATAGAAACGCTAATTTCTCCATACGATGTATTTCTCTATATTATTTCGGGAGTGAGACTCACGTTCCTGGGATCATATCGGGCCCTAGGATCCATAGCATAGTTCCTAGGCACGCTCTTGGTCGCTCCTAGGAATCAGACTTATCGTTCCTAGAGGACCTACAGTTCCCGGGAGTTGGGTGGTATAGCTCTGGGGAAAGAGGATAGCTTATGATATAATACTGTATCTACAATGTATTTTTTTGACTCGTCTTTTGGTACTGCTCGTTCAGTTATATGGTATACAATCTATTTTGATACAGTATGGGCAAAAGAGCGTCTAAAACCCACCTTTAACTTGAATGTCCATTGGACATAGCATGACAGCCTCAATAGACGTTAGAACCGGTGGTGAAGGTCTAATGAGCCACCTGGCTATTAAAGCCTCTCATAGATCGATTCAAGGCCATCGAGGTCCAATGTAAGGAGTTCAGCATCCAAAGTTGCCTGTGATCAGATATCACATGTCCGATAACAGTAAGCTGGAGATGACCGCCTACTGTTCCAGAGCTTATGCCAAATGGCCATGGTTGAAAGGCGGTGGCGTAAGAGACAGACGCTGAGATCTAATGATCACGAGCACCGGTCGCCAGTTGATTGCCAAAGGGCCGAGCTGGCCCATGAGCCGGAGACTATGGGCCAGCTCGGCCCTTTGGCAATCAACTGGCGACCGGGCGGGCTTACTAACCGAGTGGGCTAAGAAGCATGCCGCTACAGTGCTCATTCGATCAAGATCCGGATCTTGAGGGCCGAACATTGTCCCGTTATCTTTTGATTCGTGAGATTATCATCGTGGACGAAAATCGTAGTGTTTCTTATGATACCACCAGTCTGACGGGGGCTTGGTTCATGGGAGACCTTTAGAGTTGCTGAAGGATTGTGACATTTCTTACGACAGCGATGGCCGCATGTTCTTGCGGTTCGCAAGAGAGTCAGAGCTCGCGGAAACCGTGGCTTTTCCTATGATATAGATAATCGGATGATCGTTCGGCTCGTGAGAGACTAAAGCGCGCGGAAACCGTGGTGTTCCCTAGGATCTACCTTGTCCAACGATATGTAGGCTCCCCCGAACGGTCTTGGATTATAAGAAAATCAGAGTTCGCGGAAACCGTAGCTTTTCCTACGATAAAGAGAATCAGACGATCTTTTAGTTCATGAGACACGAAGGGGCGCGTCAACCGCCTAATTAATTGGTTCATTATTGTGCGGCCCATGCAATGGCCGGGTTTTATAGAATCACCCAAACCACGACGAATACCATGACCTTTCCGCAACCACTGTACGGTACTCCGTAGTGGTATTGACCCTTCCGTATAGCGAGATGCTGCACTGGAAGGCGAAAGTTGCTAGCGCTAGCAATCCGGAGGCTAGGCCTATTGGTTCAGCCATGACTTTGTTCACACGTGTATGAGTGGTGTATTGAGTGGGAGATTGGTGGGGGGGAAACAGCCCGTTCCGAGAATAAGAGCTTTTATAGTCAGCCAAGACCACTTCCTGATGTCTCAGATGGGGGCAATATAAATCACCAACAAGGGCCAGACCGCAAGCAATGATGGTTCACTGGCCGCTACGCCGATGATCGATGAATTGTCACGAGGTCGGCTGGGGTGGGGGCCGGCGGCTAGTTGTACGATTACTAAGCCTCACAGCGTCTCACGTAAAATTCCAGACAACTCCCTTTGCGCCAAGTCGCTATAATTAGCCTCTTGTACGAACCCTCCATACTCGTGCTGAATGGACCTAATTTCGGACAGGCATCAAAGCGCCTGTTATTCGCGTGCGCGTCTCCGAGGCGCGTCTCTGTCGAACAAATCATAACCTATACAGTTGTTATGCGGCAGTCTCCGGAGTGTGAGCTCTTTTTGACTTCGTCACACGGCAGAGGCGATGCAAGTAAATCACGTCACATCAAGTCACGTGAAATAGGTAGCTGATTTTAGGTCGACAACGCACGCCAATGACCGGTCCACGATACGCGCCCGCTATCATCCAGCTGGAAAGCATGCGGGGCCGCGCGAAAATAGTTGCGCCTACCCTTGATTTTCGTTTTTCTTACACCTCGCGCTAACTCGTCTATATATTGATCACTACCTGCTCATCGTATCGAACAATACGCGCCCCTTCCTTTTCAAATGGCCGAAGTAATTGGTATCAGCTCTGGCCTCGCTGGCTTGTTGGCATTAGCCCTCGAATCGAGTCGCACCCTGTTCAGCACGGTTCAGAGTCTTCGCAACCGGGAAAAGGCGATTAGAGGTCTTCGAGAAGCACTCCGAGATCTCGAGGAGGTGCTGAAAATACTTCAGGACTCGATCAGCACCTCACCGTTTCTGAACAGCGGAATAATTGAACGACCTCTTGATCGATGTTGCAAAGCATGCACCGATTTCAATAAACTGATTATGCAGTGCTCTGAACACTCAACAGACAATCATTCCAGCATCCGTGATTGGGCCAAATTGCGCTACATGGGCGAAGACGTCACTGGCTTTCAAAACATGCTATCTGGCTACAAATCTACAATCACGATCGCCCTTGCCTATTCTAATGTGTACGTTCGTTTACAAGTTTATTTAATTTCTTTGCGAAAATTTCTGACCTCTCATAGCCATCTCACCAGAACGACGCAAAGTGTCATGCACGAATACAAGGAATTAATTGAGAATACCAAGTGCGACCTCCAGCTTCATTTGCAGTCCATTGAGGACAGGGTGAAGTTATTATCTTCCGCAAGGCAAGCCGATGTGGGATTGGATTCCATTGACGTTCAGAGTATGAAAGAAGAATTAGAAAGCACACAGCACGGCCTGGAGATTTGCGCGCAATTTTCCTCATACATAGAGGAGACAAGGTCCATCTCTCTGCAAAAAATGACTCAGGCTTCTGGAACGTCTGAACGAAGATCATCGTCTCCAGAATACAACATGCCTTGGCTGATTCTTGCTGAAGCCTTGAGCTCTGCGGAAAGAGAAATCGTCAGTTCGAGACTTCGATTGCTTCAATATCGTCGCGCACAAGAAAATCAGCCTTGGTCATCACAACACCGAGGATTGCTACCAGGGAATGAGCACACCGCCGAACGAAGTGACATCAAGGAAGAGGCCGAAAACATCAAACATTCTTTGAATTTCTTCGATCGGGTATCTGAAGAAACCACCGAGGGTCGAATGAACTATTTCGAGGACGTATCTACGGGTGATAAGAGCAAACAATTCATTGTGACGACGCTCAAAGATTTGATCTCTGCGCGACGGATCACCTCGGGATCTGGCTCATTGCAAGTTCTAGGACAACTGTCGGAAGACTCTCTGAACAACGTGCTTCGAACCCAAGACGACTTCCGTGAATAGAGAGCTCGGATCTAGGAACGGTCAGTTTAGTGAAATATATTCCCGCAGGGTATTAGCCAATTCAGGATTCTTTTCTTGTTCGAGTCGTACAATTCTGAGAACTGTGGACAGTAGGGCCAGAGGCGAACAGCCTGTGGCAATTTCGCTGTAGAAAAGTGAATCTTGCAAATGAAAACAATCACTTCGAGGGGTACAGTATAAAGTTCCCGCGTAAAGCTAATGGATCAGAGGAACCAACTTATGATTGGGGATTGGGTACTCTGGTATTCCTTTCTCCACCTTAGAGTAGCATGGCTGACGTTCACTTCATCATAAGCTCGTGCTTGGTGCAGCGACGTCTCTGCTCGCATCCTAAGGGACAAAATCAACCCATAGAAGCTTCTGGAGCATTGACTGTCATAGTCGCAGTTGTATAGGCCGTTTTCGATTATGTACAACTGGAAGCAAAACAATAAGGACTTTGTTGCTTTAGGGTGGAGAAATGAGTAACTAAAAGCCAATTATATTCCTGCTACAATATCATCATGCCATTGGCCAGCTTTTACTCCTTTCTCCACCTTGGGGTAACGAGCTCTCCAGACGTCGAAAAAAGACCGGGGCTGTAGGCTTAACACTTAATACTTTTTTCCTCTTCTCGTATTTGGTCAGGCCATGCCATGCCAGATTGGTACTCCTGGTCGAAAGGGCCAGCAAGTATCATGCACAAAACCGGACCAGTGGGTATTGTACCCAGGTCCGTTTCAGTCAAGAAGTTTGTGGCATTTGATTGGAGAGTCCTGGCTTCCTCTACTTGCTGGACTCCCTCGTCTTGCTGGACTCCCTCGTCTTGCTGGACTCCCTCGTCTTGCTGGACTCCCTCGTCTTGCTGGACTCCCTAGTCTTGCTGGACTCTCTACTCTTGCTGGACTCTCTACTCTTGCTGGACTCTCTACTCTTGCTGGACTCTCTACTCTTGCTGGACTCTCTACTCTTGCTGGACTCTCACTGTAGGCTATAAATCATGTCCTGCCCCAGAAACAAGGCGCTTCATAGCCCATGGATCTTATGGGCTACAGTGCAAATGATCTGGCCCGGTAAAGGCTGCAATACTTTAGAGGACCTAGGCACGCTATTAGTTGTTGTCAGGGTTATACATGAAGTATACAGGAGGAATGGAGACATGATTTACGGGACCCACATTATTCATATGAGTTCCCCTTGAACGCGAAGAAGGCTGTCTCTTTTGCTTCGAGTATTGGCTGTTGCGTGTTCCGGATTGTTCCCCTTGAACGCGAGAAAGGCTGTCTCTTTTGCTTCCTCCCGCTACGTTTTTGTATCTAGAGTCAAATATAGTTATTCTTACTGTAATACCGATTGTTCATCTCGAGACACTATTCACGTCTATACATACGTGACACCCCCACAATTGTTCCCAGAAGTAGTAACCAAAGCTCCCAGGAGACCACGTCTCGCTCCCCGGAGCTATACAGTTCACCCCCGGGAGCTGTAAGTTCTCTGTGAACTATGATCCTTATTCCTGGAAGTAATCAATAGCGTGCCTGGGAACTATGCCATGGATCCTGGAGTCGAATATGATCCTAGGGATGTGAGGGTCTCACAACATAAATGTGGGATCTGTAATCGGTAATCAATATTAGGAATACAAATCGAAATGCGGGCAACAGAAAGAAGAGGCAGTTAACCGGGCAAAGATATCGTGTAAAGATGCCGTTTGAAGAGGAATGATGTTGATGAACGATAAATCGAAACGGTTACGGTTGACTCAACGACGATGTCCACGACACATATTAGTAAAATAAACGAAACATCATCGACTAGCCGATGAATGGAGAAAACATGACGGTCAACGGGCAAACAAACTTGCAGCCGGTGATTAACCAACTAATTGGTTGTCTCGGAAATCTGAGTACAGGCCGGTCGGAAATCATAATAACGGAATCATTCACTCATTTCTTTGTTAAACACAGTGAAAGAAGTAGAGTGTTTATTGAATATTATTGGCCAGACAACAGTCTCCACTCTAAATCACGCGCATTTCCTAATACCTAGACACCCCCCAGTCTACTGCAAGAATTTATTTCACCCTGCTACCCAATTAAGATGTCCTCTTGGCATGCCCACTTTCTTGCCATATTCCCAAGGCCTCCGATCCAAGTCTCCTGATCCAAGTCCCCTTCCGGTCCTAGTACCTTGCTTACTGTACAGTATTATTTTGTGAGAATAAAATAAAATAAAAAAAGGCTATAAAGGCCAACCTCAGACTAGCTACGCTGTGTGCAGTTGACCGAATTTTCCAAAGCAGACATTCATTGTTTACGGTTGGCCCTCAAAACCAGACCAAGACTTGATGCGTTCTTCGGACGCCATTAATTGCTTTGAAAGAACCAAGCTCCTTCCCTTTTGTGCTAGGCGTTAAAATGGGCGTGGCAATAAATTTGTTAGGCACATTTTACGTTCATCACCTACTGGAGTGACCGTTTCAGAGTTTTGCTGGTCATCAACTCGAATACCCGCAGTTTCTGGACCGCGGATTCCTCGATCGTCCCTGGTCGTGGTTTTCAACGCAAATTCGTTGCCTGCTGTGAACTCACCACCTGCCGGGGCCCGTTTCAGGTATTCGTTGACCATGAACTCTAAAGACCACGGTTTCTAGAGCATCACTCCTTTTCAACGCGAAATCCCATAAACATGAAGAGGGCCGTTATTTTTGTACCCTTTGTAGCCTTAAGAATCCCTGAGAGCCACTTAGTCTATACCTGCGACTATTTAGTGACCTGTTTCCTTCAGTCTTTTCCAACAGTAACGCGTCTCTTCATATGGCTTCCGCATCTCCCACCCAGTCCAATCGATCTAAATCGGTCAGAAAGTCCAAGCGCCAAAAACAAGGCCGTCGAAAATCAAGCCTTATGAAAAAAGCGGCCGAATACAGCAAGATGTGCGATGCTGATGTCTGTGTGGGCATACGTCTTCGGGAAACCGGCCAAGTATTTATATTATCAGCAGATGCTTCGGGATTTTGGGCTTTCCTTGGCTCGCAACTAGTATGTCTCCAACTATGTCTCTGATGAAAAGTCGACTGACCTATCAAGAACTCCTACTATCCAGCCCCAAGACTAGTAACCGAGCAGGATCTGGAGCTAGTTGATAAAGATACACCGGAGCAACGTACATGAAGTCATGGCGGCACTTCCATCAGACTAGAAACTTTGTAATTAATTCAGCGACTTAAAACTACCATTTATGGCTTTTTTTTCTAATAGCTCAAGTTACTGAGCGTAAAGCATGGTAAGTTGTGGTTCCGACGTGGATTGATTCTCAATACGCAAGAGTTCTCTATACATAGTAGGTTCTGAAGTCGGTCACAGCTACTTATCGGCCCGAGGAATTAAGGGAACCAAGATAGCCTATGTGGTCGGTTTATCGCGCGTGTACAATTCACTGTCGTAGAGACAAGGCGATTTCTATATGTACTAATAAGCCCGTATATGCATTGATGGGAAGCTCTCGTGAGGTTTGCAGAAAAACTTTACCTTGTGAGCTTCAGTAACTTTGCATGGATTCTATTAAGTTAATTATTATGGAGAACTCTTATTGGCCAACATAGTACGAGAAGAAGGCTTGGATTGGGGGCCTGGGAAATATGGCATAAAAGTGGACATGTCACGGACTTGTCTAAGAGGAAAACTAACTTGGGTAGCAGGGTGAAATAAATTCTTGCAGTAGACTTTGGGGGGTGTCTGGGTATTAGGAAATGTGCGTGATTTAGAGTGGAGACTGTTGTCTGGCCAATAATATTCAATAAACACCCTACTTCTTTCACTGTGCTTAGCAAGGACATGAGTGAACGATTTCGTTTATTTCGACCAGGCTGTACTCAGATTTCTGAGACAACTGACTAGTTGGTTTAATCACCTGCTGCAAGTTTGCTTGCCCGTTGACTTCATGTTTTCTCCATTCATCGGCTAGTCGATGATGTTCCATTTTATTCTACTGATATGTCGTGGAAATCGTCGTTGAGTCAACTCACCAAGTAACCGTTTCATTTTACCGTTCATCAACATCATTCCTCTTCAAATGGTGTCTTTACACGATATTTTTGCCCAGTTAATCACCTCTTCTTTCTATTGCCCACACTTATTACACGCATTTCAATTTGTATTCCTATTGATTACCTATTCCGGAGTCCGCGTTTTAAATCGCGAGACCCCTCACGTTCCTAGGATCATATTCGAACCCAGGATCCATGGCATGGTACCTAGGAACGCTATTGATTGCTCCCAGGAGTAGGAATCATAGTTCCCTGAGACCTCCAGCTCCCGGGGGTGAACTGTATAGCTCTAGGGAACGAGGGGTGGTATCCTAGGAGCTTGGATTCCTACTTCTAGGAACAATCTATAGCGTGCCTAGGAGCATAGAACTAGGACCAGATATCATCTATAACTGATCCAGACCTCACTGAATTTTAGATCAAAAAGGCGAGCCAAACGCCACCGCTGTATGAGGCGCAGGAATATATGTATTTAGTTTTGAGTCTTGTCTAGAAATATAAGTCCGACTTATGACCTTTGTACGAACATGAGCTATGTAGTTGCAGGAGAGACGTCTCAGGACAATTTACTACCCGAGAGGCATCTCTTAATTCAGCATATGTAACGTAGAAAGAATTTTATGTGTTTCACTATAAGAAGGCGATCACGACAATACTATCCCAAGAATCATCATAACTTGAAAAGAAGGTATTAAGAGCCTTGTTTTAAGAGCGGAATCCTCTTGTGACGATCCTCTTGAGAGCAATACGTTCACGTGAGATATCACCGAAGAGCACAAGCCTTACAAGAGGCTATACGTCATAGTTCCACCAAGTATTCTAATCAAAGGAGCCTCCACGTTATAATAATCCATATATCATATTCGGTCCTCCGTAAGGTCTAGCCTACGAAATTCGTCTTCCCTGCCTATTACCATTGCTTATAGACTGGCCGTACAATGGCCCAGTCATACAAGAGTTTGTATTTATTCCGCCAAGATAATATAGCTACTCCAAGGTGGGGAAAGGAGTAGCGATGAACCAATCAAATAAGTTCGGCCAGATTATCTCTAAACCACATGTTTCCTGAGTCACAAAATTTCACAGCCCTCGCGAATTATTGTTGTAGTCTTTTTTGAGCTCTGTTTCATCGCTACCGCGGAGGCGGATCTCCCCACCTATTTAGATATCTTCTAGGACATTCGAAGGTAATTTACAATAACCGATTAGACAGGAAAGCCTGACACGTTCATCCGAGAAACTCTAGCAACGGGAAAGGAAAATATCGTTGGAGATTATTCTTGGCAGCTTTGGGGTAGCTAAACATGGTCGCAAGGGCAGCATGGGTTGTGGACCAGAATCTCAGATATCGGGATAGGAGGGACTTACCAGAGAGTAGGGACACACCAGAGAGTAGAAACACACCAGAGAGTAGAAACACACCAGAGAGTAGAAACACACCAGAGAGTAGAAACACACCAGAGAGTAGAAACACACCAGAGAGTAGGGACACACTGGATGGTAAGGCCTTACTGCGGGCATTGGTATGATGGGATTCTCTGGTACTCCTTTCTCCACCTTGGAGTACGCCCTTGCAAAACGTTGATATCATCCTCAATACGTGCCAGGCCAATGGCATAAACGGTGTGAGGTTGCAACAGAGCCAAGCTAATTCCAGCTTCAATTTCCTGCCCAGCCCATCTCCAAACTCAATGGAACACCAGCGTACGTTGTGTATTGAGCCAGGGCAATGACGTCGCTCAACCTTACAGGTGGTGATCAGTGGGGCTAGGTGGAGAGTCGGGATTGCCAATAAAATAAACCATGTGCCCTCAAGAATGCAAATTAAAGTAGACGCGACTGAGCGGTCCACCATGACCGTACAATGACTGCTCTGGTGGAAAGCACATCACCGCAAAGGCAGGCCCACTCGACATGTCAAAAGATGAGGCATACGACCTGTTGTACGTAAGATACATGCATATCGCCTAATTGAGCATTAGTGAACGGTAGTCAACGGCGGAACAAGATAGTCAACGCATCAAGGAAATTTTGAGGCATATAATAAGACGCTAGTTAGCTCAAATTTTTGGGGCTTGACGGATTGTGGGAAAGCTGAGATGGGCTGATCTGCCAGATGCGACATATCTCTGTTCAAAATACGCTTTAGACCGCACTTTTTTTGATCATAAAATCAATATAATTACTCTAAGGAGCGATTGGCAGCGAGCTGGGGAATCACGCATGAGGTACCGTTTAAAAACGAAACTGGAGGAGCAGCAATGGATCAGAGGGCCAATGTGTGATTGGTTCCTGACTACTCCTTGCTCCACCTTGGAGAAGCTCCAGTCCACTCAGACCACTCAGTCTTCCCAGACCACTCAGTCCTCCTAGATGACTCGGTCTTCCTAGCCTGCAAGGAGTCTAAGAGAACCCACATCTTGAATCCTTACTTAGCGCTTCCTTATCTCCGGCTAACACCGAACGACTCTAATATTATTGCCTCCATAATTTTTACTTCGATTAATGTCACGATTTGTACTGTATCCGTCCAATTGGAGGTGTAAATGACTCTGTATTTCATTACCCCTATTTTCCACTATTTATGGGTCCATTCTCGTTACTAAGCTATGCCGTCGGATCATCTGTAGACCCGGTTTCATGCAGTATTCGTACGATAATTGTGACAATTAATTTTAGCCTCATCAATAATTATGAAAAGGCTAATATTGTATCTTTGTAAATTTAAAGCTCGCCAATATTATTGCCACCATAATTTTACCCTAGACTAATTTTAGCCTCATGAATAATTTATGATAGGGCTAATATTGTATCCTGGTAAATTTAAAGCTCGCCAATTTTAAAGATATCTAAGACTACGGTGCCAAAATGGTAGAACAGCCGTCAAATATTTGATTGAATTTCTGAGTTTTCAAGACGTTGTGGATCAATACCTATGGCACGATGGTTAGGTCAACCTCAACACGTCTAGATTCGGGCGCAATATAACACCGAAATGGTCGTGGCATCAAGATGTTCACCCACGAACTGAAATAGTATAGTAGTTTTTGTCTAGTTTTTCGCTATGCTTTTGGCTCAAAAAACCGTGGTCTACTACATGCTCAAAAACCGCCATTGCACTTTTTTGCTTTTGCGCTTTTGCGCTTTTCGCGCTTTCATAACGTTTGACGTTCTTTAAAAGCTACTCCCTAGCCAACGAGTCTTTGACTATAAGAGCACCCACTTCCTTATTTCTTAACTCTACTTCCCAGCAAGTCTGATTTTAGAGTCCCGAGGCATTTTTAAGGCTACAAACTAGCAGATGGCGACTACAGGCCCTCGTTCAAATGGCTCTTCTTCGAAAAGAAAATCAATGCGTCAAAAACAAGGTCGTCGCAAATCCAACTTGATAAAAAAGGCACGCGAATATAGTAGGTTGTGTGAAGCAGATGTCTGCGTAGGGATTCGCCTTCGGGAAACGGGCCAAGTGTTTATCCTATCGGCGGATGTCTCGGGATTTTGGGGATTTCTTGGGTCACAACTAGTATGCAGGCAGAAACGAGTCACGTGACATAGGCTAACTTTTCTAGGCCTCCTATTATCCGACCCCATTTTTAATTACAGATCAAGACCTGGAGAAGGCTGAAGAAGGCATTATGAGGAAACCAAGCGAGGCAAATATTCTAGCTTGAATATTGCAATGAAGGGGCTGCATAGGGGTCATCTAGATCGATTTTATATATTCGAATGTGAAATTTTTTGCTATAATTTGGTAAAAAACATTGAATGGCATAAGAATAAATTAGAATTGGCTCAAGAATAAAACAGGTGAATATTACCTTACAAGAGGCTATACGTCATAGTTCCACCAAGTATTCTAATCAAAGGAGCCTCCACGTTATAATAACCCATATATCATATTCGGCCCTCCGTAAGGTCTAGCCTACGGAATTCATCTTCCCTGCCTATTACCATTGCTTATAGACTGGCCGTACAATGGCGCAGTCATACAGAGTTTGTATTTCTTCCGCCAAGATAATATAGCTACTCCAAGGTGGAGAAAGGAGTGGCAATAGACCAATAATATTGGACATGCGCTTTGACTAGCAGTCACGGTTCACAGAGCCGTGGCCCAGGTTCCCAAATAGCTCACGGGCAGTGGAATGTAGGCCAGCTAGGCTCTGTATCCATTAACTGGCGACCAGGTCGCCTTGCTGCTTCATACAAGATGGTTCGAAATCAGTTTCACCAGCTACCCCGAGAGATTCTTTCTCGAATGCTTTTTCAAAATACGCTAAACCTATTACTGTACACCTGTAAATAACAGGATAAAATAGCATCCGTATTGATGCTTGTATGGCGGTCGCCTTGAGATACTAAAGATGCGATCAGGCAATCAAACATGTTTGACCTTTACTCAGCTTCATTCGTTCCTGCTGAACTCTCCTCGCTCGTTCTTGCCTTCTATTGCAGCATCATCTCGTTCTTTCTGATTTCGTTGTGCTCTCTCAATTCTCTTTTTTTGAGATTCCTCGTTTTGCTGACTGAGCCTCGCCTGGCGAGCCGCTTTTCGCGTCTGAGAAATCTCGAGATCTTCCATCATTCTCCCAATGTTCTCTAGTCTCCTTTCCATTGCAGCATTTTGTAGTTCGAACATATGTCGAACATTCGTCGTCTTTGCTTCTGCTAACAAAATACTTGAGCTAGAATAATCGCTCTGCTGCTTAGGTGGTTGATACGGAGCTACTTCTGGGATATTGGGGGCCCTGATATCCCAGAATGTGTTGAGAAACTGTTCTAACTTGTAAGCACATAGGATTAGCCATCTCGATGATACGTAGAGAATAGCTTTTAGCATACCTGTCTACCAAAAGCTTTTTCAAACTCTGTTCCCCCCATACGTTTCAATATTGCTAGTACATTCTGTGCACTCTTCGCATATTTGCCCATAGTTGCCGCTTTCACCGCAACCCGGTGCACAGCACAATGTCGGATTTGCCGAATCCCATGTAAATTAGAGCAAAATGATTCACGTTCTTTTTCTGATATGCCACAAGCCTGGAAAGTTACTTTGTGATGGAAACAAAAGTATTCGGTGACCTTTTCGGAAAGCTGACTTAGTTCTGCCGCCTCGGGGGAAGACCAGTGGCATTCATCGACCAAGCCCGGAGCTACCGTGCAGCAAAACTGATACAAGAAGAACTCTAGCTGAGTTTGCCATCGACAAAGAAGTTTGTGTCTTCCTTGAAAGCTGTGCAGAATTAGGTGCTTGCAATTTCACCGGTGGAATTCAACAGTCTTGCCTATCAGCCATTGTAATTGCATCATCCGAACCTGGGTCCGTGTGGCTGGTCAACACCATCTTGTTTGCAGGGTTGAGATTTCCAATCTTTCTGTAGAGGAAAAAGAGTGAAAGAACTTTTACCTGCAAATGGTTCCATTAGGAAAAGGTTAGTTACAAGCCGAAAAATCGTTGGACGCCACTCCAATCAATGACGTGGAAGACTTCAGGAGCGAGCTCTGGGGCCAACGTCATGGTAGTATTTACGGTACATAAAACCTAGTCTGATATAATATTTGTTTTCTATACGATTCGACGATTAAAACCAAAGCTAAGACATAGATAGACTAGCGTGTTTGCCAACTTTGCGGTAGCTAAGCATGTGGACTGTCTCAAAGGCCAGCATGGGTGTTGGACCAGAAACTCAGATCTCGGGACAGTAGGAACTTACCTGGGAGTAGGAACACACTGGAGAGTAGGAACACACTGGAGAGTAGGGACACACTGGAGAGTAGGGACACACTGAGGAGTAGGGACACACTGAGGAGTAGGGACGTACTGACGGGTAGGGCCTTACTGACGGGTAGGTCCTTACTGGGGAGTAGGGACACACTGGGGAGTAGGGACACAGTGAGGAGTAGGGACATACTGAGGAGTAGGGACATACTGGCGGGTAGGGCGTTACTGACGGGTAGGGCGTTACTGGGGAGTAGGGACACACTGGGGAGTAGGGACATACTGGCGGGTGGGGCCTTACTGGACGGTAAGGCCTTACTGCGGGCATTGGTATGATTGGATTATCTGGTACTCCTTTCCCCACCTTGGAGTACGCCCTTGCAAAACGTGATATCATCCTCAATACATGTCACGCCAATGGCATAAACGGTGTGAGATTGTTGGCACAGCGTGAAATGATAGTCAATCTCTGACTAAAGAATTTTGATTTGGGACTGCTCTGCGGCCAAGTTGTTGATGATGATAGGATCGGTGGCTGGAGAAAATATTTATCCGAAATCCTATAGGCCTGAGGAATCTGGCAAAAATAAAAATCGCCCTGCCAACTCAAAGAGTTGCTATGGGATTAGAAAATGCACGTGATACGTTGTAGGATTCAGTGGTGGAGAATTCCGTGCTGTATGGCCAGCCAATAATGTTTATTAAACACCCTTCATTTTTTTGATGGGCTACTTGTTCAATCCGAGCAAATCGATTCTCACCAGGTGCCATTCAGTTCTATCACCGCACATGTTCAAGTCGTCAGTCAACATTGACATGTGCGTGAACTGCGAACCATCTATTACACTTGAATCAATAACCAAAATTAATTGACCGTATCCAATTGTCAATGTGTCTAACATATACCCACCGATTCGTTTTTCTAATATCGCTCATTAAGCTGTCTGTCGTGACATTTTCAATGAGGTTTGGATCGATGTGCTTCACGGTCATCATGCAGTATGTTTGTTGAGGAGTGCTTTCGCCCTCATACAGGTCCTGGAGCTACGCGTCCCGTGATAGACTCTCGTTGAGCCTCTTGAAAATGATGTTGCGATGATGCTTGGTATTGATCCGTCCCTTCAGAGTTGATTGGAATTGTGCACAGCTTTTCCTGGGCAACGAACAATCTAGCCAAATCTGTTCAGGGGGCAACATGATGTGTGATTGGTCCTCTCTCACTCCTTTCTCCACCTTGGAGTAGCATAACATGAACCCCAGGCAGTTTCAATCGAAAGTCCCTGAATATTTTCAGAATGCAGGGAACTAGGAACTTTCTGATTACACAGACATCGATGCACACCATTATGGATGAAGCTGTCCGAATGTTGACAGCATATGGGCTGGCAATATCCACTTCTGGACCAATGCAAAACCATCAACTCAACTTGCAGTTGGTGATCACCGGCTAATTCCTGATCCAGTCTCCTTGACTGAAGATACTGTATGTATGGACTCGACTTGCATGATGTTCGAGATTATCGATTTGGTCAAATATAGTACCTCTTCCTCTAGTGAAAACCCAAACCCTTGATGATAGATACATGTGTCCTTATTTTCTTTTCCTAAAAGCCTAGGGATGTAGGATTATTTCTTATTGACCATTTTATTGGAAACTACCGCGCAGATCAATTGTCATCTTGTCTTTGACCCACTCAGCAGCTTCCGTTACAGCCATATCGGGGTCATCCTTGAAATCTAGGAGGTAACTTTGGATTTCAGCTGCTGTGAACTGGTCATCTGGGACCAGCTCTGCAAACTTGATAGACAGGTCCCGAATTGACCGGTTTGACATGGCTCTAGCCGGACGATCCAGCTTCTTGGCTGGAAGGCTCGAAGTGAACCCAGCAGGACCCCCACCGATGAAAGGGTTATAGACGAGTGAAAAGATACTTTTGACACTGGTTTTATCCGCATATCCAAAGTAGTACTTCTTATCCACTCGGCCAGGGCGAGTCAAAGCAGCGTCAAGTTTGTTTGGGTGATTGGTTGTCATGATGAGAATCCGACCCTCCTGTGCTCCGACACCATCAAGACAATTCAAAAGGGCCGATAGTGAGACGCCACTATGAACGGCATTCCGGTCCTCGGAGAAGCCCATCACTTGGTCGCTTTCGCTGACTTCGCGGATAGGTTGAACTATCCCTGCGTTATCGACATCCTCGAGGAGTATTATGCAGCGGCTTGGCAGCTCCTGGAAAAGTTTAGACAGACTGTCTTCGTCGACTTTGGAACTATTCAGGCTGATGGTATAGATATCCAAACAAAGAAGCCCAGCAATCACAAAACACATGCTGGACTTCCCCGTTCCGGGGGGACCGTGAAACAAATAACCACGGCGATATGGTATTCCGCATGACGTATACCAGGCTTTTGTCTTTGGACTGAGGAAGCTTTCAATATCAGCAAGGATCTCGCTTTTGGTATCTGGAGCGAGAGCTAAGGTTGAAAGCGGACGTGGAGGCTTTGAGGAGCTCAAGGCCCAACGGAGCATATTTTGCAACTTCAGGCCGCGATAAATTGCTACTCGATTGCCCTTGCGTTTGAGATATGCCTCCTGCGCTTCTTCCAGTAACTCCATCAAGATTTGCTTTCCCCAAGCATAAATGGTGATTGTCTCAGCGTCCGTAAGCCAAGTATTGCTGAGACTCGGGCGAGGATTGCGATAGAGGCCAATTAAATGGCCTCGATAACGGAAGACATGAAGCTGACTTTGCCCGGGGGTGCAGCTAATAGGCTGGAATCCACCCTTCTTTCTCTGGCTCTGCCAGAACAATTTCTTGTCTTTCTCGAACCTCCGCTGCTCCTCAGCAGGGTCTTCGTCCTGACTTTCTTCATCTGTGTCGTCTTCTTTCCATGGTGGGGTGAAATTGGACTTTGTCACAGCAATAGTCCGTCGACACTTCTTCAATTGGACATTTTCCGCTGCCCATTTGATAAGAGGGTCATGGAGCGAGCTCTCGAACTTGATATCGATAGATGCGGCAAAATACAAAATTAGTTGCTGCAAGCTGTGATGAAGCTGAGGAACTGCGAATTTGAAAAAGGCGGAGAGCAAAGAGAATAAAAGAATGTAACTAGAGCAAGTTGACACATCAGCAGGAGAATATAGAGACAGAATTCGAGTGAAGATAGATAAGCCGGGGTTCAATAACTCGAGTGCCGATGGCAGCATCTCCGACAGGGTTTCGCTTGAATGGGCGGCCATTACTTTCAGAGACGCCGGAAGAAATAATATGGTGTCAATAAAATGAGGGCAGGTCAGTGTCTTTATATTAGTTTGCTAGCTATGTACTTCCCCGACTGGAAATAACATCTGATTGATCTGTCAGTTCTAAATAGGTCCTATTGCATCCTCACTTGCTTTGGACGATTTTTTCGGTGTGCCAAGCTACCAGCTATAGACAGTGGAAGAGCCATCGATAATTATCTACGTATGACCCTAGGCGCCTCTTTTTTTATACCATACATTTTGAAGCTGAGCGATTGATTTTCCGCTACATCTCGCTTCCAAGTGTACCTATATCGAACACTACCCATGTATAATGAGAGGGTAAGTGACAACTTTCTTTGCCTATCAGATAGTACATTACATTACATGAGGAGACTTGGCTACTAAAGCGATCGGAAATAACAGAGCCAGAAGGGGACTGAATGGAAGTCCAGTACCCTAACTAGTATTCTGCACCATCTTCAGGGGCAATCTTCTTTCCACCGTGTGATTGAGGAGTGGAGAAATCAGTGTATTCCGTTCTCATAATCTTGCCTTTAACAAATCGAATGTTTGGAGGGATGCGAGGGAGCATAATGATTTGGCTATCCATGTTGTCGTCTGATTGCATAGAGTCCGTCTGTGATATGTCTGCTGAAAGGTTGCAGAGTGAGAAGACAATATCAAAAGTTTCGCACTTTTTAGGAAAGGCTCACCATGATAGTCTTCAATTGAACTGATTTTTGACGCTTCTGCTTTCTCCGTCGGCTTTGGACTGTAAACTGGTGGAGGCCTTCTGAGGCTAGATGCAGGTTTGGTACTTTCGGGCTCATATACCGCAGGTTCATTCAGTGTATAGGGGCTGGCAGAATTTGGGATCGTTCGCTCTAGATTCTCGTCTATCTTTCGCTCTATTGTCGGTTCCCAAAATACCTGCAGGCAGTTTGGTAGAAGCAATCGAAGCGAGACAGAAGACAAACAGACCATTTGTCAAAGGGATTCAAATTGTGTAGACGAGTATGTGGTAAAAGCATCAATAGAGAGGTTTCAAACTTATGCAAGGGTTTCTTTGTTCGAATCAGGAGGTTATATAAGGGCCTATTTCTACTCCCAAGATGGCCTTCGATCGCACATTGTTATTGAAGCAAAGATCCAGTCATGGTGAGTACCCGCCCCTCTCGCTGGTAACGATGAGATACTAACAACAGAAGCCCGCCCCGATTCCCGTCCAAATCCTGTATGGGCCGGCAAAAACTGCTTTGAAGGCAATGCTCTCCTTGAGAATTGCATCTCCGTCACTCTTGGAATTGAGGCACTCGGAAAACCTTAGCGAAGATGCTAGAAAGTTGCTAGCTGGCTGCAACACCTTGAGAAGCAGAAGATCCCGGGAAATCTGTCTCGAAAGCACTTCTCTCGAAAATGACGTATGCGCCTACGTGGGAGATGTATTACCCGGTCTCAGTTATGGTACTATTCTAATGCTTGCGCTGATGACTTGGCATTTTAATGCTTCACCTTCTGAAGCATCACATGGCTTGATTATTTTCTTGAGCCGGCCTTATAATAGCGAAGTGAAGAGAATACTCCAGGAACAATATCGGCGCATGATGTGTGAAACGGGCTCTCCAAACTTCGACTTTTTGCTTGTCCTGAATTGAGCTCCATCTGGTGATCAGTGCAAGTGAAAAATGAAATGAATTATATCTGATTTGCTTAACAGTAACCGAGCTTTCTGAGGCGGTTACAAATATCTTCGAGACGTTCCTCATACCAGTCCCTTAAGATGTTGTGGATCTCATATCCGAGAACTTTTGCAAGATTGCACCTTTTTGCATATTCCTGCCGGTATTTGGAATGCAGGTGCTGGTAACAAAGAGCTTTCTTTGAGTCGAGATCTACTGCCGGTTGTTGCAAGATAATCGGATCATCGCTGCTCAGAGGAACGAATTTCGTAATCCCATACTTCCCCAAGACCCGTGAAATACCGGTCTCAAGTACCGCCAGATCCACTAGGGATGCTTCCTTTGTGAATTCATGGTTATCCTGGGTTTTATGATGAGTGCCAAGCTCTTGAAGAGCAATGGCATCAAAGACTACATCATTGAGACCCTTTGTTTTGATGTCTTCCATAAGTTGAAGTCCATTGGGAGAAAACCAAATCCGCACGGTCTTGTTTGGTTAGCACTCGGTGCCACTTCAAAATGGAGGAAAGGACAACCTACGTGCAATCTTATTAGTGGTGAGTCTTTGACAGAAACTCCAGAGCCTAAACCAGCAGAAAGGGTAGGCTGTTCTTTCGACATCACAGACATTGTGCCTTTCGCGGATTTATGCGTACAGCCTCGACTGGGATTTAGGCCCCGAAATAACAGTCTTGCGCGAGCTGCCTGGGAAGGAATCGAGGAGCAATATGCAGCTCAAAAACGCGCATCGAACTCTGCGTAGTTCAAGCAATCATACCTTCGTCGCTGAGAGATCTCAAATGAAAGTCAGATGAGCTAGAGGAATAGCCGTCTCTTCGTAGTATGATCATCAAGAAGAGTGAAGTTATTGTCATTAGTCTTATCTCCCTCGATTTTAGTATGCCATCAATTGCAGAGTTCATTTATAAAATAGTCGCACTAACCTAATACTGAAATTGTAAGCCCAACGCGGTTATGCATGTGAGCTCATGCGCATAGCAGAGTGGGCGTGACAGGGGTATGGGCTCACAGCCCATACCCCTGTCACGCCCACTCTGCTGTGCTTAGGTTAGGTACTGGTTCCCTTTCCCCGCTCACCCCTAGGAGCTGAACCATCTATTCTACATCAATGTCACCCTTCTATGACACTCTTATCCATGAAATGGAAACCAGCGACACTTCCCAGTATGTCGCCGGTTTGGAGAGGCACATTTGTCGCCTTCAGCAGATACTGAGAGAATGGACACCTTACGTCCCCCAGCATATCATTGTGCGATCTCAACTTCCACTTGAAATCGACACAACTCATCTTCCCCAACCTCCGATACCTTTGGACCCTTCAGTGAGTCAGTGTAGAAAGCTTTCGGTATCAGGTTCATCTAGCTCAGAAGAAACATGGAGAAAGCCCTTACGAACCTTCATTAACAGGATACCTTCTGTTGAAAAATGGTCTGGCATTGTATCTCATCCTCGAGTTTCCGTTTTGGACTTATTATTTCAAATCGACACTCGCCTGTGTGACGGGGAATCGACATCACTCATCCAATATCAGCATTCAGATGTCATCATGCAAACTCTTGGGGCTTATGCTTCGCTTACACAAAGATGCGCTAACAATGTGAAGTGGGCAACATTCATTGCATCTTATCAGAAATTCTTGCTAGGTGCGCTTTGTCACGTTGCATGTTGCCTCGGCAAGGACCCAAAGTCTGTGGACAAGATGATGGGGTTCATCTCGAAAGGAGGGCCCGATCACCTTCAGGAACTTCGGCATGGAGCGGCTTGGGGGGTTGAGGCAATTGATCGCCTCCAAACAGAGAGCGATTGGGATATCAGAAGTGGTGATATTTTGTTCTACTGTGAGGTTATTCTGCCAATTCGTTTCATACAGAGTTGACGAACAGGTCTAGTTACCCCAACCTTTACTTCTTTAAGGTACTGGGCGAAAGCAAACAAATCGATGTCCATATTTACCACCAGTCTGAAAGGCGATCAATATACAAAGAGCCCGGTGGATTTGCACTCAAACCATCTCTCAGTTCCGTGCATAATTAAGTGCATATTCGGCAAGAGTGTCCGGTAGGTACATGAGAATTTTCTCTTATCGTTATCTACTAACAATTACTCCCCCTTCTAGTCTCTCCGACGTGTGTAAGGTTCTCCACTGCAATTTTGATATTGCACGAAAATCATTTGCAAAATGGTACCTAGAGCCATTTGGTTCAGATGTCATGGATGATTCGGAGAGACAAAGGCTCTTCTCTCCCATGACACAGTTCACTCTCCACGGAGAGGCTGACTACCGGACTGAAATCCAAATAGGAAGGGACTCGCAGCCTAAAAGAGGTTCCTTGCGCGAAGCGCAGAAAAGACGACGTATTAGCAGCGGGACCAGTTCAAATCTAGAAGAAGACCTGTCTCCTATTCCTAACCTGTCTGCCAATGCGCAAGTGCAGACAACTCTTGACGAATGCCCCGAGCATTCCCTTCTAAATCAATCCGGTGAGCCTTCAGGAAAAGATCCATCGACATGATGCTGATTCCCACAAACACAGACCAAGAGAGAGATTCCTTGACCAGTAATGCAAGCTCTGAGATGTTTCCACAGCAAATGACCCGAGACCAGCGACTTTTGCTTGCTAATCCAGATCCGGCATGTTCGCTTCCCCAGGATGGCTCGCGTAAGTATTGGTCGTTGAGTGGTCAATGAATCCACGGCTAAAATAAGACACAGACCCACGTCATCTGTATTTGACAGGTCCTCCGGATTTTGCAGATGTAGAAACACTTTCTTATTCCCTTCCGTCCTTCAACGCCATATCTGAGATTCCGATTTTACCAGGTTCCGGCTTCTCGGCTACTCAAGAAACGGCAGCGCTTCCCTCTACTTCACTTGACTATTGTATACCATCCTTCTCCTATATAACAGGCATTCCATCCCCAGAACAATGACCCCACCTCGTGTGGAATATCGTCAAATAGTCTCCTTGGTCCAGGTCACCACGCAGACGCATGAGTTCAGAATCTCTATCAATCCACTCCATTCTATCGAATCATCATTCGCTAGTTGGATGTTCGCGTCATGATTGACAAGAGACACGTTCGCATTGCTTTCGTGTAGGAAGATTGCTGTTAGAGTACCGTAGGGTTCCCTCGGGGATGCTCCGTTCGCGAATTGTATCAAACTAGTTTTCATATTCTGGTCCCAGGTCAGCTGTATGCGACATGAATGAAATTAACAATGCGAAGTCCACACCTCCTTTTGGAAAGGCTGAAGAAGATCTGCCGGAACGTTTCGACATAACCTCATGTGTGGCGCATCGTCCCTCGCTGAAAATTCCGCCTTTGGCAGCCAGTTTCTCAATTTTTCACAAGCGTCGTGCTCAGGTCTGTTCACAGCCGGTCGGAGGTAGGCCATAGGTCCATTCATCGAACAACCACTAGCACCGCTATTGAGTGCGCATATAACCTTTTGCTTCGCTGCGTATTTCGGTCGAGGTAATCGAGTCGATCCTTGCACTTCTATCAGCGAAGAGGCGGGGTTGGGCACGACGGAATGGAGCACGTGAACAATTATTTGACCCCGCCACGGTGCTCCCCAGCCCGATACTTGGAACCTCTAATAATAAGATTTATATATTTCCTGTTCAAGTATCTTCATTCCATCCCCTATTACAAAGGTGGCCACGCAGCCTGAGAATAATTTTTTACACCATGATGCTTATAGCAAAGATGACTTCCTGGTGGGTTTCCAGCGAATGCTGAAAATTGATTGGCTTTTTCATGTTTTATTCCGTATTTGTTGGGTACTATTTCGCCAAAATTGCTGGATTCCAATGTTTCCTTTCCATGTAGCGCGCGGAAATGGCAGATATAACGTCTTGCTGAAACACCCTTTGTCCCCATTAGTATCAAGAACGCTTGGTTTACGAGATCCAACTACTAACCGCCTAGGTCAGTGCTAGCAATATCTTAGTGGCCATCAATGTGAGGAGGCTCACACGAAAATAGAAAATAAAACTGAAGAAAAATCCGCAGCGGTTCCGTAATGCGCGACTCGCCGTGTAATGCAACCTGCGCATGAAAGTTTGATGTGTAGCCAATCAGTGCCAAACGTGTATTATGGCGCGCGGTACCTCTTATGCACGCCGACAGATGCAACACGAAACATGACATCTCGATAGGAATGGTCTGAGCCATGATGAGGTCCTTGGTGTTTCTGCTCAACATATAAATGAACGGGCTTGCACGGATATAACAGCCCTCATCAGCAAGACCTCGATATCATCTCAGTACTCCTACAATATGTCTTTCAGTGTTTACACGGCCGAATATCTTGGTGCGCCTAACCATGAAGCCATCTACATTGAAACAAACCCCACCGCCCCACGAATGTCTGAAAGAGGACGCCTCTTTCACGTCACTGGGAATTTACTCCAGGGTATGAAATACGACCCAAGAGGTTCCTTTGACCCTGAGCTCTCGGCGTCTTATGTCCCTGGCACGAAGAAATTGATTGGATACATTGCATACGCAGATTTGTCCAGATTTGAGACGGAGTGTTGCAGAGCAGTCGAGGCGCCTCGAGCCCAATTGACGCTTGGGGGTAAACAATTGTATCCTGGTACACCACTTTATCGTTGTGGAGACTGGTTGCGAGATGTTCAGAAGTTGGCATTTGAAAAGGGCATCTTAAAGCGGTAGAATGAGGTATGTCAGTCAAGTCCATTTATCAAGGTACAACCTCTGACGGAGTGGATTCGAAAGCACGCGCACTGGTACTTCAGAGCCCCTGTAAAAGACGTCCATTCTACAGCTGAACAAATTCCTTAGCATATCACGACACTGGGTCATAAGCTCAATTTCGTTGTTTATCTGCTTTCTTCGTGGTCTCCCATCGAATTTGCGATTCCCGCTATTTGAGCGGGAGATTCACTGTGAAATTAGTTTAAAAGATCTCTCCTCTCTGGTGTGGTGTTGATTAAATTGATTAAGTAGGCCGAGAGGTTGATATCGCGTACAAGAAAATGTAAAATGCACAGCCTATAGCTTTCCTTTTTGAACGATTAAGATCAATGTTCTATATTTTCTCAATGTACCATCAGTAAAAGACCGACGAGTAGACAACTTGCATCATTAGGTATTCAATCGGGTACTGATCAAATATGTCCGGAATAAGCTCAAGCCAATCCGGTTTCATTTGACAATACAAGGTTGAATTGCAAAAATCCCAAAATTCGGGGTACCAGCCTGACAAGTTCCAGTCGATCAGAGTGACTTTGAAGTCTGCGTCTCCATTATCGCAGAACCCCCTTCGCTCCACCATTATGTTCTTTGGTTGCAGATCTCCATGAGTAAAGACAATTCGATGGTTCTTGAGAGTGCAGTTGACCATTTCTTTTAATAGTCGAATGTAGTGTGGAGACTGCATTTGGCCCAGTCTCTCCAGTATTCCTTGATTCATCTGCTTCTGGTCCTTGAATGGCCCGGAAATGACTGGGTTGTTATCAGGGGTTGAAAGCACACCATCGGTGTAAGGCTTGCCATTCAAGTTCCCAAAGTAGCCAGGTGATGGTATTGTTCGCAGTTCATTGATCGCCTCTCTGATCCTCTGGCTGACCGTCGTCTTCTCGGTTGGGGTGAGCGATGGCAGTAATTTTTGCAAGTCTGTACCAGGGACGAAATCCATAACGACATATCTTTTCTGGGTCTCTGGGTCGATGAAGTTGGCGTGGACCTTTGGCACAGGAACCTTGCTGTTGGCTGCAACAAATTTCATGTTCTCGGCTTCCAAAGGCGGGATCGAATACCCGATTTTGACCGCGAAGCGTTCCTTCACTCGAACCACTTTGATAGCATTTGTTCGTATACTAAGGACATCGGTCGATGCCTCAATATCGGCAATGGTTGGTAGTTCAACGCTCGAGTGAAGCTCACTGTCCATCTGGGTGAACATAGCGGATCGTATTGATAAAGTCAAAAAGGATGCCGCCGAAGTGCAACAAAGGGTTTCACGGGCATTATATATTGATTGACAACAGCAAACAGTGCAAACACAACACCGTCATAACACGTGAGTATTACGGTCGGCCATCGATTTATCGCGGGAAAAAGAAAAGGGCTTGCCGCGAGTATGACAAGCACGACCAGCGTTGGCCCCAATTTGCCAGTGTCAGCTGATACTGTTATGGGCCTCGACTTCACGTGTTGTACCTTGCGTAGGCCCCAGCGAGTTGGGTCTAGAATCACGTGATGTGTATAGGTCTGTAGGAGTGGTGACCAAGTGTATACATCGGGCAACAAAACAAGAAATGGTGGATCCTCACGAAAGGATCAAATACTTGCAGACGTTTCATTGGTATTAGAGGCCTTGGTAGGGGAACTAAAGCCTGCATAGGTGCTTGATCGGCCCGATTGACTGACTCCAACGGCTGGACCAATTTTAGTGTCTCCAAGATGGCCAGTTTTTCTTGTACCAAGATACTGCTCTTTAGTCTAGACACCGTAGCTAGCCTGGGGTTCTGCCTTTCTTCTTGGTTTATTTTTTATTTTTATTTTTATTTTTATTTTCACAAAACAATAAGCAAGGTACTAGGACGGGATGGGGACTTGGATGGCGGCCTGGGGAATATGGCATAAAAGCGGGCAGGTTGAAATAAATTCTTGCTGTAGAGCTGGGGGGTGCCTGGGTATTAGGATATGCGTGTGATTTAGAGTGGAGACTGTTGTCTGGCCAATAATGTTCAATAAACACCCTACTTCTTTCACTGTGTTTACTGTAACAAGAAAATGAATGAATCCGTCCGTATAATCTTTTCGACCATAACAACCATGTAATCACCGGCTGCACGTTTGCTTGCCCGTTGAACTTCAAGTTTTCACCACTATGTTTCTATTCTTTTTTATTGCTGATATCGTGGAAAGCATCGTTGAATATGCATATTCGGTCAACCTCCAAATAACCGTTGCATTTTATCGTTCATAAGCATATTTTTTTCTCGTCAAACGGTGTGTTTACGCCATATTTTTTTTGCCGAGTTAACCACCTCTTCTTCCTGTTGCCCGCTTTTATTGCTAGCATTCAGTTTGTATTCCTAGTATTGATTACCCGTTCCAGATCCCAGATTTCATGTCTTGAGATCCTCACGTTCCTGGGATCATATTCGAACACAGGATCCATGACGTGGTTCCAAGGCACGCTTTTGATTGCTCCCAAGATTAGAACCATAGTCCCCAGAGGATCTGCGGCTCCCAGGAGTGAACTGTGTAGCTCCGGGGAACGACGCCGATGGGCGATCAGTGGGGTCATCCGTCGGAAGATATATCAACCAAAAAAACTCTACATCTGTTCCTGTCCTCTTGATCACGAGTCCCGGGAGCATGAGGGATCCTTGGAACAAACCAACGACTCCCAGGGGTTGTGCAAGAGGGATCCAGGAGAACGCCAGTCGAGATGCCAGGAGTACCCAGAGACACAGGATCACGCCATGTTTTTCCAGGGACTTGCAAAGAGATTCATGATGTCCACCATGATATCTTTAGTATGTTCGATAGCATTGTGGCGCATTATAGGTTCTAAGGTTGTAAATTTATACCAGATGGCCAAAAGAAACTATATTTGGTATACAACCAGGTCCAACTGCGACACTTGCACTGCGTCCCCGTGCCGTGGTTGAGTGTCTCGACGCGAACATATACTACAGAACCTCAGCTCTGGGTTGCATGCCAGCATGCCATAGGCCCGGAACTATTGTCCCTTTTTCAATCTAAATTTCAGCCCATTGTCCTGAACATCTAATACCCAATTCATAGTAGCATTTGGTATCGGATAATACTTTCACCGAAATCTGGGTCAGCTGATAAGCCAGCTAGCTCAAACACCGGCATCCCTAATCCCTGCCTTCCTTTCAACAACCTAATGGATAATACCAGCCCCACCGATTACAAGAAACTCTTTTTGCAGGCCGAAGAGCGTCAGAGACAGGAAGAGGAGAGACGGAAGCAGGCCGAAGAGCGAGAGAAGCAGCAAAGGGAGCGCAACCAACGAACGACATTTGCAGAACTCTTACGCTTCTGCCACAGCTTACTTTCCCGACCATTGAGAGTCGAAACACCATCTCGCTCGACTACAGGGAGCATACCTCCTCCCACCGGAAAATACTGTCCCACACGACTAGCACTATGGACCGATTGTTCAGCTCGACAGCAGAAAATATACAGCTCTGTGTGCAACTACCTCCAGGCAACCGAGGAAGCCCGAGCACGATTGTTTACCCCCTTGATTGCGCTTGAAGAGGATGCCAGACGATTCGGTCTCCGTCCAATTAGCAGTGAACAAGGTCTTGAGAACTACGAACGAATCGCCGTGGAAGATCATGTCCGTGATATAATTGCAGAGCTATGCAAAATCGACGCTGCCCGAGACGAGTTCGGACTTGGAGATGGAATCTGGTTCGACAATCACACCAACTCTTTCAATCCACGCGGCGGTAACGACGCAAATGCAAGCCAACCATCAGGCATACATCACCCCCGACCCGATCAGTTCTGTATCCACCGAGTCGATGGCAACACTAATACCCTCCTCACTACGGTTGAATACAAGCCGCCCCACAAGCTTTCTGTCGAAGCCCTTCGCGTGGGGCTCAGGGAAATGGACTTATGGAAATGCATGGTCAGATCAAACAAAATCACGACGGATCACGCAGAGAAATTGAAATACAATGCAGAGCGACTCGTGTGCTCCGCTATAGTCCAGGAATACCATGTGATGATCCAGGAGGGACTCGAGTACTCTTATGTCACTAATGGGGTCGCTCGTGTCCTTCTCCGCGTTCCATACAACGATCCTAGCACATTGTACTACTTTCTCTGTGATCCCAACAGCGAACAAAGTCCCCAAGAGCCGACGACCTCCATCGCGAGGGTTCTGTGTCTGTGTTTGATGGCGTTCCGTTCGCCAGTTCGTGACCAGGAATGGAGAAATACTGCACAGTCGCGGCTTCCTTTGTGGACAACTAGCTTCGATTACGCTCGTTCTCAGATTCCTAAGGAGGTCTTACAGCAAATCGCTCCGCACTCTGACAGTACCAACTCCGAATATGTAAGTCCAGAGCCAAGTTCAGACTACCAACCATCATCGCCTCCACTGGAATCTCCAACAGCGGGCCGCCGAGTGCCCACGAGGTCTCAAGCCAGCTGTGCGCCCTCGGATGTCCGACACCGGACGCAGTCGCCAGAATCATCAGGCTCCGACTCGAATCAAGCGACCGGACGCAAACGGGGCTTCAGCCAGGTCACATCTTCCCCTTCCGCCCAACGAGCCGCTCGTCAACGCGAAACTGGGAAAGATCAAGGCAGCCATTCTAAACGCCATAATACACAATTTTGCACCCAGCGATGTTTATTAGGGCTGCAGACGGGAGGTTTCCTAGACGACTGTTGTCCAAACGTGAAGCTCCATCGTCGGGGTCAGGATTTCATCAAACACCCCATCAACTCGGAGGATTTGATGCGTTTACTAAAAGCACAACTGGATGAAAACATTGACCGGTGCATCCCCCTTGGGAATTGCGGGGCATACGGTGCACCGTTTAAACTCATTTGTGCTACATATGGCTATGTTGTTATTGGGAAAGGGACCACATCGGGCCTCTGGAAAGAAGTCTCCCGCGAAGCGCAGGTATATGAAATCCTGCGGAAGGCTCAAGCATCCGCTGTGCCTGTTTTCCTCGGTACAATCGACTTAGCAAAAATTTATTTTCTTCATGGGGCTGGAGAGATTCGTCACATGCTCGTCATGAGCTGGGGAGGCGATAGCACTGCAACGATGGAACTGACACCGGAGCTTCTCAAACATATTCACAAATCGAACAAGGAAATTAAAGCCTTGGGAATCTTCCACGAAGACCTTCGGCCTGACAATGTCCTTTGGAATGAAGAGCTCAAGCGGGCGCTAATCATCGACTTTCACCGATCTACATTGAGATGTCGGCAAATTCCAAAGCGACCACGAGCAAAGCGACAATTGTTGCGAACCGAGTCAGGAGATGCAAAGCGTTTACGTGTTCTTTGAGAGGCAGTCTTTGAGGTTGTATTTTAATAGCGATCGCATACTACATTCTTGTGTATCCCGAATCAAGACGTTCAGGTGAACGATGAGTGGCGCCTCCATCGGACACCCATTGGCCAGGTGCTTGCGTTCACCTTTCAATCGCTGGCCGCCGAAGCTCCGTCTTAAGAGTGGCATGATGCGGTACCCGGCAAGTAATGACCTAGGAGGTCAAATACCTGGGCCTGTTGGGAAAAATCCCCGAACTCTCCGTGAAGACCCGCCGGCCTCCAATTATCGACCACTCGCACTGGAAACGAGAGCCGAAAACACACAAGACACGATCCCCATGCTCGCTGCCAACCAGGCATGTTTACTCCGAAGCACTCGTTGACCGAGGCAGCGGCAGTGATGAAGAACCGCATTCACCATCCACCGCAGCAGCGGTGCGCAGCCGGTTGAGCCGCGGCCGAGGCAACAATTGTCAATCGTCTAAGGGAAGCGAAAGCACACGAGCTGGCCGGGACAACAAACTGACCTCTCGAAAAGACGGGCAATCTACACGCCTACTGCACAATTGCCTGCATGCGCGGCATGGTCAACCGAGACCATCTGGATAAATAATGCCCCAACTGGAAACTACACGGTGGTCAGAGACACTTCATGGGTCCGCAGTTCACACGCCAGCTTCACGGCCAACTTCCCCGAAACCGATGCCATGGGTTTGAACAACTCCGCGTCTGTGGTCGGACGGGTACCTTGTCAAAGCTACTCTTCTATTACACGGATACACTGTGATAATCAAGACTACCACGGCGGACAAGCAGCATCTCAATCAAGTAGAGGCAGACAATTATCGTTATCTCAGAAGCCTGCAGGGAAAATATATCCCTGTCTGTCTTGGGACATTCACGCCACGGGTCTCATATTGGTACCGCGGCGAACTAATGGAGAAGATGATGATCCTGAGCTGGTTGGGATGGAGGCCTCAGCACGTCAACGATGAGAAGTCGGATTTCTTCCACCTGGAGCGCGAGAAAACCCTGGCTGTGCTCCGGTCGCATGGAGTGGTCTATGGCTACAGTGAGTGGCGCAATATGTTGTGGGATGACCTAGGTAGCCGTTTGATTGTTATTGACTTGGAGGACGTGAAATGGTTGAAGCGCCCTCGTGCCCTTGAACTAATGTCTGGAAATGCACGGCTTGGTCATCGCGCGAAGGTGGGAAAATCCAGGCGAAAACTCTTGTCCAGCTCAACCGCTGTTTGCACATGACGCCCCCACCCCCATGGCTTTTTCGTTTGAGGCGATTCATGTTCTCGCCTTCCGATAACGAGGCGGAAAGAAGTTTGATGAGCGATCACACGTTCTGCTACTGGCCATAAAAACAATTTGTGCCAATTATGGAAGGTATTCTAGAGTTATGTGATGAAATCTCTGAAAAGTCTAATTATCTGGCGCCGTCAAACATACATTCCCTTAATACGACTTTCTCGACCAATCTTCTCCCTAAGGGTCTCACTTTTCAGTTGTCCCCGGTTCCCTCCTTCCCTTCCTTCTCCTCAATACTTTGCTTTCGTCACCCAGTTCTCCACACAAGAGACAGCATCTGAAGGCGACTTCTTTCGCTCCAAAAGAAACGATAGAACTTCTGCTGGGCTGAATACTTGCTCCGGCATCTTGTTGGCGAAGTCACGAGCAAGCCCCTCGATCATCTTGTCATCATATTCCTCATTGCATTGCTTTTGGTTCGGCGACTGCTTGAAGACCGTGTGGAAGAGCTGAGTCGAGATGTTCTGATCGGCAAGCTTGAAATGCACTTTCTTATCTGAGCGCCCAGGCCGAATAAGTGCTTCGTCCAGATGTTCAATATGATTGGTCGTCATGATTAGTATCCGGCCTTCTTGAGATGAGACACCGTCAAGCACATTCAAAAGCCCGGATAGGGTGACTGCTGACTTTGACTCGGTTTCTTGGTCTGCGTCGACGCTGTCCCTGCGCCCCACTCCAGCGGTATCCACGTCCTCTAAGAGAACAATGCAACGCGGCGGTAGCTCAGCAAAAAGCTTCATTAGCTTGCTGTCTGAAATATTCGACAATTGAAGCGTATAAATATCCAGTTCGTGCTTCCCTGCGAGTGATAGACTGAAGCTGGATTTTCCAGTTCCAGGGGGTCCAAAGAGAAGGTAGCCTCGTTTATACGGAATACCCCGTTCTGCGTACCAGTCTTGCATATCTTGGTCGAGAAACTCGTCCACGTCTCTTAAAACATCGTCCTTTACCTGCTTATCCATGATGACCGTGGAGATGGGTCGGACCGGTCTCACTCTGGCTTTCTTCCACTCTCCCTCCCGGTGTTCAAAGACAGAGACTTTTCTCTGCGTATCCTTGAGATATTTCTCGCGACACTCTTCGATGAGATCCTTCAAAATATTTGCATTAAGACCAATGGAAGAGATATAGAGATCTTCTCGATGCTCTTTGACCGCGCAGCGAAGGACAAGCAAATGCCCTTTATACCAAAACAAAAAAGATCCATCCCAAGGAGAAAAGGTCAACGGCTTTTTCTTTGTCGAACATTGGTTGTTTGCCCGCTGTGGAGATCTTACGCGAGCAATCAATGAGTGGGCATTGTGGACAAATGGTTGGTCGGCTATCCAATCAACAAGCATATCGTATGCTTCGTCGTAATATAAGACATAAATTGTCGATGCTTCAAATTGTCAGTCCCACCCGGCAATAACAGGAGGTATACGGACTGAAGTAACTTCTCACTATCTCCCAAACATAGCGGACTGCATAGCGGGCGAAGAGGATAAACATCCCAAAGGTACAAAGAAGTCGAGTGTAGCTGTCCGGGTCACCAGCAAGCAGCTGGCGTGCGGAAGCAGTGACCATACCGAAACCGGGAAAGATGACATCTATCAGAGACATCTGGAAAGGTGAAGAACCACCTCCGTTAATTGGATTCATTGTGTATTAAAGAATTGAAAGACTTGATTCGAAGTTGGTAGATGACAAGAGCGTTGTTTCTGCTCATACTTATATATTCGCTGCCGGCTCTTTTCTGATCGTCTCGTTCTTTGGGAAAAGGTACGAGAACCGAGCTCGAGAGCAGACAAACATTTGATTCGCCCTCATCAGTCAATATTGATAGAACGGGCCCTATCTGTATGCAGGAGGAAGACCCTTGCAGTCTAATCTGGCGAAGCTCTTTTTTTGTGGCTTTCTGTTCTGAGGCACATGCACATATCTATTCTCCCTTATTACACTGTGGTTTGAGTGGGAAAATGACAATCTGACAAATGGCATTTTGTTGATAGTTATCCTTTAGTGAGATTCATCCAATATCGCTTTGCCAAGCGTTATTTCACAAGCGCTATACCTGCTCGGGATAGATGCAAATTGTGTCAATCTCAACACATGATTGTATTACCCTCGAGTTTCTAATGGGAGTCATCTTTCGCCTGGTTTTCTCCGTGCCAGGTCTAACTCCGTTTTGGACATGTCAACCAAAATGCCCCATAAATACCAGTCAAACAACGTACTAATCGACTATCAAATGAGGCCAAACATGGACGAGGTTTCATCCATGGAAGAAAGGAACAATTAAGAGATCATCCGGACTGGACAGACAGAAAAAAAATGTATTTTGGATCTTCTTTTCTATTTAAAGACGACTAGTCCCGCGGACTACAGTCAAAGATTCGATGAAAAGGAAATCTAGAAACATGGAACTAGATCTAATATTCCATCTGGTCGCATCGACAACAGCAACGCTTTGTTCTGTGGCAAGCCTTGCATTCTGGCTCTTGTATACGGAGGCATTAAGCCAGGGAAAGCGGAACAAGAAACAACTCATTTACAGCCAGATCATGATAGGTGGCATTATTATTCTTGGCTCAGTTGCATCCATGCTGCTCGCATTGAAAAGAACAACCGCAGATAATGGTAAGCAGCTTTGTTTGTTAGATGATAAGTCATTCTTACCCAGTGCTAGATCTATTACGTTCAATATCTGCCGTGGAGGTCGGCGTCGTGCTACTTTTGCTCATTTTGAACGAGGTACGTGCAGGTGATATAAGCGAGGTCGACGCTGACACTCATTTACAGTATCTTTGTATATCAACTTTACAGTCATTCTTGACTCACATGATCGCGGCCTTATTCTTCGTTGGTACGATTGTTGTTTTGTCCCTGACCATTTACCAGCCGGCAAGTCTGAACTGGATCTTACATGGAAGGTCTCTTACTAACGGTCTTTCAGCAACATCGCAGGTCTTTGCTTGTGTTATACACGTTCGTGATTTTGGTCAGCCAAGGGTTTATTAACGCACAATTCATACGGTTTTGGGCTACATGCATGAAGCCTATGTATGGAGCTGCCACTACTTTCAATGTATTCTGGCGACATCCAGATCCGACGACATCTAAGCATCACAAGGCTCTCTGGTTGGCGGCGATGGGGTCAATCGTGCTTTTGCTTTACTCACTAGGCACGACAATCCTTGTGTTTATAAGACCATGTCTGTGGGTCCAATTAACGACGGTACGTATATTGGCCTCATCGGAAACCCAGTCACTTACCCGCTGCATAGCTCCAAGTCGCCATTATTAGCTTGAGGAAGGTTGTGACTTCGACTGGCGTTTTCTGAATTTTATTATTTCTGTATTCCAAGGGCAGGGTCGATCAATAGCGGGCACAGGAGTCGATATTTGTGAAAGAACTATTCCATATGGTACGATTTTTTGTTTTTTTGTTGAAAGTGGTTCGTTTTTGCCCTCTGTTGAGAGGTCGCCTCAACCGGCTGTTTGTGGGAAAAAGCTATCCGGACAGATCTCAGTTGGACTTCCGCTCAATAGTAGTGATCGGTAACGAGATCGCAGATCGAGACACAGAAGAAGCGGCCAAAGAATCATCACGATAGGTATATCCGAGTTGACAAAAAAAAGAGGATCGAGTAGGAGGTGAAGGTGGTGATCGGCCGACGCAAGCAGACAGTTAATTAAGCACCGGCAAAGAAACATTAAAATACCGGTCAGAGCTGCGCAAAACAATAATATCAATTTGAATACATATACGAACCGGAATAATTGTCTCGGGTTCTGTGCTGTTGTAGCTGTAGGCTCGCACAATTATGGGAGAATTAGTGGCCAAGGCTGATCTAGCCGCCTTAAGCGTGCAAGGAGGTGCAAGGGAATGACCATTAAGGACAGTGCGATGTAAAACAGAAATCGAAGCCCAGTATATGCAGTGCCATTTCTACTGTTCTCTCTGATGCGAACAGGTGGACGAGCGACGGTTCACCTCTGACGAGAAGAGGCGCAGAGGAAGTGAGATTATTGTAAGTACCCTTTGCTGCCCGATGAAATTGGACTCTGTCCCTAGGTGGGGCAACCCCTCGGGTCACCTGGCAATCCTCAATCTTCAACCCCTCTGCCCGCCTTCAGCGCAGATTGTCTTGCATTTTTGCACCGAGTTGCCAGCGCCATCGCACAACATAGTCGGCTGAGGAATTGCGTACGCCGCTTTGCGTTCGACTAAAGCCTCAGACCATCTTGCCTTCCTCGTACACCGGGCTTGTAAGTATAATTCCTTCCGTCCTCACAACAAGCAATGCTAATTTGCTAAAATGCGAAGTAACAAGCGCAGGCTTCATCTTTCGGTTCCGGATCGATATCGACTGTGAGCATGGTGATGCCGAACGAGGTCTGCCATCCCCACCCGGACTCCTTCGGCTGTATATTCTAATCAAAACAAGGCCTCTTTGGGAACCGATGCAATAGAAGGAGAGATCTACAACATACGTGGAGCCATACTATTCCGACCAACACCTTACGATAGGGAAATTACCGGGAAGGGAGATTCAATCATGGTTTATGATCCGAACGCGGACATGGACTCTCCGCCGTCCTGGGAGAACGAGGATCCATCGAAGGAAGAAACAGGTCCAGTACCAGCGGGTTTCGAGATTCGCGTGATTGGAGCAGTCGTTGTCTTCAAACGCGTATAGCCTTCAGCTCATGGATTAGCTGGAGACCATCTTTATGGCCCACTAAAAGGTTGATGGATATATCTTGACTTCGGTTCTTTGGTACGAGCGCGGCCAAACAATCGGATGTTTCTGTCCCCCCCAACTGTGCGCTCCCACTGCCATTGATGACTGCTCTGAAGTGCATTGAAGAGCCTATCTCCTAACATTGGAAGATTGGAGATAGGCGAAGAAGAGCATCGGTAGTCGATTTCTGTTTCTTGTTATTAAGATGCCTTGTATGAATATCGAGATAGTCATGGTATCTCACGTCTGTTTTGCTGTATCGCTGTTGAATTATTTTTGTGGCTATGATGTATTTCACGCGATTCAGTAGCCAAGGTTCCTTCTGGCCCACCCTCATCGGTTGCTTCGAATCCAGTCGAATCCATCGGCGTCTCTTCTATACGTCTTCGCTTGAGGGATGACTGTTGTTCACCGCTGGGGTTGGAAACTTTCTCGATGAACGTTTGAAATGGTCCAGAGGCCTTTAGAGGTCCCTCCTTTGCGAGAGATAATATAGTTTCGAATATTCGTGGCGGAATTTGTTCGATTCGTTCGTGATGGAGGTCTCCGATGAGAAAGTGAAAGGTCTTGTCGGTCATACCCCCCGAAGCTTTCCAGGCAGATGGCTGAAGCGCCATCGCCCACATGAGAATAACATGAGCATGCTGAGATCTAAGTGTCGCACATCTCGTTTCAGTCTGCTTATTTCTTGTTCTCACTTGCTTGGATTCGAAAGTAAACGTCGTTGGCCCCATAAAGATAAGAACTAGATTCCTTTTCAGAGTCGTCATCGTCGATGGAGTAAAGGATGTATCGTTCTTGGCAGACCGGACACGACTTGCAAGTCGAATATCCTCTTCATCGGGGTACCCGATGGCCAACAATCCCTGTATTCCAGCATCAAAATTCGCTAATGTCGCCTTGAATCGTGTGTATAAACCTCGGAACTCAGTTAATTGGTCCGTAGATGGGCGAATACGTTTTTGACAGAGCTTCAAGCTGACTGATTCCATTTTGTTTACCAGTGAATCAAACTGCGACAGAACCACAACGGCAGACATGATGAGATAGGCAGAAGACGCAACTCAGGAAAGAACAAACAGCAAAAACGGGAGGGTAATGGTATTTTAAAGGCGGATCGGTCTTTAGCCTATCCCAAGTTGGCTTAGTTGACTACGTGACTGGAGAATCACATTCGGATGAAAGTCACGAAAATGCGAGAGCTTTATTGGCGGATCGAAGCAGGTCCCAGCCAATTGGCATGGTTATTGGCTGGCAAACTATAGCGCAGCCTCGAGCTAAACTGATGCGTGGCTGCTGAATTTACCGTTTATTTCCAGCTGACGCTATTTACTTGGCGATATATCCAGATTTGATATAACTTTTTATGTGGTGTAACACCGAACCCCGCATTTTGAAGTATAACAACACTCACGTTTTTGAGGTTCGATAAAAAGTAGCGGCTTTGAATTTATGAGTGGCTGGCTGCTCCGTTCTATGGCCAATGGCAGCCAGTATGTAGCCGCCAGTCACCTTTCCGACGACTGAGTCCGTGCTTACATGCATATTTGTCATTGCGAAACCGCGTGCTGCAGGCCACGTCAGCAGAAAACTAAGTACGGAAGCTCTCAAGCCAAGAATAGGTGGTTGCGGCTCAAATATTTTTCAGCTGGAGTGGATCTTTGCTATAGTGATGGACTATTAGCCGCCGTAATCCTGGACTTATTCCCGTTCTTTGTCTTGAGCACGCCCAGGATGACAGGGTTCCCCGCTTACTCGATATTTGGCCCGACCCAGCTCAAGTTATATTGATGACAAGCATCAACCGGCTGTTTTCTCATATAAATACAGACGTACGATTGCGTACTTTTGACCGGTATCGACCACAAGGCCCCTGTCGCTACCCACTGTCTCCTCATATGGTGTACACAGCGGTGCTGTTCACCACTGGTCTAATCGTTAGCAAACAGTCTTCGGTGGTACCAAAATCAAGGTCCCCTGTTGCGCGTCTCGCCGTGGCAACCTGTACACGGAAGTTTCACCTGCATTGCATATGCATGCCAAGCAAGGTCAACAACGCAGTGTAGCGCGCGGTGTATTCTACAACGGCTTTTAGCTGAGGACTCTATGGAAGGCTATTTATGGCAATTACCTCATGAAGTATGTAATGTTGACTGTACTGGCGCGCGCCTGACCATTCAATGATGGTGCTCAGGCGCAGAACGAAACTATATATTAGATGCTCTCTCCAGCAGAACTGCATGTCACCAACAACCGCAAACTTACAACGATATCACTGCACCACATTGTGTTCTCGTACCGCAATTGATCATGTCTTTGGCAAATCTCAAAGTCAATGGACTTTATATCATCCTTTTTATTCGGAATCATCCGCCAGTTCCAAATGATTTCCACTGGGGCCTCTACTTTCATCGTCATCCCGACACTGGCGGCACAAAATACCACATCACGCAGCAAGGTAGTGGCTGGCTGCCCGGCCATGGACCTACTGCGGGTGTCTTTAAATCCTTTCTTCTTGTCGGGCTTTTCAGAATTGCTGATGTCCCTATGGGATATGAAGGTCACTTGGATCAGACTATGAGGACATACGACAATCAATTAAATGTTCCAGGCGTCACTTGCCGTGTCTGGGTCCTTTGGGTTCTGGCTCTTCTGCAAAAGACCATCAATGGACAGGTGATACTGAAATGTAACAATTTGGGAGCACTAGAGACCGAGGTCAAGAATTGGGGAAACGCAAATGCTATGACTGCCGCAAACAATGTCCAGCCGCGGCCATTGGCAGCTTCCTCTCTGTGCGGATTATGAGAGACCTTTCCAATGACCAAGGTGTGTTGAGCGCCCGAATTTCATCAAATTGCGAATCGCTAAATGCAGCAGCAGACGTGCGGGCATGTTTCTCGGTAATCTCAAGTGGCACGGGATTACAGGAAATGCCACAAGTTCTATGGTGGTAGCTATCCTATGGCTTTAGATTACAATATTATACGTCTACTGTCTCCAACAATATACTGGTGATTTCGCGTATGCGGTTCGAAATATGGTCGGTGAACGTTGATTGAAACAGAAAGCATGAATACAAAAGAGGCCAATAAGACATCACTGGTCTACCAATAGTAAGAAGCGCCGGTCAGAGAAGTCAAGGCCTTCTCACAATCCATCTCTGCCAAATATGAGTCTCCACCGAGTTTGATCACAAAGCTGTACCACCAAAAATCCTCCTGCGTGAACCTCAAAGCAGTAGTGAAGTCCCAATATTCAGGGTACCAGCCTGCCGATTCCCAATCCAAAAATCCGGTGATCTTGCCCCCTTGTACCAGAATGTTATGGTGCTTTAAATCTCCGTGGGTAAAAACAACGCGATGAGGCAAGCTTCCCATCACTTTGACGCGATTGAGTGCATCTTTGTATTCCGTGTCTGATGAGAAACCACCCGACCAAGCAGGCCGTATGAGGTACTCATTGAAATCTGCCTCTGACTCAAATGGACCAGCAAAATGACCGGGAAGGCGGACACTCCTTATCGAGGTACCTCGAAGAGAGCAAATTCTTTGCCCACCCCAGGGACTTGACCACCCTCGTATGATTTTTAGGTAGCCTTTAAGCTCTTCTAGAATTGAATTTTTATCCTCGTCACTGAGGGATTCAAAAACTTGGCCTAATTCTTCACCGGGCACGCGAGTCATGAGAATCGAGACCGGTGCATGGGGTGTGTCAGTATGCTCGCCATAGCAGATCACCCTTGGGACTGGAAGACCTGCTCTTCGTGCAACTTGCATAGACAACACTTCCTCGATTCGAGTACCATCGGACCATTTCAAGATCAATCCAAATGGAAGCTGAGCAATCTGATTATCATAGGATATTCCGACCCAGTCGCAATAAGATCGAGAAAAGCGTCTCAGATATCTGTGGAAAAACCCCCAAAATTTACGCAGCCGTGGGTGCGTTGGCCGAGGAGTCGATGGTATTCGATCGCTAGAGACCGGCCGGACGTTGTCTGGCCACGTAAAATCGGGCATGACACAGCGAGGTATTAACCAATGTTTCATTGTGAGCATAGATGAGTATCTGAAGTGATCAAATCAGTCCGAAGAGTTAAAGGGAATATTAAGGTTGAAAGGGGAAACTGGCAACAGCGCGTCAAGGCTACTCTTTATAATGCCGGCATGAAATGCGGGCGGTGTATCAACGATCACATGGTAAGGTGCCGCCAAGACACTCAGCGAACTTGCTATGAATTGAGACTTAAATCACTGAAGCGAGTGCCGCTGTCGCTGCCCAATTCGGAATTACGTGCTCTAGTCACCACATGAGATTCAGAGCTAGCGGTAGTTACTTGGGTTATGCGGGTCTATCAGGAAAAAAGACAACTAATCTTCAAATGATCGAAATCATCACAATAAGTCGCGAGACCGCACACCAAAAGAAACCGAAGATTAGCTGCAACAGTCATCACAGCTTTCATGTTTTATAACCCTGTAGTCATCGAAGCAGGTCTTCATTCGCTGGGTGATTATTTGGTCATGGATGGTTTTCACAGCCGAAGACCATATGTATCTCATCACGAAGCAGAGCTACTTTCGCCAGTAGTCGATATCATCGTGTGGAGGCACATCCACCAGAAAAGACCCGATGTGACTCATGAGAAAAGTCAGGCGCCACTGCGCTCCTGGGAGCTGCGTGTAGATTTGCGACATCAGAGTCTGTGTGATGTAACCTCAGATGAAGGTATACATAGCTAGGGATGCTGGATTGGGAGTACTGATGGTTTAGAGTCGTGTACTCGACACCATGTCGGCTTCATTGAGAGGCGAATCTATACTGGGAAAATAAGAAACCTGCGAGATCCATCCGCCAGAACCCTATCGATATCTTCATGTCGTCTGCATTTTCTCAGCAACAGGACAAAAATTATTGCGGGATCAGAGTTATTCTCGGGTCCATCTCAAGGCTGAGGGCTTGAGTATGCTAATCGGCCGTCACTGCTGGCTCTAGACCACAGGCTCGGACAAGAGCGTGTGACTATCGGTGAGGTATTATTGCCATTGGATGATTGTGACAAGGCGCAGCACCTGCAGTCAACAGGCAACCAAGTCGCGACAGAACAAGGTAGAGATCAACCAGGGGGGAACAAAGAAGCGGGTCAGAGGATGCATCACCAATGCGGGCGCAGACGTGGTAAACCACCAAATCGCCGACACAATGAAGATCAGGTGAACAGATAAAGAGCAATTTGGGTATTTGTAGAACGAATAGATTGAATAGGTAGTGTGAGCATCTGTAGAAGAATAATCGATACCGTAGTATGGGGCAAAATAACTTCGGTCCCAGGAGTGAAAGTGGAGGAAAGACAAGGGATCAGCCGCAGTTTGTGACCAAAAGTGACAGGGGTGGATGGGGCAGTCGGCGAGTCCGATTGGGCGTGCAAAATCCCAGGTGCTTAACAATGAGTGCAAGATAGAGAGGTAGAAGAATGGAAAAGTGAGAGAAGGGGAAGACGAGCGGCGGAGACGGGTGTTTTATGTCGGAGGGCATTGAAGGGAGGTTACGTGACGGCGTATTGGGGCGCTAAACCCGAAATGGCAAAACTAACCGGATACAGTAATTCACAGGTCCCCATATTACATGGGTGTGTTTCCCCTGGTCAATGACTTTGACATTGTGAATACCGGGAGCACGGGGTGACCTGCTTGGAGGTACAAAGAAAGTAGGCTCTGTGGCCTTCCTATAGGCGAGGCTCTCAACAACGGGTCGATGATTGGCTTCCAGGGAGATGACTAAACGTAGTGTCAACCTCATTTTGCTGCGATTTGCAGGACTTGAAACATGCTGCAGGGAATTACTTGCCGGCATATTTTGTATTTTCGATGGCTACCTTGGATGCTCTCTCGCCGGGATCATCTGAAAGATAAGTTGCGGGCGCAACACGTAATAGGGCTGATTTTGCCGCAAATCTTTGAGGATAATCATGGTCCTTTTGTGTTCCGCTATTGACATCCCTCCTTTGGGTATTTGGAGCATTAGAATTGATGCAGTGCCCCGATCTTGATTTTAAAAAATCACACTATAGGACTAGTGATACCGTCTAGACCATCATACTCTAAATATTATCCTAAATAGATGTATTTGTTGAGATATAGAGTTGTAATTTTCTCACATTTACTATGTGTTTTGGGGTGACCCGTTTGACCGTGTGACCCGTTTGTCTGTGGATTACGTTATTGGAAGTACATTAACTAGTTATAGGGTGAGGCTACTCGCACGACACTTTGGCTGCTCGCACGACATACTAACCGCTTTCGGAAAATGTAGTTATATAGTTAATCAACTTGTCTTGATAGTAAAGGTGGCCTCGAACCAACGAATTTTTTGGGCAGAAAAAGAGTTGGGGTTGGGAGGACCAATTCTACTTTTAATCATCCGTCTGCTGATTATTTGCGGCGGGTGTCGTCTCGCCCTCGTGTGTGACGCCATCTTCAGATCGTGCCATATTACCTTTTCCAGCCCTTTCCAAGTCCTTTTCTGTGACTAATTTGGGGTCGGATAACTAGTAGTTAAGAGCCTTTGGAGAGTCAGCGTTCTTTTCTACCAGGCCAAAAGATTCTGCAACCTACTAGCTTGTGTGATAAGAAACACAAAATCCCGAACCATCCGATGACAGGAGAAACACTTGGCCCGTCTGCCGAAGTCGTATACCCAAACAAACGTCTGCGAGCCAAGTCTAATGGTAATCTTACCGCGAGGAAAAAGGACGATAGACGAGAGCGCTTTCTTTAAGTCGTAACATCTTTGACGAAAAGTACTGGCTGCTCGTGCATCGCCTGCGCGATAATGTAAGAGCTTTCTTGTCTTTCATTTATCATGGAAGCAACTCTGGAATTATTCTCTACAGTACTTTCTGTTCATAGGGTAAAGATCGGTCGGACAGGTTGGTTAGACAGGTTATCTGTTATGGAGAGAATGCGAAGAAATTTTTCTGGAAGACGTGAAATTGTCGCGAGGCTCAGAATCAGTTAGAAAGCGTGTCGGTCCCCTAGATTAAGATTTAAAGTATCTTTTCGAATCCCACCCATCAGGAGCAAAGTAACTTAGAGACCTCTGACAGGCAACTTTAGCAAGAGAAAATGTCCCCCTCTCTTTATGAAAGCTTCACACTTGTGGCAAATACACTGACAGTTCCAATCCTCCACTGAACGGCATCGTAATGGTTCTGAATCCGTTCTCAGGATTGCGCATGTAATTAAGAAAGTCCTTGTATAAGAACTTGGCCAGTCCCACATTGTCCGTAACGACAATGGCGCCATGCTTCAGCCTTGGCTGAACAAGCTTGAGGGTTGGAAGTGCGAGGGGTGTCCAGACTACGTATTTTGTCAGCCAGGAACTATGGCAAACTGTTGCATACTTGAAAGATAAAGCGATTAGAAAATAACCTACTGTCAAGCAACAGGAAGTCGACCTGCTCTGGCATCCCTCTGTCGACTTTCAATGTCTCCAGCACGTCACCTTCGCGTAGTTCGATCCACTGTTCCACTTCACTTCCAGCTTCCTTCCAATGCTCCCTTGCTTTAGTCGCCTTAGATCTTTCCTTTTCTGTAGCTATCACCTTTCCAGTAACTGCGGTATGGCAACCCTCCACTCTCTGTTGCTGTATATTCTGGCCCACAGCTAAGGCAAGATATATCGTTGAGACCCCAAAACTCGTTCCTGCCTCGATCACGTAACGTGCTCCCGTGCTTCTCAGTAGCAGGTAGATCAAATGGCATTTGTCGGCATCCAAGGCAACAAATTTGTCACGCATGTGCGTATCGGCAATGGCGGACCAGATTTCCCCGAAAAGAAGGAAGCGAATCAGCCTAGACAGGTAGAAGAATCTCTGGGATAAAGACCTCTCCTCCGCTTCCGACAAGGCGTGTAGTTTCCGAAGAAGTTTGTGCACGTTCGGGTTGGCTATAACAGGCATTGGTGTATTAAATTCCATTGAGCTAAACGGTGATATTGGCGATTACTATTGCGATAATCACCACGGCAAAAGCTGTTTAACGGCATTATATATAGGAGTGCATAGGCGACCCTTGGGAAGCAGACGTGCGGTCCATCTGCCGTTAACTTTCGCATCGCGGAAGTTTGCTACCGAGGCGGGGTAATGAACCTTGCTCGCTCGGGAAATAGCAGCTTCCGCCACCGACGTGATACGATTTGATCAATTCAAATGAAACCCAGGGAGCTTTCCCTCCACACAGCTTCCCGACGCACTGGAATTTATTAACAGTACACATTTCCTTGTGTATAGAACAGTAAGCATTAAAACAAAGACCTAAAAGAAAGGATAAGTTAAGGAACAAGGGTTGTTCCCATTTTTGTCATCGTGCCGTACAACGCCGCAAACATGCTCCTCTGGTCATATCGCTACCCTGAAGTCCCTTGTGGACGCTGATGAGTCAGATTTAGCAGCATGATCCAAGCATGTGACACGCACAATTGACGCAGTCTACGCAAAAACGCGGGTGCTTGGGTCGCGGGGTGGCGGGATGAAGGTCGCGGGATGGTCCAGTCCGGTTCTGACCGGTTTGATACCGATGTAAATCAGTAAACCAATAGGTCGCGGGGTCGCTGAAAAAGGTCGCTGTCAGGTTGAATTAGATTATTTTGAAATTTTTCATGTTTTTATGAGAAATTCAAAGTTACTCGATTAAAACTAGGCTTCCCATCCCGCGACCTCCACACAGCGACCTCTTACAGCTAATAATCTAGTAAGCATAAGGAAAAATTGCGATATTATAGTGAGCTCCCAGTCTGTTCCGGATTATACTGGAGTCGTAGACCCTATAGTTGGTAACAGGCTGTAATAGGGGGTTATGAAATTGAACTGGTAAGAAATGGAATTTAATTAGAAAGTAATTAGAAGGTACTAAGGATTAGATCCCTCCGTCTATTATTGGTCAAACTCAATTTCTTTTTGGAATCTATGTCCATCAGATTATAATCTAGATTTCGATTATCAAGACTGATATACATATCTCAGTAATAAATGCTAAGTAAAAGTGGCCTCTTAGATCTTTCCTCAAATAGAAATCTTAAAATAATTTAGAATCTACTAGTGATATTCAAAATAAGATAGAGTATTTTGGTCTCTCCTTTGGTTTACCTAAATAATTCCTTATCTATTCAATTAGAACCAAATCAGTAGAGATTGCTTAGTTTGCCTATGCCGGAAGAATCCATATACTGATATAACCGGAAACTTCCAGTCCTAATCCAGCTGCCTTAGGCCCCTGATAACTAGCAAACTTACTTATGTTATCACGTTATCAGATCATATTTACTATCTTTATTAGCGAATACCTCTAGGATTGAGAATAAATAGGATATCTAGTAAATCGCAGACTTATAAGTTATATCGTACACATTGAATTACTTCAAGACCAACTGAAACTACTAAGTGATACCTAATGGTTCCAAGCTAACTAATATAAACCAAATACAGCCTAGTCTTCTGAGTACCTATTTTAGCATTTGTAGTCTAAATAACTTACTTCCAAACTAACTAGATCGATTCAATTTAATTCATAACCCCTTATTACAGCCTGTTACCAACTATAGGGTCTACGACTCTAGTATAATCCGGAACAGACTGGGAGCTCACTATAATATCGCAATTTTTCCTTATGCTTACTAGATTATTAGCTGTAAGAGGTCGCTGTGTGGAGGTCGCGGGATGGGAAGCCTAGTTTTAATCGAGTAACTTTGAATTTCTCATAAAAACATGAAAAATTTCAAAATAATCTAATTCAACCTGACAGCGACCTTTTTCAGCGACCCCGCGACCTATTTGGTTTACTGATTTACATCGGTATCAAACCGGTCAGAACCGGACTGGACCATCCCGCGACCTTCATCCCGCCACCCCGCGACCCCTGGACTCCAAAAACGCCTCTCCACAGACCGGCTCACCGTAATATCACGTAACTATGTAGCTAAATATATCTTATTCGTAGACTTGTCTGGGTCTTGCTAATATGCCATGACAGAATGCGCTAAACTGGCGAAAAATCCCGCAGCGCCGGTACATCCGCCTCTGAACCCACATGCCAATATTCAAGTGATAAACAAGTCATGAGTCGCCTTCGATCATGCTTAAGTACCTTCACATGAGTACAGTAAGCTGAATTTTTCAGAGTAAAATCGGGGCGGGATGCCAAAAATAGCAAAAAACTGCTATTCAATTGAGGTTGACAGAAGAGATGAATGCGAGCTGGTCGAATTTAGAACTTCGGATTAATGTGCCCGTTAAGTTGAACAACCGACCTCTGTAGGGGTGTTTATATAGATCATAGAACTGTGATATCATTGAGAGCATACTGTAGCCAGTGGACTTTGGACTGCCCCAATAGTGCATCAGCTATCCCGACTGACTACCATAGAGATTCTGCCGGCAAATCGAGCTGCGCCTAAAAGAGCCAAGTACTGTGTGTCATATCACAGTACTTGGCTTGTAGGCAGACTGACTAGGTTGAAATAATTCTTGCTAAAGACCTGGGCGGGTGCGAGGATAATAGGAAAGCACATGACTTTGTGCATTGAGTGGGCAAGGTGTTGGGCCAACTCTTTTTAATCACCCTAACTCTCTACGAAAGTGTGACAAGAGCCTATTCTTCGGGATACTGTAAGAGTGCATTCTGCAGCGAATACTGAGACTGGAGAGAAGAGGGAAGGAAGAAGTGCTGGAGGTGCAGTGCCTGCCCTCATAACCTTTGGTCTCCGCCAATCAGATCGCTCGAACTAGCTGGTCTATCTACACACAGTTTCCCAGTGTCAGAGAAAGGATGTTGTTTAAAACTACTTCACCGTTTTCACCATTGTTTGCATCATCCGTTTTAAGCCCTGATCTATAGACTTAGCGCAAGTGGATACCACCATCCACGAAAACACGAATACCGACAAGCCAGCTTGGAATAGGAGATCTTCCACAGCATCATCCGATCGTCAGATCCGTCAGGTCTACCCTCGCCAGTGAAATGGCATCTCAGCCCGGAACCTTATCAAAAGTCTATCAAAATCGCTAGAGAATCTTGAAAATCGGGTTTGTCATCCCGCACGCCACGCACAATTCCCGCAAGCCGATTAGGCTTTTGGACCCACATAGTTGACTTGGTGGCCACTGTATGGAGGATGGAATACTTGGGCTCCGCGTGAATATCGCGTTAGCGGCCCTACGTAATGTTCCTGTCCATTCAAATTTTTTGCGGCTGAGACTAGAAAGGGGTCAACACTTTGCCTCTTGGACCAACGGAATTATGGACGCCATAAATCTAACTTATATGGCGCCACCTCCTTCTCTCTGACTTTTGCCATTCATGTTCGCAATAATCATATCCCTAATCTTCTGGGGCTTGAACACTTCAAATTCATCTACTTTTGCGCCGTTTTTTCTGAGCATGAGTGACTTCCCATCTCAGTCGAGGCTTACCACGATTCTCGTGGACAACCTCCATTGTCCATCTTGTGTTGTAACCGTGCAAGAACTCCTTTCTACTCTCAGGCCTGCTCCCTTTTCTGTTGCAACCTCCATCGTCCTTCATGAGATCAAGGTCGTGCATCCCATCACACTCAGTGCCTCCCGCATCGCGCGCCCCCTCACACATGCCGGCTTTGAGCTAGACAACATCGTGCAGTCGGACTCCCATAATGGCGACATAGAAGCCCAAAACTACTCCTCTGGGTCGACCTTCAAGCGCGCCAGTGAAAAAAAGATGTCCATTGCCAGTCAGAAAAGCACATTCGTCAATGCGAGGCCTGCTTGACACAGCTGGCAGCTCTTCCCACGAAGACGGCGGAGAGAGAGCTGCCGTCCGTGACTAGCTCGACGACGGGCACGCTACCCAGTGGCGACACGTTGACCTCTGTCATGGACGATCGCACTACAGGAATCAAGTATCGTATCTCCCTTGCGATAAGTGGCATGTCGTGCAGTTCCTGCGTGGGAAAAATCACAGGCGTCTTACAAGGCCGACCGTGGATCCTGTCGATGGATGTGAACCTCTTGACTAGTAGTGCAGTCCTGGTCCTCTCCGACCGCGCGCACGTGGACGAGATACTTGAGACCATTCGAGGATCTTGGTTCGAAGTAGAGATGGTGGACACTGAGGAGATTCGACCCCAAAGACCCGCTCCTCGATCTGCACCGGCGGCAGACGACGCCTGGCGCGCATCCTATATCATCAAGGGCATGAGTTGCAGCTCTTGCGTTGGAAAAGTCACGGACACGCTGAACCAATATGAATGGATCACCAAGGTCGATGTTAACCTTGTGTCGGGCTGCGCCACAGTCGAGTACATTGGCAAAGATCATCTGGAGGAGACTGCCAGGATCATCGGCGAGTTGGGTTATACCGCCACCCTGAGTGATATCGCGAGCCAGGTCTCACTTAACTCGCCGATCTCGGTGCGCGTGATCCAGATTCAAGTGGACGGCATGCATTGTGATAAATGCCCCCAGCGAATTGTCGATGCCTTGGCAAGTACATATGGCGACAAGGTCGAGCTATTAGGGCTACCCACCTCCCAACAGCCCCGATTCAAGATACGATATGTCCCCGAAATACCAAAGCGCACCATCCGCGACATCCTACGCACCATCGCTAATGTGGACAAGGCCTTCACGGTGTCAATTTATCATCCGCCCACGTTGGAGGAACGTTCACAGGCCATGCATCGTCGACACCAGTGGTCCATTGCTAGACGTTTGGTTCTCGCTGCGTTGACCGCAATTCCGACCTTCACCATTGGTATCGTCTACATGTCGTTGGTGTCTAATAATAACCCGGGCAAGAAATACCTGAACGAGCCTATATAGGCTGGACAGGCAACACCATGGAATGGGCTCTTTTCATCATGGCTACCCCAGTTTACTTCTACTCCGCCGGGCTGTTCCATCGAAAGACGATGCATGAGCTCGTAGCCCTCTGGCGACCTGGAAGTAAAACGCCGATTCTCCGCCGATTCTACGCTTCGGAAGTATGGATATGCTCATGTCTTTGGGTACATCGATCGCCTACTTCGCTTCGATCGCCGTTCTCGCTATCAATGCCACCCAACCTGCCGACTCGGCAATGCACTATACCGAAACTTTCTTTGACTCGGTCGTCTTCCTGACTATGTTCTTGATGATAGGCCGCTTGCTCGAAGCCTACAGCAAGGCAAAGGCCGGTGATGCCGTTGGCTTACTCGGCAAGTTACGGCCCACGGAAGCGGTTCTGATCACGCCGTCCCATAAAGACCAAGCAGAGACCACATCCACCGTTCCAATTGACCAGCTGGAGTTCGGCGACCTGGTTCGAGTTGCCAACGGTGCCTCCCCGCCATACGATGGAACGATCATTACTGGAGTATCCCGCTTCGACGAATCAAGTTTGACTGGCGAATCCCTGCCCGTGGAGAAGTCGGTCGGTGATGAAGTCTTCTCTGGAACCATTAATCAAGCCGATCCCGTCACGATAAAGATCATTCGTCTTTCCGGTGACTCGATGCTGGACCAAGTCATCAGTGCCGTGCGAGAGGGCCAGATTCGAAGAGCACCGATTGAGCGGACTGCTGACCTTCTCACAAGCTATTTTGTTCCCGTCGTGACTTTGATCGCCGTCGCGGATTGGTTGATCTGGTTAGGCCTCGGGCTTTCAGGCCGCCTGCCAGAAGCTTGGCAAGATGGCCCTGGAGGATGGGAGTTTTGGTCGTTGCAGTTTGCCATCTCTGTCTTTGTCGTTGCCTGTCCCTGTGGAATTGGACTTGCTGCCCCGACAGCTCTGTTTGTTGGTGGTGGGTTGGCCGCCCGGCACGGTATCCTTGTCAAGGGAGGTGGTGAAGCTTTCCAGGAAGCAAGCCAGCTTGATTGCGTTGTCTTCGACAAAACCGGCACGATCACTGAGGGCGGAGAGCCGTTGATCACCAATCATGTAGTCGCCTATGAGGAAAGCAATCTTGTCGACGTCTGGGGCGCAGTTTTGGAACTTGAACAAGGCAGCAGTCATCCAATCGCCAAAGCTATGGTAACTTTCGCCGCTACTCAGCAGCATTCAGTTCTAAAAACCGTCTCTGCGCATGAAATACCAGGCAAGGGTCTCAAGGGTCTCTTCACACGTCCCAGTCAAGATGCCACCACCAGTCTCGAGGTGATCGTTGGCAATGAGGCGCTGATGTTGGATCACAACATCGTCATCTCGTCGGCTAACTTGGAAACGCTCATGGCATGGAAACACGAGGCCAAATCGGTCGTGTTGGTTGGCACCCGCGCCCAAGCTGCCGACGACTCCGTCCTATGGCAGTTGTCAATCATACTGGCTGTCGCCGACCCGGTCCGGCCAGAGGCTAAGGGTGTCCTGCTGGCTCTTCGCGATAGGGGTGTCGATGTTTGGATGCTCTCTGGAGACAATCCCACAACTGCCAACGCGGTTGGCAAAATAGTTGGAATCCCTCCCGACAATATCATAGCAGGCATTCTCCCAGAGGAAAAGGCAGAGAAAGTGCGATATTTGCAACGCGTCTTGCAAAAGCCCACCCGTTGTAGTTGGTTCGGCAACCAGGCAGTCCCCAGTACGAAACGGGCGATCGTGGCCATGGTCGGTGATGGTATCAACGATTCTCCCGCGCTTACAGCTGCAGACGTTGGCATCGCTATTGGATCGGGCTCGGACATTGCCATCTCCGCGGCTGAATTCGTGCTTGTCTCCTCCGGTCTGACGTCGCTCCTAACCCTGATCGACCTCAGTCGTGTAGTTTTCCGTCGGGTCAAGTTCAATTTTGTCTGGGCATTGATCTATAACTGCATTGCCGTGCCCGTCGCAGCTGGTGTCTTCTATCCCATTGTGAGCAACGGCAAACATGTCCGTTTGGACCCAGTGTGGGCGAGCCTTGCTATGGCATTGAGTAGTGTCAGTGTCATCTGTAGCAGTCTGCTCATGAGAGCCCGGTTGCCTTTGGTCGGCTTCAGGGGCAAGACATGGAGCAAACAGTAATACAAGTTTGGAACGGTGTTTTGTCAGATTGTGCTGGCCAAGTGGTCATTTCGTGTTATATAGGACATCTTGATAGTCGGAGAGTCTAATACATTGCATTGCACTCAAGGCTCAAGATCCCAAGAAGCGTATTTACAGTCATGTTGTGGATACGATGTGTATCCGATAGTCACTCGCCTCCACATAATCTTCGTGTTGTCCCTTTTTTCCCATGTTAGAAAGGGAGGCCTCAAGGAATAAGCGAGCCGGTCTGAATAGTTAGGCTCTTCAATGAACGAACTCCGGACATCTGAGAATATTATTATCCTTAATAACTCCACACCTATTTGCTGTAGCCACTTTTAAATTGGTCCCCAGGATATCACGTCGGTCAAGAAAGGAAGTCCGAATAGATGCCAATTCATAAAGCCTAGACTAGGTTCTTTTTCCTCTTGAGCGTTAAGCTAAAACATGAACTGAAGGGCAGTTGTGCATTGAGAAAGACCGTCCCTAGTGGACCCACCCTGTCCCTTTAACGCTTCCTCAAACATGGAATACATGGTTTGGGCAATAATGTATGCAGTATAAGTCTGTTACTCCGCAAGTGCAATTAAGTGGCTGTGGTCCAGCTCTGTGACAAATTCGGGCACTAATCACGTAGATCTAATAGCGTATGCCAACGCAGTGGGCTCCGTTATTAGCTAAGGGTGTCCCAGTGGGCCTATGTCCGAAGTAGCTGAAATTTAACGATTGTGTCGTATACTGCACACGCAAGCTGCAGGCAGGACAGAGCGAGGGCGTCTAAGCCCGGGGTTAAGGCTGCAACCGAATCAACTGAACACGTCACACAATCCCCTAACGCCAAGATACGGGTCTTGGCAAATTAAGGCGGCTTTCAGGCTCCCAGTCACTAGCCCTCGTCATGCGAATGCGCTTAGATTTACATGTGTTATAAAAATGTATCGGATAAACATTCACTTAGTCCGTTACATCTATTGCAAGGTGCTTGCTTACTCAAGTCAACCGTTCCTAAAGCGCGCTATCCGACACACAGTGTGACATGATAACCGTATTCCCGTGGCTTCCTGCCCACCCACAACGTCCGAGGTTCCTCTAGAGAGACCATTTTCCTCCACGTTGATTTATGCGCGATTAGTGCGTGAAATTACGTCATAGAAATCTATAGTTAGTTACCTTGCGACAGCTAAATAGTACTATTGTCACTAGCTGCAGGCTGAGCATAAGATTTCTATGATAGTGTAAGCAGCCAATCCGGTTTCAAGAGTTTCAGATGGTTGCAGGCGGCAACGAGAGTTTGCACTGCCACATATGACTGTTTTGAGTGATAGGACAAACCTAAACCGCCTAGTCTTACCCAAAGCGGGCTAGTCTATTTCGCCTCCTAATCCTCATCAATGAATGAGTGGGCGAGGTACAGCACCAAGGGCCCTTGAAGTCGCAAAAGCCCACGCCCTGGAACAGTGGCTCGCAAGGGCCATCGACGCGACCGGAACACATCTTAAATACTCAGCCTTCGCTTCCCCAACACCAGGACTCACTTGCAGCTATTTTGAAAATGGTGTCCTTCGCGTTCCATCTTTATGCACTGCTTACTTTCCTTGCCGTAAATGGCGCTTTCGCCCGTTTGCGGACCTTCAATTTCACTGTGCACAGTGCTGTGCGTAGTCCAGGTTTGTGTGCCCACTGTCCGATGGTTACCAGGAACCAGATGGCTGATATATCTTGCCAGACGGATTTTCTCGTACGGTCTATCTTATCAATGGTCTACAGCCAGGACCGATAATCGACGTTGACGAGGGAGACGATGTGGAAGTGTTCGTCAAGAATGACTTACCCGTTAACACTACGATCCACTGGCATGGTATGTTAAATATGGGAGAGACACTCTACCCAGTCTGTTCTTAACTCGTTTCGTGAAGGGATACTGCAACGTGGAACACCGGACATGGATGGTGTCCCAGGGGTTACTCAGGTGAGTATTGATTGCTATAAGGTCCCTCAACTCCCGCAAGGGGCTATTCATTAGGCGATATTCACTCATTCCACCTTGTTAGTATCCGATACCGCCCGGGGGGAATTTCACCTACCGCTTTTCCTTGAAGAATGAGTACGGATTCTACTGGTATCATTCTCACTTTCGCGCGTACTACGACGATGCCATACGCGGACCCTTTTTGATCCGGCCAGCACCGTCCCGCCGTCGGTCTTTCGAGGAACTTCCGGATTATAAATCTGATCGTGATCAGATGTTACAGGCTGAAAAGGACGCTGTCCCTATACTCTTGAATGACTGGACCCATGAAGTTTCCGACACGATATTTGCGCGCTATCTTCAAACGGGTGCCTTCCCTGGCTGTGTTGATAGCATTCTCGCGAATGGACTTGGTCGGGTGGAATGTCTGCCAAAGTACATCCTCGACGCTGGCCCTGGTTTAGGGATAAGTTCGGACCCGACTACAGTTCAGGAGTCTTCTGCAACAACAACGCCGACAACCACGTCTGCGGAAATGGAAATGTCCGGAATGGTCAAACGGATGGACGGCAGCATGAGCGACTCTAGCGGTAGCCAGATGGCAGTCTCTACAATGAAGCCGTCAGTATCCATGGCAGACCAGACAGGAATGGCCAGCTCAGGAGGTATGGGCCAGGAAATGCGACTGAGTGCTCGGGGCTGTACGCCGCCTATGCTGTTTCTACCGGGGTACAATACTAGCTCATTGGCGCCAGACACATGCGAGAATACTACATCACCCCAGCTGCTTATCTCAGCGAATGCTTCGCAGGGGTGGCTTGCCCTCAATCTGGTCAACTCTGGAGGAGTCAGTGCTCTCAGGGTATCCCTCGACCGGCACTCGATGTATATTTATGCTGCCGATGGCCTTTATGTTAAACCGCAGGAGGTGAAAGTGAGTCTTTCACCCAGTACCATGGAACCTGCTCTCGCTCTAACCTTCCCAGGTTTTGGAAATTGCCCTGGGTCAGCGATACTCCGTAATGATTAAGCTCGATCAGCAACCTGGTAATTACTACCTCAGGTTCGCAACTTATCCCAATGGTGATATGCAGCAGGTCCTGGAAGGTCAGGCTGTAGTTTCCTACGTTGTGAGTAACTATCGTTTCGCCCGTTCGGTACCCTGCTGACGTCACATACAGGTAGCTGGAATGGATATGCCTTCGTCAGACCTTTCAATCGACCCGGCGTTCATTTGGATGCGGACAAATGGCTCAGCCAAAAATGGGGCCCGTGAACTGGCTGAGACGCGACTATCGCCTTTTGAAGGTAATCGGCCGCCGTCCTCTAAAGCTGCGGATCTCACGCAGCAATTTACAATCAATCAGACTGGTATTGTGACCTGGGTTGTCAACAAGGACCCGTATGCTGAGGCCGAGATTCCAATTATATATGGAAATGCTTCAGATCGCTGGAACGCAAGCACTACTCTACACATGCCTTCGAACTCGTCTATTGATATTGTAATGAATATCGCTAATGACTCAATGGATACTGTGCGTGATAACATCCCGTGAGCAGTGAGTGATTAACGTTTGACTAACCCTGCGGCAGATGGGCCATCCAATGCACCTTCACGGCCACAAGTTTTGGGTGCTGGGTTCCGGCAGTGGTTCGTTTCCTTATCAGACCATAGCGGAAGCACCATCGTCCATTATCAATCTTGATGATCCACCATATAGGGACACAGCAAATGTGCCGCCATCAGGATGGCTAGCAATTCGGTGAGCCTTCTATGTAGAATGCTCCTGCTGCGACGTGACTAATTTAGAAATAGCTACGTGACCGATAATCCCGGGGCATGGATACTTCACTGCCATATCCAGTGGCATATTGTGGTTCGTTTCATCTTCTTTTTGTATTCGAACAAATTATGCTAATTATGCTAACTATGCTTGCAGAGCGGGATGGCGCTGGTCCTAGTCGAAGGCGAAGACCGGCTCCAGGCGTTGGTCGGATCATTACACAACTCAACGATCAGCTCGTCGACTACGTCTGGCGGCAGTTTACCCATTGCCGTTGGCAATGCGGTGCCATTATTCACCACTGTTATCTCGTTTATTGTTTTGTTTTTCTTCGTGTAATAGTCGCAACGGCGGATGAAGTTTGGGTCTAACCCATAATTCTCCGACATGATAGATTGATTAGCATGTACAAGACGGCGCAGCTGGGCACCAACCAGGAACAGGATCGAGCTGTATTAGATTTACATACTACTACATTAAAACTCTTGGTAAAAGGGGTAGAAGAAAATTAATTATTCTATGGTGAGTGCAGGAGTCGACCAAATCCCAACGAATTAGTCTAATAGAACGCGGTCAAATACTAATGTCATCAGACATCAGACTTGGGATTCTCAGTTGGTGCTTAGAGGCCCGATACCAGCCGCATCGGCACAACTTTTGAAATCACCTTGGCAGAAAAGTCGGTATTTGAAACTTTTGCGGTGTCATTGTGGGTCTTTAAAATTCATCTTTATCGGCGGCACCGGCCACTGAGGATCCAAAGCCAAGAAATTGAGTCCTGGGCTTCAATTAGCTGCCCAAAATTTGACTTTTTCCATATGATTATCCAATACAGTATGCTGTTAAGGTAGCGTCCTTTATTGGTGGCTTATTGAGACAGGCTTAGCGCTGTGGCGGAAGACCGTAGGTAGGTCAATGAGCCAGACCAGTACGGAATGCGCGCACGGGCCCATGTAATTTTACGCACTAATCGCGCATAGATGAATGTGAATCCGAACGCGTCTGGCTCTCGGTGATTGGAAAATGACGGCATATTGAGTTTAACTTCTGTTTATCAGCAAAGCCAAAGCTGACCGAGACCGCTATGACTTCGACCTTACGCACTAATCGCGCACCAGTGACCAAACTGTCGGATCATTGGTTAGCTAAACATCGCCGCCAGTCAATGGCCCATGCGTCCACAGAAAGTTCTACAGTAAATGGCAAGTGGCGAAAGGCACTTACTGTAGAAGAAAGTATATATTAATTCAAGATTACTTCACAACCTGTCCTTGTTCCTGTGTCGCTGAATTGCTTTTATCTTGACTCATATCCATACTCGAATCAGCTAAGATCGTATAGGATGGATCATCGTGTTACACAGTGCCTTTCCATAGAAGTCGCCAACAATCTTCAGGAGGGCGACATCGCCATCAAAAACACCGTCACAAAATGGTATATGAAAGCTACTTACCGTTCAGGCACCAAAATCGAACTAACATTTTCGGGAAAAGTGGTCGAGCATACGAAAATCGCGAGAATCTTAAGCTTCTGTCACCCGAAGACGTGGACAAAACAGTGATCCCACGTGGCCAGAAAGGAACAATATCTTTTTGCGGCAGCGCAACCTACCGAGTAGGAGTGGAGGGCAGCGTGGATTTATACCTCAAATGATGACCATCGAATAGCAACATTGCATTGGAATGGTCCCTGGACTCGGATCGGAAATCGGTTCAACGTGACAAACGTCGATAGTGAAGAGTATCTGTTGAACGTGTCCCATGTTCACGAGAGTGGTATTCTGGGAAACATCTCGGTTACTGTCACAGATTGCTCGATGAGACTGCAAAACTAGGTAGAATTGGGGTTTGGGAATTCAATAACTGTGATTCTTCCCAATTACGCCCTGCTAATGAGGAATGATTAGGTTTTCTATCCCAGTGGTAGTGTAGTTGGCTGTACGCTACCTCGCAGGGCAACTGAAAGTAGCCTAGCTTGGGTAGGACGGTCCTGGCGGTAGCCACTCGGACTACTGAGCAAATGCAGTTCTTGGGGCCGCCTATGTACAATAAAACTAGGGCCACTAGTGGGGGATCTCTCACAGCCTAACCGGCGCGGTACGGATAAACTTGAATTAAAGTGCTCTTCCCAACGGGAGTATGTTTCCGAAAGGATACTGTGGTACATTTAATTTTTGAGTAGTAATGGAGATAAATATACTGTATTTGTGTCTCAAATGTCTAAATTACATTATATTTTACGGTTAAGTGACGAAATAATACTCGGGTAACTGGATACTCAAGGGCAAGTTCTCCCAAGGGATTTCTACCGCAAGGGTGCAAGTGTATTGTGCTACTGGGGATAGACCGTAACAGTATTTAAACTACGGTAGTATTAAAACTACAGTTGTAAAACCCCAGTGGTTTAAAAACCAACATATCCATTTTTAGACATGCGGTCCCCAAGAAGTATGGACACGTGAGATATGAATAGTACAAGGGTAATGTATTAAAACCAGAGAAAATCCAATTTTGGCCACGCGGTCTCAGGAGTACTGTATGAACTCCCTACTCTAGTTTTTATTACTAATGGAATCACGTGTATCACGAAACCATGAGGATTGGTAGTTAGTTACTGAAACTAGAGTAGTAATAAACCAGAGAGAATCCACTTTTGGCCAGTCATTTTTTTTCGGCTGCCAGTCAGAGTTCTATTTTTAACCAGCAGCGAGGACGTTGCATGACTAATGATCCCCCCATTTGGTTGAGATACTAACAGGGTTGATTGTCCACTTAAATGTTATCTTATGTAACACGTTAGAGCCATCTGTCTAGATGTTCGGATCAACTATATCTCCGTCAGTTTGTCAGGGCAGAGGATCAGGCCAATGCAATGCTTTGGTGGACAACTTTCACCACGAATGTTCATCTTTAGACGGTCGAGGAGACTGGTTAACTTGGGGAGCGACGCCTCGAAATAGAACATACGCTGTTGCATAGCAGATAGGTGTACTGGAATGGCTGTTCTTTTCTAGTGAGTTCAATTTTGAACGTGAAGAATCCGAAAATTGTCCATTTTTAAATCCCTTCATTGAAATCGACTTTTTGTCAAAGACGTTACGACTTAAAGAGAACGCTCTCGTCTATTTCTCGCGGTAAGATTATCATTAGACTTGGCTAGCACCTCGGGTATACAATCGGCCACTAACTCCCAATGACTGCTACAACCACCTCCCGATCTAAACTTTACTCGCAAAATAAGGCAAGGCGCCAAAAACAAGGCCGTCGCAAATCCAACCTGATGAAAAAAGCTTGTGAATATAGTAAGATGTGTGACGCAGACGTTTGTTTGGGTATCCGGCTTCGGGAGACGGGCCAAGTGTTTCTCCTGTCGGATAGTTCAGGGTTTTGGGGGTTCCTTGGCACACAGCTAGTAGGTTACAGATCTTTTGGCCGGAAGGAAAAGAACGCTGACACTCCAAGGGCTCTTACTATCCGACCCCAAATTTAGTCACAGAAAAGGACTTGGAACGGGCTGGAAAGAGCGATATTGCACAATCTGAAGATGACGTCACACTCGAGGGCGAGATAACTGCAAATAATCAGCAAATGGACGGTTAAAAATAGAATTAATCCTCCCAGCCTTAGGATCGATATTTCCTCAATGGGGCTGGAGGTAACACTAGGAACCACGCCTCTTGTGGCTTCACGATTTAGCTCTTTAGAAAAAAGAAAAATAATGGGCACAGGTCATGCTCGAAAAGCAAAAGTCAATTGATTCATGTAGATAGATGTAGATAGTCTAGTTAGAAAACACCACACCGGAGCCGCAGGCCAACGCAAGAATGCGTACACCAAGCAAGGGATGTTATCCCGCTGGTTTGTTCTGGGGAAGATTGCGGCTATTTTACTCCGTACTGTGCCTAAACACCGTCCTTGGAATTGATTCTCAGTCGGCTTTCTGCCGAGGAGGTGACCAATCTGGAAGAGGTGGGGCAACTAAGCCAATCAAGTCTTTGCTCAACCGTCCACAATCGTCCCTAATACGAGTACCACTAAACCCAGGTTGGTAGTAGGTTTTATATCCGTAATCAACTTGGGACGAGTGAGGGTGAGGGATCTCACGTATCCGTGGATGAGGACAGTGGGTTCAAGACTGGATAATCAATACTAGGACAACTACAATAGAGTTGACTCTAGATACAAGACGTAGCGCGAGAAAGCAAAAGATGGCTTCCTCGCGTTCAGGGGAACACAAATCCGCGGTGTGGGTCCGTGTCCTCCACTTATTGTGCACTCGTGTATTTCCTTAACAGTGCAGGAGGATCATAGGGCCGGGATCTCCGGTGTAGCCCGATTGCTCGGGATAGAGCGGAGATAGTAGGTTGAAAAGATTTCTGGTCTGGCTGCGACCGCCCTGACCGGGGGGCTTCCAGGTAATACCAAATGCACGTGACCCATGCCTATTGTTGGGACGCTTTCTTAGCTAGCCAATTATTTCACACATACCAGATGCCATTTTTGAACAGCAGAGTGCGTTGAAACTTCGACAACTTCACTGTTTCCTTCTGTTGCAACACCAAGACCTGTTGAATCGCGTTGTAAAAGGTGGTCAAATTTCATCGCTGTTCTATTTTTCTTCGTCCAGAATTAGCAATACAGTTAAACAAAGGTCCTGATATTCTTGCACTCCGTTTCAACCGCCACCCTTGGTCAAGTTTGGTCACAGTTTCGTTGGCCCCCATAAAACTTTCATTGCTCAAATTGAGCGTTGGAATCTCTGCGTTGATGGTTAACGGTATACAGGAGACAGTACCCAAGTGTTTGACAGTTTATTCCTGACTGCATCAGTTTATTTAGGCATGCAAGGCACTTGACCGAAATTCAACTTGTGTTCAGACTCATTTTTCTACTCCGTACAATGCGCAATATTGATGCGTTTTCCTGCGGGAAGATCGTCCATTTCGTCATATGGCCTGGAGGCTGGCTTGGGTTCTGGCCAGTTCAAAACAAACCAGCCACCCGCCAGCCACATTTGTGGTCTTCAGCCACCATATCGTAGTTAATTTTAACTATCTTATCATGTTACAAATAATCATCCTCAAATAGGCACAGTTGAATCTGTCGATGTCTGTCTATGAAATTATAATAGGGTAAAATGCGGTGCCCATTCCTTCGTATAACGGGGTAGTCAACTTTGATTAACTTCAATTGTTCTTTCCAAGAGCGTTTACATTTACTGTATCGTTATTTCGTCGACAGACAATAACGCGTCAACTGTGAGCATTTGAGGGTGAGCAAATGCAAAATTACGAGGTGATGATTAAAGAACACAAATGTGCGGACGAGTGCTTAAGTTAGTTGATTGTGCTAGAACAACTAGGGCCATTTTGCCGGGTGAACAAAAGAATGATCTTTCTCGGTACTCCGTAGATAGACACGTCAATAGTAAAGCGTGAGAAACATAAAGGATCGCATCGCGAGTGAGCAGGTCATCCGACTCCGATAAGATCTATCAATTCGGAGTCACCAGTCTCCCGTTCAGCTGCATTGGGGGATATGGACGATGATCTATTGGCAAGGAAGCCGGCAGGAACCACTATGAATCCCGCTATTTTGATATTGCTAGGCAGCTGACGAAGTGAACTGGGTCTGGTTCTGAGATCCTGAGAACGCAGTCTGAATATTCTCCTGTGCTTGCGCAATTAGCGCAAGGTCCGCGCAAGTCCAAATATTCATGACCGTTCTTACCGTTGCTGTTCACCGAAGTTGTCAATCTTCGCTCGCCCTTTTGGAGCAGAGCAGCGGCATCCGTTACGAGCGCCGTTGTGTACTACCTCCTGACCATTGTCCCCGCGACTTCCCAAGGGTTTTGCGTTTAAATGAGACCAGAGAATCTACATCATGTTGGCAACGATCTTTCTGAATCAGGCGCGCAATTCTTATTGCGGCTAGCGCACTGAGAACGAGGCAGCCGATGGCCTGCAAAACTCCGCCAGTGTGAAGGTCGCAGTTGTCTGCCAGCATTTTGCTTCTTTGACTTGCAGAACTTGCAGAACAGACCAATTTACCGGAGGGAGGCTCAACCAGGCGGTGAAACCGCCATACCTTGTGGTTCCAACCAAACCGTGCCAGAAATAAACTTGGTGAAAACGGGTTACAATTGCCTTTGCTAACCGCAAAAAATAGACTAATATGGCCGTAAATGAAATCGACCAAAATTATACAGAGATGTGAATCGGTTAACCCGTTCACAAAAGGTTCCAAAAATTTTGGCCAACTGAGGGAATGGTGGCATTGTCACCAAATGTCCAACGCACTTGACCGTTCAAAAATGGTTTAGGGTAGCCAAGGGACCTCCACATCAGGCGGTGCATCTCCTAATAGTTTGGGACCTCCCAGGTCTCAAACAGAAATTATTCAACCCACCCAACGAGCACCACAGCCTCCGCTCCATTCCGAGCGATCGGATTAGATCGGAGAACCTGAGTCTTACAATCCTCGACATTTTGCATAATGTATTTGAGTCCTGTCGGCGAGCCTGTCAGTACTCCCGCAGAGCAGCAGCGTATATTAGAGCGAGCTACATCGAACAAATGAGCTTATCATCATGCTTTCACAGAATCCTTGCCTGAGGTTACTGGACTATTGTAAAATCAAGTAGAAAGGTCTTTCCTTTTGCACTGATCGAATAACGTTGCGCGTGCTTCTAGACTGTAGATCACGTGCATTCGCGAACAGTCGTCGTGACTCCCCAGGGCGAATGCAGAAATCATTTAAACCTTACATCATTGACCAGGCTTTTGATTTCGAGCTATAGTTCATATTCTTAACCGGCAGGCCACCGAGAAGAATTGTACACATAATGGGCTACGTTGTCCTTGGTCAATGCGATACCGCAGTAAATGGAATGGATTGACTGTACGCACGCCGAGAATCAATGAAAGAGAGTGTTTAGGTAGTGATCCCGCCTTCCGGAAGTTACAAGTCCTGAAATCCGACCAAGAGAAGCTGAATATGTGAGCCTTCGATAGAAGGACGTTATTTTCTCAAAAAAAAAAGCGTGGTCTTGTGTCGATTTAGGTTATGAAGACAAGATTTCGCACCTTACTGTAACCGCCCCAGGTAGGACACGGCAGAATGTCGCAGAGACTAAGTGGTGCTCGAGAGACTAGGTAGCCAGCGTTGATTCATTCCCTATGACTGTGCTCTTTATTACAGTATCACAGTAATCACGTTTACTTTGTTTGCCTAAAGAAAAGATCGCTTTCGCTATGTGGTGCGATATATGGGTGCGATAGGTTGCTACCTGCTCCCGAGCCACCGCAAGAACCACTTACGATGTGGAAGAGTATGAACAATTACTATTTGTTGTACAGGAGAGACTTCGCTGACCTAGAATGGATGTGCTGCAGCATCCGCGTGCCGTGTTTGTATACGGAGTACGGAGTTACGTGGTATAAAATGGTACCAACCAGTGGGTCAATCAGTGACAAAAAGGCCAATCAAATGCTAGCACAAGGCAACCAGGCAACTACAGTGACGCATAAGTTTGGTTGTCCCCTTTTAAAGAAGCGCTGCAGGCTGCAGGACAGCAAGAAACAGTATTTGTTGTGCAGAAAGCCCTGTGCGAAAGCCTTCCTATGGGCTGGTCTTGGGAACAACTTCATATGCTATCGTTTTGCGGACCAGGTGGATCCCATCGTGAGCGTTCTCGTCTCGCGTCCTTCTTCTCGCCAGTCAATGTGCTGGAGAGCCAAATGGGACTGCGAGCTACGCCTAGCTTGACCGCCCAACGGAGAGGTAACGGCGATCCTACGCATCCGATGGCCCTTACCTGAGTCATGGTGCTGGTCGGCTGCCTGCCTGGAGGCATTGAACCGACAATTACTTAACATGTTAAACGTCGCACGTGGGAAGCACGCGATATAGGCGGATGGGCGGTTGGTTTTAGGGTGGACAACTGGTGGTCAATGGGAAAAGGGATCAACATTTTGCACAACCATTATACAGCTGAATGGAATAAGCAATGCACTGCCGAGGGGGCTCACCACTCAAATTCCATAATTGATTGGTCTTGTGTGTTACAGTACAGTACACTGCACGCGAATGATTGTGATTGAATGCCGCTGGAGAATGTAGGAGCCCGTATTGACACAAAGCAGCAGACCGAATATCGACCAGAAAAACAGAAAATATCCAACCGAAACCAGATAGCGGGGCAGATCGATATTGGCGGAGGGGCTAGTATAAATGCCTGGTACTGTAAATGGCATCAATGAAATCATCCTGGTTGGAGGAACAGTAGGGGCAAAGAAAATTCTTGGTATAAGGTGGGAGGGAGTCGGCCGGGGGTGGCCGATGTGTTAGGAGCTGCACGTGATGCTGATCAGCAAAAGGGGGGACTAATCTAGAACCTGCTATTTGGGAGTGAGTCATCGTTTAAGAACCGACCTGCGACATTTTCATCTTTCAACACTTTTTCGCTTCTCTTTACCGACCCGTCTTCGTACGCGCTCAAGATGCAAAGCTTTCGAGTTCGGAGGATCGGACTTCCACTTGGCCTGTTCATCCTGCTTCCCTCTCAATGCTTGAATCTCAAGGGTTTTCAATGCATAGCTTGCCGAACACATTCCAGACATCCCACCACCGCCAGTACGATCACCAACCACTGATTTTCTTGGGGCATCTAACTGTGTTAGGATACTGCCATCTCCTTCGGTTGGGTCCCGTCTTAGTCAGCTATAGAACTTCAATCCTACCAGAGTCTACAGTCTGGCGACTCTAGCCAGAGAGGGCTTCAGCCGGACTAATAACTCCAGCCTACTGAAAATCTTATCTTCTTGAGCATACTTAGATGGCGAGAGATTCTTAAGCACGATAATGGCTGTAGGAACAAAAATGACATCAATGGAAGATCAGACAATATCGCTACAGCTCTGAAGACAAACGAGCAGTACACTCCTCCTTATATGCCTTCAACTGGTCCATCTTAATCTGAGTAAATGACTCCAGCTCTGCACACGCCTTATCGTCTAGCATGCTAATATCTGATCGTACAATTATTGATTTGAGAAAAGACCACAATGACCACTCGAAGCCAAGATATCTAATAACGAGTCATAGTAAAGCCCGGAATGAAGTAGAAGCCCTGTTCGATACATGATATGGGAGGAATTGTAGCGAGGAGGTATGTGATGGAAGTGCGTGAAGTGATAAAGGCCCAACTCCAGTCTTAGTTACACACACACACACAATTCATTAACGCCCGGCGGCTGAGCCGAAAGGGCAACTATCACTAATCTACCAGTACATGCATGTTTGGGTAACAGCCGTGTCTCCTTGGAGCCCATACAGTATTTCCTTCCGTATTTGCCTTATCAATTTCCAATCTCATAGCGGGTCCCTGTAGGTTAGTATTGGTTAGTAGACTGGCTTGAAGGCGCTTCTCCAAGTGTTCAACGTCCTATCTTCGGCAGTTGAAGCGCGTCTACCGTCTGTCGCAGGGGGTTGGGGTTAGTAAGATGGTGATTTTGTCCGTTCGTGGGCAAGGTTAAGTGGCCTCAAGTCGGCCCGTAGCGATCGCAAATCGTATTGAGGCTCGCACTGCATCCAAATTCGGCGTCCACTTCTGGTCATCGGAAGGCGATTTTCCACCCAAGAAGAAGGAGGTATTACTTCGGTGAGTGTGGGTAGATTGCAGCATTTCTGTCCGGTGCGCGGTCCACTTCCGACATCGAAAGAGAAAGTGGTCCACCGTCTCTCTTGCTTGTCCACATGCACATTGATCCGTCTCAGCGGCATTGATTCGAAAGAGATATCCATTGAGTCTTGCCATACCCGTGCGGAGCTGGGCCAGCACGCTCGCCTCTTTCCACGTTAATCGGTTATACAGCTGTCGCGTGTGTTTCCCTGGGAGTGCTGTGTCCACTCGTCGGGAGTGTCTCCCTACATTCTCGGGCAACTCGCTTTTGGGGACTGCTTGGGCACGCGCAATCTTGAGAGTCGTTGATTTCATTTTGGGGACCTGTTCTTGCGGGATGGCATATTCTTGCGTCGCAGCTCTCGCCTGCTCTTTCGCCAGCCTTAGTAGTTTGTTGTCTTCGCTAGTGGGGATCCACCGGACGCTGATCTGATTTCCATGCCTCTGCATTCTGCTCGTCAGCTTGTAGATTTGACAGACAAATTCCTGGCCCGACTGTTGTCGCGGGTTCTTCAACGTGAGAGCCGCGGCTTTGTTGCTCGTGATCAGTGTGATCCGAAAATCTTTCAATCCCACGAGTGTCTTCAGTGTATGCGCCATTGCCGCCAGCTCCGCGGAAAATGGATTTTGCTCTGTTCTCGCGCTCAACGTGACGGACAAGGTCTTCAGTCTCACTTTCCGATAGCGGGGTGGTTGTTTCTCGATCGCCACTCCAAACCCGACCAGCTCATTCCGCGCCGAGCTGCTGAACGCGATCTGCATTGATCCGTCTGGTACAACTGATCTCTCAGAAATGGGCTCATCAGTCTCCACGCGTGCTTCCCATGGGAAGTTTTGATCACAGTCTGAATCATATGTACATAAATGACTTGAACAGACATTGTGAGCAAAAGCTAGGCAATGCTGAACACAGTGTTGTTGTTTATGCGGTGGTCAATGGGTATATTCGTTAATAATAGATTGCTTTTAGCTCTGGTGATGTACCCGCAATTTTATATGTTTAGTGTTGGTCAACGGAGCCGGCCAAATAGTGCCGATTACACTTGGGCGAGCACTTGATCAAACAAAAACGGTGTCAGTACAACGCGCAAAAATGCATATCGGTAACTAAGCGTTTAAATCAATTATTAAGACACATGAAAATCTATTTTTAAGATAAGAACCAGAATTCATTGGACCACAAGAACCAGTTTCAAAAACACTCAATATTCAGTGATGCAGTCATTTTATGCGGGCGGCTATGAGGGCCCAAAGCGGTATGCCATAATCCAATCACCCAGGGCGCCAAGACATGGCCACGCCACTAAGTATGGCTAGTCATCCAACTTGGCAAGCAAATTTACCCCGAATGCATCGCGACTTCTCAAATTGCAACTTTCGCCTCTCCCACAAACGCCTCCCTGCTCTTGTCCTGCTTTGCGTTCTAAAATGGATTTATCTCTTTACTGCTAAAGCAACCTTCTTTATACACAGGAGTCATTGTTAAAATATCAACCTGGAGGATACCATCCCGTCAACCTTGGAGATAATTTTGAAAATGATCGTTACAAGATACATCGCAAGTTAGGATGGGGTGGCATTTCCACAGTATGGCTTGCAAAAGACAGAGTCAGTTTTTTTTTTTTTTTTCTTTTTTGGTTGGCGCTCTCACTTTTTTTTAGACATTAGTGGTCGGAATATTGCATTCAGTTGCACTCATCTGTCCAAATAAACTGAAGATCGCGCGCGGTAGGGCCATATCATCTAATAAGACAAATATATTCAACTCGTACCCCAAAATGCCAATACCGAACGCCAAACCATTTTTCTATACCATTTCAATAACGGGGATTGCGTTCTTCACGTTTTCAACCCATTCACGAATGTTCTCTACGAAACTCCGGGCAATGCCGGGCTTGATTCCCTTGCCGACGAAGAATTCGGGATTTTGATCTCTGTAGATGTGCTCAAGTTCAAAGCCATCTGACAGCGTTATATCGCACGCTTGTCTGAATCCAGCCTTGAGGGTATCATTGGATACATTTGATGCAAGCAAGCCACTCACCGTATTCTTTGACGGCTACGTCTTTGAATCCGGGAATCTTCAATGAAACCACACCTTTCAGCACCGCTGAATCAACAGCCGGAGCCGTTGTGGTCAATCCAGGAGAGTGTGATGGGTGAACATTGATGTTAATAGGCGGATAAGGCGTTTCGCCGCTGAAAACATTACAACCTTTGCGCTTTTCTTTCTCCTGCTTCTGCTGATCCTCCATGTAGAGCTCATCCCGAATTTCATCTGGAACATCTTTGTGCGTCTCCAGGACACCACCTTTCTCGGCATAGGTAACCAGACGCCTGAGAGTTTGCGTTCGGAGTCGATAATGCTTCTTACCCCTTGGATCTAGCCAGCAGTAGGGGCCCAAGTGGCATGCCGCTGAATCACATCTCATCAAGTCATAAACGCGGCGCCAAACTGCTTGTTGTCCGCATGCATTTTCTTCGGCATCTAGCTGCGCATCTCGGTCGTCAAGCATCCTCCGTGTGACAGAAGATTTACCTCTCTTTTCCCCTTTCCGTCCAGCGGATGGAGAAGCGGAATCCTCTACGTAGTTGAAACAAACCCTCAGCGTGAGTCTCTTTCCCCGACGGAAATGACTCGACCACATCCGCAGCTGTTTCTCGATAGGAGCCCAGATAATATCGGTTTTGTTGAAGCGCTTGGTCAGATCACGCTGGGAACGGTCATTGACTGACACAACAATCGCAGTGTCATCGACCCTGACCCTCTTGTTGCGGGAGACTTCTCTCGAAGGACGTTTTGCAGCTTCTCTTCCAGAAACAACCGCCAGTAGTCGCTTGGGGCCAATACAAGGTCTTCTTCCGTATCCTTTACTACAGCCTTGTTGTTGAGGGTGACTCGCCATTCTATGAAATAGTGGACACAGCTTGGCGGATCTTCGTCGTAGATCCTGTCATTTTCCCATTCAGATTCCCGAAGGAGAGGTATAGTTTTTTGTTGATGTTGGCTTGCGGTGTCAGGCTCGTCATCAAGTAGGATTGATGGGGAGGGACTACAGTTGGACTGTGTAGCATCAGGGTTTCGGAAGTATCCGGGGGTAGGTGGGGAATATTGTGAATCCTGTTCCCACGGTTCAAGCTCTTCATCGTGGTACGGGCTGCCGTTCATATCTATAGAAGCATACAGTAAAAGATCAAAAACCTTGGAAGTCTGTCAGCGTGTGGGCGGTACCAGCTGCGGGTAGACACCCAACGACAAATGACAGCGACGGTAGGGAGCAAGAGCCATGGGAAGCATAAACGAGAACCAGATGAGCCTACCGGGGTTAGTCTTTTGCAAAAGTAGCACAGCCTTTGTCATGTAAGAAGTAGATAAATAGAGACGAGGGCTACATGTACGGGGAATGGAAGAAGGCGAGTGGGCACGGATCAAGCCAGATCGCCAGATCTCCCCCACTCCATCGAGATGTCTCCCTAGAACATTCCACGGGCCTATACGGTAATTTACAATGACTCACCGGACAAGACATCCTAGTACATTCCATACCTTGATACGGCTAAAGATTTGTTTTTATTAAAATAACCAAATACGGATTAGCGTGGTTTCGGGTACGGGCCGAGAAGCAAAGCGTGAGTGTCTGGGGGTAAACTGTTTTCGAATTCTACTGTAAGCAGTGTACGAGTTGGTGGATGTGGTTGGCCCGAGAAACGCACAATTCGCGCAGCGGGTCGGATTCGCAATCCAGCTATATTGAATAGAATGCCATACCATCAGAGAACTCAGGGTGGCTAGATATCTCGTGAAACATAAAAGGAGCGTCAATGTCCTCGTGAGTTCCTAAATCTCAACCCTTCTCCCAGTCTCACTCGTTGGCGTTGTCTACTCTTTTTCTTCTCTCCATCCAAGCCCCCTGCTCGTTCAAATTATCAACTTCAAAATGTGCTGCAACACTTCTCTGGATCACGAATACAAGATCAACGTTCAGATGGCGTGCGGTGGCTGTGTATCGGCCGTCCAGGAAGCCCTCAACGCACTCAGCGGTTCGTAACCCAGCCTTTTCACCACTGCTCAACTCTAACATTTTCTGGATATTGTGTTGTGCAGGAGTGAAGAAGCTCGACATCAACCTTGAAGAACAGGCCGTCTTCGTCGTGGCTGAGCATTGCCTTTCTTTTGAAGCCGTGTTGGGCGCCATCAAGGCGAAGGGAAAGAAGGTCCGCAGCGGTGAAGCTGACGGAGCTGCTCAGACTGTTTAGAACGCGAAATCCCGCCTCGATTTTCTTACATGATTCATGTATCATCAAGCTTTTATGGAGCTCTAGTAGACTAGTACTGATAGTATTTCTCCCATACATTCATTCCTTCCACTTGCTACCAGTAGTTGAAAATCGTTCAAGTGTGATATCTCAAGCATCTGCATCCATCATTCGTAGCCCCGCAAAATTATCTACTTTATTGGAAGTATCCATCTATCTAGACGTGTGCTCACATCTTCTAGGTTTACCTAGGACCTGCCCTGAGAGTGGATCACTGTAGTAATTACTTCATGTTTATCTACTCCGTAAAAAGCCCGCAAAAGTTGATACTACCAGGAACAATAACATGAATGCTGACAGGGGGACAGCCTAAAGTTTTATTGGAACGTCATGTACGTCGGGTCTGACGACGCACAAATCCCGCAGCCACATCCAGGTTTTCGGGACCCACATAGCTCGGACTTTGTGGCTACCCAATCCAGTCAAGTGGGGATTTCTTTGAGTTCTGCGTGAATATCGCGTTAGCGTCACGAGGATTACTGCTCTTGCTTCCATTGTGCTCAAGCTAGAGTCAACATTTGCCTCTGGACGGACGCAATCATTAGTTCACATCACTCCATATAATTCCCTCTTCCGCCTCTTCTCCCGCCCTCTTGTCATTCATATCCACATACATATTTTTTAATATTCTGGGACTTGGGATAATTCAACTCAGCTAATCCCACTTCCTGAGCATGAGCGAGCTACCATCCCCGCCTCAGTCGAGGCTTACCGTCATTCTCGTGGACAATTTACACTGTCCATCCTGTGTTGCAACTGTGCAAGAAATTCTGTCCGCCCTCAGACCTGCGCCGTTCTCCGTCTCAACATCCATCGTCCTCCACGAAATCAAGGTCGTCCATCCCATCACTTTGAGTGCATCTCGCATCGCGCGTACCCTCACAGATGCCGGCTTCGAATTGGACAGCGTCTTGCCGTCAGTCTTTCATGATGGCGATATCGAAGCACACGACTACACCTCTAGGTCGACCTCCAAGAGCGACCGCGACCGCGACCACTACGATGTCCATTCCCAGTCAGAAACGCATATTCGTCGATGTGAGGCCTGTAAAGCCCAACTGGCAGCTTTGAAGTTTTCGCCCAACGGCACATCGACGACCACGCGATCTAGCGATGAAATGTTGACCTCTGTCATAGATGATCGTCTGACTGGAGTGAAGTATCGTATCTCCCTGGCGATCAGTGGCATGTCGTGCAGTTCCTGTGTGGGCAAAATCACAGGCGCCTTCCAAGGCCGACCCTGGATTCTGTCAGTGGATGTGAACCTCTTGACTAGTAGTGCAGTCGTGGTCCTCGCTGACAGCGCACATATGGACGAGATACTCGAAACTATTCGGGAATCTGGATATGAGGTAGAGGTGGTCGACACCGAGGAGATTCGACCCCAAAGACCCGCTCCACGATCTGCGCCGGTGGACGACGTATGGCGCGCATCTTATATCATCGAAGGAATGAGTTGCAGCTCTTGCGTTGGTAAGATTATCGACACGCTGAATCAGCACGAATGGACCACCAAGGTCGATGTCAATCTTGTGTCCGGCAGTGCCACAGTCGAGTACGTTGGCAAAGATCACCTGGAAGACATTGCTAAAATCATCGGCGAGTTGGGCTACAAGGCCACCCTGAGTGACGTCGAGAGTCAGATCTCATGCAGCTCGTCAATTTCGGAGCGTGAGATTCAGATTCAGATCGACGGCATACATTGTGAACAGTGTTCCCAGAGAATTGTCGATGCCTTAGCCAGCGCGTACGGCGATGAGGTCACGCTGTTGGAGCTGCCCACCTCCCGACGGCCCCGGCTTAAGATTCGCTATCTTCCCGAAATACCGAAACGAACTATTCGCAACATCCTGCGCACCATCGCTGACGTTGATAAGGCCTTTACAGTGTCAGTGTATCATCCACCTACTTTGGAGGAACGTTCACAGGCTATGCATCGTCGACACCAGTGGTCTATTGCCAGGCGCTTAATCCTCGCTGTTTTGGTCGCGATTCCCACCTTCGTCATCGGTATCGTCTATATGTCGTTAGTCTCTGCTAATAACCCCGGAAAGATATTTTTGAGTGAACCTATGTGGGCTGGGCAGGCAACGCGCATAGAGTGGGCTCTTTTCATCATGGCCACCCCGGTGTACTTCTATTCCGCTGGGCTCTTTCACCGCAAGACAATGCATGAGCTCGTGGCTCTCTGGCGACCAGGAAGCAAAACTCCGGTTCTTCGCCGATTTCTCCGTTTCGGAAGTATGGATATGCTTATGTCCTTGGGTACTTCAATTGCCTACTTCGCTTCGATCGCTGTTCTCGTCATTAATGCCACCCAACCAGCCGAATTGATGAAAATGCGCCATACCGAAACTTTTTTCGACTCTGTCGTCTTCCTGACTATGTTCTTGATGATTGGTCGCTTGCTTGAAGCCTACAGCAAGGCTAAGGCCGGTGATGCAGTCGGATTACTTGGCAAATTGCGCCCTACGGAAGCGCTTCTAATCACGCCGGCACATGGAGACAACTCGGAGACAACATATACCGTTCCAATTGACCAGCTGGAGTTTGGTGACCTAGTTCGAGTGGCCAACGGTGCTTCCCCCCCTATGATGGAACTATTATTACTGGAACCTCCCGCTTTGATGAATCAAGTTTAACGGGCGAATCCCTTCCGGTGGAGAAGTCGGTCGGTGATGAAGTATTCTCTGGAACTATTAATCAAGCCGGTCCTGTCACGATCAAGATTACTCGTCTCTCCGGTGACTCGATGCTCGACCAAGTCATTGGTGCCGTGCGTGAGGGCCAGATTCGAAGAGCCCCTATCGAGCGGACAGCGGACCTTCTCACAAGCTATTTCGTTCCAGTTGTGACTTTGATAGCTGTTACCGATTGGTTGATCTGGTTGGCCCTTGGCCTTTCAGGCCGACTGCCAGAAGCGTGGCAAGACGGCCCTGGGGGATGGGAGTTCTGGTCGTTGCAGTTCGCTATCTCTGTCTTTGTCGTTGCCTGCCCCTGTGGAATTGGACTTGCTGCTCCAACAGCTTTGTTTGTGGGTGGTGGATTGGCCGCTCAGCACGGTATCCTCGTCAAGGGAGGCGGTGAAGCCTTCCAGGAGGCTAGTCAGCTCGATTGCGTTGTCTTCGATAAGACTGGGACGATCACCGAGGGTGGAGAACCATCGATCACTAACCATGAGGTTGCTTACCAGGGCAATAACATCGCTGACGTCTGGGGTGCGGTTTTGGAGCTCGAACATAGCAGCAGTCATCCTATCGCCAAGGCGATGGTCGCTTTCGCCACTACTCAGAAGCCTTCAGCTCTGAAGACTGTCTCGGCAAACGAAATCCCAGGCAAAGGTCTTAAGGGTGTTTTCACCCTTCGCGACCAAGACACCAAGACAGTTCTTGAAGTGATCATCGGTAATGAGGCGCTGATGCAGGATCACAACATCGTCCTCTCTTCAGCCAACCTGGAGACACTCATGACATGGAAGCACGAGGCTAAATCAGTCGTTTTGGTTGGCACTCGTGCTCAGGCTGCTGATGCTTCCATTCCCTGGAAATTGTCTATCATGCTGGCTGTCGCTGACCCGGTCCGCCCAGAGGCCAAGGGCGTTCTCTGTGCCCTTCGTAACCGGGGAGTTGATGTCTGGATGATCTCCGGAGACAATCCAACAACTGCCAACGCCGTTGGCAAGATCGTTGGAATCCCGCCGGATAACATCATTGCAGGCGTCCTCCCAGAGCAAAAGGCAGAGAAAGTGCGCTACCTGCAACGCGTCCTACAAAAGCCAGACCGTTCTGGCTGGTTCGGCGGCCTGTCGGCCCCCAATACAAAGCGAGCGATCGTGGCCATGGTTGGAGATGGTATCAATGATTCTCCCGCACTGACAGCTGCCGACGTTGGCATTGCCATTGGATCCGGCTCGGACATTGCTATCTCCGCGGCGGAATTCGTACTTGTCTCTTCCGGTCTGACGTCGCTTCTGACCCTCATCGACCTGAGTCGCGTGGTATTCCGCCGCATCAAGTTCAATTTTGTCTGGGCTTTAATTTACAACTGTGTTGCCGTGCCTGTGGCTGCCGGTGTCTTCTATCCCATTGTGAGTAACGGGAAGCATGTTCGTTTGGACCCGGTGTGGGCGAGTCTTGCCATGGCTTTGAGCAGTGTCAGTGTCATCTGCAGTAGTCTGCTCATGAGAACTCGGTTGCATTTGGTCGGCTTCCGGAATAAGAAATTGAACAAGCAGTAGATGGTGGGAATGGGCTTTCTGTAAAGTTGCGGTGACCAAGTCGTCCTTTGTTGTTATACAAAACATCTTAACAGTCGGGCCGTTCAATACATTATATTCCTTCAAGATTCAAGATCCCTCAAGCTAAGAAGCGTGTTTGTAGCCACGTAGTCTACTCGATAACTGCTTGTCTCTGGATTATTTCACAAAAGCAAAGGATGAATCCACATAAAATTGCACAACACGAATGAGTTTAAGCGAAGCCTTATCTGCTTGAGATTTTTAAGCCTCAATGGCAACTATGCGATCCAGGTTTCCGCGCCGCCTGCGCCTGGCGATTATACTGTGCCCACACCGACAACGCAACGCAAACCACAATTCGCCACACCATTCGGCGACTGAAGCCTTCGCGCCGCACTCCCCAGACAAGGCCTACGATAGAAGTCGCTAGGAGAGCATTCCGAAGGTACTCCACGCCAGCAGCGGTCACTGATCCTGCGAAGAGCAAATCGAGGGCCGTCTAAAAACTCAGTACATACGCCTTGGAATGAAACAGGTGAGAAAAAAGTACCGGCAGCCAGCAGCAAGAAGACAAAAGCAGAGCGGATCCCTCTGGTAGAAACGTTGTGCATATACGGAGCAGGCGTCGAACAAGAGGCTGGTCATGGTCCGGGACCGGCTCTCCCGAAGGGCATTTTTCGCACGTCATGTTGAGAGACAGGGAGTTTGAAAGCTGAGTACAGTGTAAACATTCAAGATAATGTAAGTCTGCTGTTTTCTGATTCAGGTCTTTAATTATCGCATAGAGCTGGTGAAGGAGTAGGTAGCTGCGGGATTTTCGCGTTACGTTCGAGAATGCCCCACGCTGATTCGGTGCTAATGCTTTTCAGGTTTAAAGTCTATCGCGAACAGCCTCGAGGAACAGAGTGTTGTCGCAGTTGCGGAGCCCTCGCTTTCCTACGAGGCTATTTTCTAAGCTATCAGAGAGAAGGGGAAGACGGTCCGCAGAGGCCAGGTCGATGGAGTCTCCCGGGCTATTTGAGTGTACCGACAGCCATGACTCCTGGATTTCCTTCTGTTTCAGTGAAGCGTGGAGGCCAGTTGCCTTGTCGGAATGACGGATAATTCGTCCCTGCGAAAGCTTCTAGTTAATATCGATTTCGAGGTTACGGGACGCAATAGTTACTGTAGTCGACCAACAAGTTCCAATTGAATTAACCTAGTAAAGAAATAGCCAGGTGACTATCTACAAACGAGCTGTCATCTGGATCTACAGTACTCTCTCTCTCTCCTCTCTCCCTGCATACATGGATTTCGGTAGGAGCGAGCTGATTACGTCAATCGTCGTACCGTGACGATGTGGTCACCATGTCTTGTCTTGGTGCATGACTTCTACACCACCCGACTACTTCGCTCATACAGATGGATGATGGACCTGCGAAACATAAGCTGATTAAACCAAGGAAGACTCCAAGTTGTTAGGATAGGTGGCCCGCCATTAGCTGAAGTAATGACACCAGAAAGGGAACCAAAGAGGCTATTCAGAGCAGAGATTGCATCCTAAAGTAGGCCTCGGCCGCAGCTGGTGTCTAGGCTCGGATTGCTCAGCAACAGGTCGTCCGGCACCTTTGCTAGGAGCTTGTCCCACAGATCAGATTTGCCTTTCAGCGAGGTATACAAGTAGAGCGGCGCGGCTACGTTCGCCACTGCTAGGCTGAACGGGCTGGGTTCGTAGGAAGCTTTCTTTGAGGGGTCTTTTTTCGTATTCGCACAATACGTGACGATGTGGTCTTCCAGAGTATTGACGGTGTTGTACACTAACAACGGCATTTCCTCGGCCGTTTCCGCATGGGACTCAGTGGCAGTGGCAGTCATTGGAATTTGGTCAGCGTAATGGTCCAGCTTGTAGTCCCAAGATGTAGTATGCGAGTGAGTCGAGGTAAATACGTAAGTTTGGGAATCTTCAAGGAAATCAAGGACGAAATTGGATGCAGTAGGGAACAACAACGGGGAAGCCGTGGTCATAACGTATATTCGCGCACCTCGTACCGGGCGGAACGCTATTGTGGACAAATATCCTTGTAGCTCGTATTCCATGCGACACGCTACAGCGTGGACTGTTTTGATATGAGGCTGCTGCTGCTCAGGGACGACCCCGCAACATCGGAAATTCATTTCTGCAGAAAACGAAGTTTATTTCGAGTCACCTTGGACTTTATATGTATAGGTATAGACTCTTGTATCCCCTTAGAGACCAGAACAACTCAAGCTATAACACGTGATTCCATTAGAATTAAAACTAAAGTAGGTGACCCTTTTGGATTTATAACAGGTAATGAGCCCGAGTGCAACCATTCGAGTGCTATCTCTACTCACACCAAGAACCGTACAACCACCTTGATATCAATCATATAATTACCCTACCTTTTTAAACATCATGCTGGCTTTCATCCATGACTCATTGCAAGATAATTACAAGTCTGTACATTTTATGTGCTATTCGCGTCGTTTTTTCCAGACAGATCGTCGACAAAGTGGGCATATGACCTCTCTTTCGAACCATCTCTGAAGACACAGCCAATGCAGTATATGTCCACAAGGGAGTCTTTTTGGCGGAACCGCCTGCGCTCGAGACATAGCTTGCGTATGTCTTCGTGTTGCATTCCTGCGGTTCAAAATTACACTATTCGGCTGCCACTCCCCCATACTCTCGAGACAAATGACACATAAATGTGATTGATTGATCTGCTCGACAGTAGCGTCACAACATGTGTCGCTGATTACTCGAAGAGCGATTCGGCGTTGAAGGATTGCGCGGATACTTGTCATTATCGACTGGAAAGTGAAGAATACGTGACGAGTGACGATAGCTCGGTTGTGTACGACAAAACAGAAATAAATGTAGGACAGGCTAAGCACAAGAACTATGCACTCTGTTAATTTTATCAGCAATCAATAGACTAGGAAGTGAGGAGGAACTAGAAATGACTAATTGACCACCAAAGGACATCTCACCTATTATGGCCTTGAAACGGAGCACCCATCGCCGCTTCTTCTTTGTTAGGCTATCGTCATCATTTTCAACCAACATATAAGTTGCCATTGACAAAGTCCTGCCGGAAGCTCTGAGTTCCACCTCTCGTGCACTGCTTGTGGCCTCTGCGAGAAGTATAACAAAAGAGAATGTTGTAGACACGGCGGATAGGGCCAAGACTGCATGTTCGAACGCCAGCATAGTCATCAGCTCTGTGTTGCTGCCCCGCTTTAGGGCGGCGATTATATAAGTAACTGTGAGCAGTTCAAAAATCAACGATATCGAAATCCCGATCAAGATGCGCTCGTAGATACGCAGCTGCGTACATGGCTGTTGGCTGAGCGACTCAACTCTCCAATTTCCTATCCGAACCCACGTACTTCCCGCCAGTAACCAGACAAACGACAATATAAACTCGAGGTCGATGTCTGTTTCGAAGAAATTAACCATCAACGTGAATTCAAGTGTGGCAGCAAGAAATTTTGCATATAGCTCTTCGCTTTCTGCGGCGTCGAATGGGCCGTATACGAGGCGATGTAACCAAAAAACAACGAGAAAGCCGCAAAGCAGAAGGATATTCACGGCGAGCTGTCTGATATTAGTGCCATGCTTTAAATGCGTTCGGTACCGTGGAGGGCAATACCAATGACTCTCCAAAATCTGGCCAGAACCTATCAGTTTCATAAAGCGGCCATAAAGCGGCCGGATGCTGGCGTGCGAGAACGACATTATGTTGTCTGCGGTGATGTTGTAAGAAGCCGAATGTTGCTGCACTGTAGGACAACGGGGTTGCTGAACATCCAACTGAGTGTCCGCTGAAATCAGCCGTCCAGACCCTTGTACACCGTAAAGTCAGGTTAAGGACTCTGGTACTGAAATTGCGTCATTAGACCGCCGTGGCAACACTGTAATAGCGGGCTTACTCACCTACCGCTAACGCACGATCTTAGGGAGGGTTTAGTATAAACTGGGAACTAGTGCGACTTTGGGCGTCCGGTTATGACGATTAGTACGACATTGCACGTATATCTCCCCTGCTATCGATGAGCAGTGAGCGGCGAGGGGTGTTCTTCCGATGTCGAAAAGCAGGCCAGAATTGCACATTACCATGGCTTAGCGGGTCACATGCCGCATTCGGTTAGCTCACGATATCGTAATTCACCAGCAAGCGGCCTACCCTAGAACAGACTACGGGCCATAGAAAGCCTGAGGACTCATTAAATGGAAAGTGCAAATGCGAAATGCGACGATCGTGATGCCAGCACAACGTAAGAAAAATAACACTCTCTACATGCCTCCACGAAGAGTCCCCGAGACAGGATGACTGCGACTCGGCAATCGACTCGGCATTTGACTCAGCTACCACTGATGCTTGCGACGTGACTGTAAGTCCGTAGTGGTCAGCCGAACTCTCAGTGGGTTTCCGTCGGAACGCAGCAGGGCAGGTGGAGACCCGGAGCAGGAAGTACTTTCTCCGGCCAAGATTACATAGTACTCCGTACTAGGCTACAAAATGTGGCAAAGGCCTTGTTCCTCCAAGGCCACGTATATGGACCCACTGCTGCTCGCGTTATTGGTGTTCCGCTCCAGAAACTCAATAATTCGGACATTTGCTGGTTTCGAAACCTTCAAGGTACTCGTGACTCGTGAGACCACAGAACTCCCGGCGAACGCAACTGCAGACGGTCCAACAGTATTAAGATCGAGAGGCTGGGTGGGCATAAATACAGGCAGAACTCACACAAAAGAAGCAGACTGTTGGTGCTGATGGTCTTGATCACACGACACTAACCATTTAACACCTTCCTTTCGCGGCTCAGTACAATTACCTATCTTACGTATCACCGAATTTATCTCTCGTCTCTATTACAGAACACCATGAATTGCCCCTCACGCACTGACGACACGCTCGAGCACTCCGGTTGGAATCAGAACCCGCCGCTTTTCAGCCCTGACACCTCTACTCGGAACGACTTCAACGGCATCGCTAATTCTAAGGTCCACCGCAAGCATGCAGCCAGCAGTGGTGCAGCGGGGGACGACGGGATGTCTATCGATCATGGACCGTACAGTCCTGAGCGCAAAGATCCGGGAATGGAGAATGCCCTGGACCGCGACATGGTCGCTGTGGGCTCGGGGAGTAAACCTCCCTCGAGGGCCAGCGATTCACCTCGCCATCCTTTCCAAACCATCTTGACCTCTTCCGCTATGTACTGCGTTCGGGAAGTGGCCAATTTTGTCCGTTTTATTGGGCCCGGGTTTCTCATCGCAGTGGCCTACATCGATCCAGGAAACTACGCCACAGATATTGCCGCAGGTGCATCATACAAGTATTCCTTGCTGTTTGTCGTTCTCTTGTCCAATTTGGTGGCGATCCTTCTGCAATCCTTATGTATCAAACTGGGCACGGTGACTGGCCTTAATCTGGCAGAGAATTGCCGTGAGCATCTCCCACGATGGCTAGTGATTACTTTATATATATTTGCGGAAGCGGCGATAATCGCAACAGATATTGCCGAGGTAAGTGTGATATCTATCGTATTATCAATGTGGTGCTCATGACTTCGCTAGGTAGTTGGATCCGCGATTGCACTGAACTTGCTCCTAAGAATCCCTTTGGTAGCTGGATGTGCTATCACCTTGGCCGATGTTCTCTTCTTACTCATCTTCTGTCGACCGAATGGGTCAATGTTGGGGCTACGCCTGTTCGAGCTCTTCGTTGTAGCCCTTGTCTTAGGTGTTGTCGTATGCTTTTGCATTCAACTCTCCCTTATTAGGAACCAAACTGTCGGGGAAGTCTTTCGGGGCTATTTACCATCAGCCTCAGTGGTTCAAGGGCAGGGGTGAGTTCTTAGAATTATTATCTTCCTGAGTAACTTTCGAACTATAATTAACCCCACTAACTGAAATAATCTGCAGCCTCTACCAAAGTTGTGGAATTCTTGGTGCCACGGTTATGCCGCACTCGCTCTTCCTTGGTAGTGGCATTGTGCAGTCTCGCCTAAAGGAATTCGATGTCAATGCTGGCTATGTTGAGTCCACGGTAGCCCTAGGAAGCGACGACGACCCCCAAATGAAATACCGCCCAACGATCCACGCAATTCGCGGTTGCATGAAGTATTCGATCATCGAGTTGATCCTGACGCTATTTACATTCGCTCTCTTTGTCAACAGTGCTATCCTTATCGTCGCCGGCGCTTCCCTGTCCGACATTGCCAATAGCAGCAGCGCTGACCTCTTCGGTATCCATACCCTCCTGACTCAGTCCATCGCACCAGCCGCTGGCTTTATTTTTGCCCTAGCGTTGCTGCTATCAGGCATCTCTGCTGGTATTATCTGCACTATGGCGGGCCAGATGGTGAGCGAAGGGATGTTGAACTGGAGCATTCGACCCTGGCTCCGAAGGCTCATCACCCGTTCTATCAGTATCATCCCAAGTATCATAATTGCGGGAGCCGTTGGCAGGGAGGGTTTGACCCAGACTCTCAATGCGAGCCAGGTCGTTCTGAGCGTCATTCTGCCCTTTGTTTCTGCGCCACTGATCTATTTCACATGCTTCAATCGCTATATGACTGTTCGAACGGAGCACTCTGGCGAACGCCATAACGAGGTTCTAGTGGAAGAAATCCCAATGCGAAACCACCTTGTTGTTTCCGTAGTTTCTGTGCTCGCGTGGCTGCTCCTCGCCGTGATGAATGTGGCACTACTGGTTCTGGCTGGACTGGGCAAGTCTTGACTGAGAGGTCGAGTGCGCCGGGATCCTTATGGATGGGCATAGCGTGATGCGTGTAGCAAGAGGCTCTGGTTTGACATGGGGAAGACAACATATGTAGGCATGAAACTAGGTGTTGTAGCTGGTGATGTTGAGATAGTGATCTCGCTACGGAGACTGTACTTGCTGAGAATTTGGAAGGAGGATCGAATATGTACTGACGAGGCCAATCTAGATCAAGTCGGCGTATATTTTGACTCTGAAATCCAAACTAAGGCCAAAGCGTTATGACGGCTGAGGCACCAATAAACTTTGAACCAAGGGGTGAGTAAGCTGGTAAACATTCGAATACGCATTTTCCCGTGACAGTCCGTTCCCCTCGCCAGACGGCGGGCCCCTACTGTTGATTTCAATTTGTATCGTTCGATTATCTACTGAATACAATCTTGACAAGGGATGGAGCAAACAATCGCCGAATTACGACCTCAGCTTGAAGAACAACAAAGGCTCCAAGAAGCGGCAGAACGCTGTGAAGAGGAAGAGAGACAGGCGCTAGAAGAGGCAGAAGGGCGAAGGCGACTGCAACCTAACACACGTTTTCGCCTTGTTGATCGCTGCCACACCTCTCTTTCTCAGCCGATCCGAGTCGAGACGGATGTGACACTCACGACTCAGTGAACCGACTTTACCTCAAGCGCATTCTCTGGGGTTGACTTCCCCCAACTCCAAGAGTTAAGTCTGGAGGAAATTCGACCGCACGGGTGTCTTTATCTCGCGCCTCTTCTTCCCTTCTGATACCCGAATAGATTTTGTCGTTACGGATATCAGAAATAGGCCGATTTATTTGGAAGCGTCTCTTCGAAATTTTGAGCGAGCCATGTCGGCTTTCATTCATGACTCATTACAAGGTCGTTGCAAGTCTGAACATTTTTTGTGCTATTCGCGTCTTTTTTTCAAGACAGGTCGTCGACAAAGTGGGCATATGACCTCTCTTTCGAACCATCTCTGAAGACAGCCCCAATGCAGTATATGTCCACAAGGAAGTCTTTTTGGCTGAACCCTCTGCGCTAGAGACATGGCTTGCGTATATCTTCGTGTTGCATTCCTGCGGCTCGGAATCACATCTTCCATTGTGTTATTCGGCTGCCACTCCCACATACTCTCGAGACAAATGATACATAAATGTGATTTATTGATCTGCTCGGCGGTAGCGTCAGAACATATGTCGCTAATTGCTCGAAGAGCGATTCGGCGTTGAAGGATTCCGCGGATACGTGTCATTAGCGACTGGAAGGTGAAGAGTATGTGACGTGTGATGATAGATCGGTTGTGTACGACAAACAGAAATAAATGTAGGACAGGCTGAGCACGAGAATTATGCACTCTGTTAAATTTATCAGCAATCGATAAACTAAGAAGGGAGAAGGAACTAAAAAGGACCGATTGACCACCAAATCACATCTTACCTGTTATGACTTCGAAACAGAGCACCCATCGCCGCTTCTTCTTTGTGAGGCTACCGTCATCATTTTCAACCAACATTCCACTTGCCATTGAGTAAGTCCTGCCAGAAGCTCTGAATTCCACTCCTCGTGTACTATTTGTGGCCTCTGCGAGAAGTATAACAAAAGCGAATGTCGTGGACACGGCGGATAGGGTTAAGACTGCATGTTCGAACGCTAACATAGTCATCAGTTCCACGTTGCTGTCCCGCCTCAGGGCGGCGATTATATAAGTAATCGTGAGCAGTTCAAAAATCAACGATATTGAAATCCCAATCAAGATGCGCTCGTAGATACGTAGCCGCGTACATGGCTGTTGGCTGAGCGACTCAACTCTCCAATTTCCTATCCAAACCCACGTACTTCCCGCTAGTAACCATACAAATGACAATATAAACTCGAGGTCGATGTCTGTTTCGAAGAAATTAACCATCAACGTGAATTCAAGTGTGGCAGTAAGAAATTTTGCATATAGCTCTTCGCTTTCTGCGGCGTCGAATGGGCCGTATACGAGGCGATGTAACCAAAAAACAACGAGAAAGCCGCAAAGCAGAAGGATATTCACGGCGAGCTGTCTGATATTAGTGCCATGCTTTAAATGCGTTCGGTACCGTGGAGGGCAATACCAATGACTCTCCAAAATCTGGCCAGAACCTATCAGTTTCATAAAGCGGCCATAAAGCGGCCGGATGCTGGCGTGCGAGAACGACATTATGTTGTCTGCGGTGATGTTGTAAGAAGCCGAATGTTGCTGCACTGTAGGACAACGGGGTTGCTGAACATCCCAGCTGAGCGTCCGCTGAAATTGGCGGTCTGGGCCATTTTAATGTTAGGTTAAGGACGCTGGTAAGTTAACCACTGAAATTACGTCACTGGACCACCGTGGCCGGAATTGCATGTTACCATGACCTGGTGCGTCACATGCCGGATTCGGTTAGCTCTTCGTAATGTAATTTCACAAGCGAGCCAGCGGTTTTTTTTGGCCGGGGGGCCAACCTTAAAAACATAATGTTGAGCCACAGGATTTCTGTACATACTAGTACTGAGGGTACCAATTGAACGAGTTGATTGAAGGACTCGCCAGGAGAACGCTGTTGAAGGCGTCTCATCCGCTCCGGGGCTAACGTTAGACGGCTTGTTACGAAGCGGGTATTCCGAACGGACCTGGTTTACCGAGATGATCTCACCAGTAAATTCCAGCTGTAGCCATAGTAGCTACGTGAATTAGAACTTAATTTTAATAATAAAATTGAAATAGATTTTTATATCTACGAGAGTTGTAACTACGGAGGTGTGGGTAGTCGCTGAATCAACCAGCCCTTAGTGGTAAAATGTACCACTTCTCAGCTTGATACATCATATTAAAGTGCCAAATGTTTTATTCCCCTATTTCAACCACCAAGAGTTATTTTTACTTAAAATTTTAGCATGTACGCTTTCCTAAGTGCAAGCTTAAGCCACCCAGAGTTTTTTTGTGTTCTTGGTAAAAAGTGGTAGTGCTACCGCATGAGCCAAAATATATCTTTGAACGTCAAAAGTAAAAAATTCTATTTCTTATTTTTACCACACTTCTACCAGTAGTATAGCTCTAATATTTTTAATATAATATAATTATCCTATACTATATACTATTTGTTACGCTCAGGTACGAAAGGAAGATAAACAACCAATGTAGTAGCATTTGACGAAATAACTAAGCATGGGGAATGTGAAGGGCTGTAGCAATATTTATTCAATAAGAGCTAGGCCAACATGCAGTTTACGACAATCTTGAGAAGGGAAGAGAAAAGGAATCGAAAAGGAATCGAAAAGGAAGAGAATCAGTCCCGCCTCTTATGCGCATCGGCTCGGTCTCTGACGGAATCCTTTGGAATCGTTTAGAATGCTTCGCTGTCAACGGACTGGGAGGATCGGCGTCGTCTCTGGTGGGATCTTCACGATAGAATCGTCTAGAATCCTTTCTGCCTAAGGCGATGTTGAAGGCCATGGCACATGGTTTCACTGCCGGGCTCTGGCCCGTTACAGGGAAGGAAAGAAGGAGAGAGTGCGAGAGGACGAGAGACGATATAAATACATGAGGGATGCCTGCGGCAGCAGGCATTAAACCAGGCATCAAACATCACCACATGTGAATCGTCACACTATTTACCAATAAAAGCCTAATAATTCAATATATAATAGGGTTGTTACTATACCAAAACTATGACGAGTGTAAATAACGCATAATTTGTAAGCGGTATAATACTCCTAATATAGTAAGATCGACAGAGTTATACAGGCTTGGCGGGTCGCCAGGGTCGTGGAGGGTCGGTTCGCGGGTCGTAGGTTAGAACACGCCTCCGGGTCGCGGGTCGCGAGGGGGGACCCAATTGTTACGCTCAGGTACGAGAGGAAGATAAACAACCAATGTAGTAGCATTTGACGAAATAACTAAGCATAGGGAAGGGAAAGAGGGGAGAGAGTGTGAGAGATCCAAGAGACGACTTAAATACATGAGGGATGCCTGCTGCTGCAGGCATCAACACCAGGCATCAAACGTCACCATTTGTGAATCGTCACAGCTGGTTAGTTATTACTAAGTTACAACTAACTAACTAACTAGGTTAGTTAAGTTAGTTAGTTAATTAGTAACGTTAACGCAAGCAACCAGTAACTAAGTCCCCGATTAGTCCTTACCTACTATCCTTTTCCCCACATTGGAAGTCGCAAGCTCGACTTCGCAGCCTAGGGATTCCTGATCGGCCGCAATTCTTCACAATAAGCTTTACTGCAGACAACGTATCAAGACAACCTACTTCAGACGGATGATTTCGTGAATAGTGGCATTGGCGTACCGAGTTACTAGTGATCAACTTTGCTAAGGCTAACTGCTTTCTTGCAGAAGACTACTTGACGACGCTAGTTTTGAGCCTAGAGAACTATCCATGCCTTTCAGCTTACCCACATGACATCGCCCTATTGTGGGTACGCCTCAACGTGCTACCACGTATGTCCTACATAGTGCGCCGTATAAAAGGTACATACCGCCTAAGCCCAATATCTATATTTGCTAGGGCCTACTATATATTAGATAGTAATAGCGATATTCAAGAGGGAGTATTTTATAATCAAAGGGCTTCTAAGAGATATCTTAAAATTAGATACAAAATATGTGTAAAGACTTCCTCTCAGTAACTCTATCTTAGGAGGGAAAAAGGAAAGAGATTGTGAAGCGCTGAAGCAAGAATTAAGTTTGATCTGATTAGGCCAACATGCTCTTTACAAAAAGACAACTGTCGTTAGTAGACTCTCTGTAACAAATAAGATGCACCAAAATCGTAACCACTGTGACAAGCGGTTACAGCCTCGCTAATGACCACCGTGGCTGCCTCCGCGGCCTCCCTGTCCACCTTGGTATCCGCCGTGGCCTCCATCATAACCGCCGTGGCTGCCTCCGTAGCCTCCCTGTCCACCTTGGTATCCGCCGTGGCCTCCATCATAACCGCCGTGGCTGCCTCCGTAGCCTCCCTGTCCACCTTGGTATCCGCCGTGGCCTCCATCATAACCGCCGTGGCTGCCTCCGTAGCCTCCCTGTCCACCTTGGTATCCGCCGTGGCCTCCATCATAACCGCCGTGGCTGCCTCCGTAGCCTCCCTGTCCACCTTGGTATCCGCCGTGGCCTCCATCATAACCGCCGTGGCTGCCTCCGTAGCCTCCCTGTCCACCTTGGTATCCGCCGTGGCCTCCATCATAACCGCCGTGGCTGCCTCCGTAGCCTCCCTGTCCACCTTGGTATCCGCCGTGGCCTGCTGTAGCTGCTTATTAGCTACACTTAGTAGACAGGATGGGACGAAACTAACCGGCATTAGGTGGTGGTTGGCTCTGGTGATCCTGAGGGTGCTTCAGGCCAGTTACAGCATCACTGATCTTATGTAGGATTCCAGAAGATGACTGTTGCGAGCCGGGTGTTGTCTTCTGTCCAGATATCTGACTGGTGAGCTTGCCTAAAAGGTTGGACATTGTGTAAAAGCTATGATCGAATTTTCGGGGATTTTAAGAGCGAGAACTGGCATGCGAAGGGAATCCTCGAGCAGTTTTATGGCTGATGTGACCTATTCTTCCAGCGCGAAAAGAAGGGACGCGGGGCGTTGTGGCTGAGCCAACAGACTAAAACCTTAGTTTGTGTGGCTGGTCAAAAAGCCTCTGAGCTTTGGTGAGCTATTTTCGCTGATTCTAGCACCTTACATCACATTACCCCTTGGACCGTATTGGTGTGGTATCGTTCAGATGGTAGTTATGTGGCGTTGACTTGATGCTGTTATGTGCTAGCACACTGAACAGCATATATGAAGAGCGCAAAGCCTTGACGATACTGTGCTGGGTGCTTCAGTGGTTAGCCTGCAGGTCATTCAAAGGCTTCACGGAATATTTCTTTGGAACGCAAGTCAATGGGTCATATGATCTGAATAATCAGGCCACGTGAATCGATCGGCGTCGAATACTGGGACAGTAATCTATCAGCCCCTTTCTTGACACATGTTACCGATAATGAGGGGAGTGTGGAGGCGTAAACTGACAACAAATAAGATTCAAGCGTCTAGCTAGCTTGTCAAAAGAGGGGTGAGGCGATTACTGCGGCACTTTTACCAGTAATTCGGAATCCGCAAAAAAGGCTCAGTCTCCTGCAAACGCACGTGACAAACAAAGGCCGATAGGGCCAAGAAGTTTGTCACTTTAAAAGCCATTTCCTCAGCTGCGTAACGAAGCTTTCGGTTCATATTCATCGTACTCTAGACGTGGTATCACTTCCGCGATATTTTACATATGGCTCCTCGTGGTGCTCCCTCAACATTCACCAGCTTTTTTGTTCACAACCTTCATTGTAGCCGGTAAGAGTGTTATGGCTGACTTGGGCATGGAATGGCTAAAAATGAGTTTCCAGTTGCGAGACGTTACTCAAAGAATCTCTTCAACAACTCGATCCCCCACCAAGAAACGTCAAAATATCGTTGGCCATTCGGAGGGTGTCAATAGAACATGCTGGGGACCTTGACAGTGCTGAAATACTGAAGCAACTTCGGCGACTTGGATTTCTAATTGCTGATGACTTCCCTCTGCCAAGCAGATGGCAGCGTGTAAAGAAACTGCAATTTATGAAGCGGACGAGTTCTCATTCGCGATACTGCCTGAATACCCAGAATGTATCATCGTTACGGACAGGTCAACAGGCCACTCCCGGAATAGTGCCATTCCACTTGGAACTACAAGAAAGTGAACGAGACGTGTCCTGTGCGTCGAAAGCATACGTTGGAGATAACCTTTTGATTCAAGAATCGGGGGATCATCGTTATGATTCCTGGATGGGTTGATTGGTCCGGAAGCTATTTAGGTAGTGAGAGTGCGACTCGAGATGCGCAGCGTGAGCGGGAGATATCCACAATCTTAGTCTATACACTCGTTTCCCAGTTTTACACAGTATTCCAGGAGACATACAGTCGTTGTAGAACAGTCTGGCCGGTGAGATCATGATACTGGCATTTCAATCAGCCTTTCCACCTGCGCCGCTAACCACGGCAAGAAAGCCCATGTACGTCCTCTTCTATTAGTTCATGGCTATTTGGAGCAGAGATTGGGTTTGCTTTTATTCCCAACACGTTCATTAAAGTCTTAGTGTGTGTTTCCTTCTCGTACGGCGACGTTACTCCTAAGCTTTATGGTGGACAAAATGACAAAATTCAATGTATATTGACCGGCTGCCTCAAGACAAACTCTAGATTTTATACAACAAGATATCTTAATATAGGGCTAACAATGCCTCCTGACCGAACAAATATTATCTTTGTTACAGTGCGATACGCACATCCTTAGTGAGTGTCGCGACTGATTCATCGAAGCTCAGATGATGGCAGAAGACTCAATCCGCTTGTGGTATTGCGCGTGACCTCCAATAATAGCTAATAGTGACCGGAGTTTGGTTTCGAAAAGCAGAATGCTCAAACAGCCAACTGCAATGTCTGAAGTGGAGCATGAGAATCAAGCGTCTTGTTGACAGGAGCGTCCGACGGAGAAGAAACCACATCTGGAGCTTCGTTGACGGACCCACCCATGGCGATCAGAACCTGCTCCTTGGTGGCCTCGCCAAGACCAGCTGCCTTCAGAGTCCTCCCGGTCTCGAGGTAGTCGAAGCCGCTCACGACCGAAGCGATCTCTATCAGAGACCGGATAGTCGGCGACGCCAGACCACACTTCAGACCGAGCTCGTACCAAGGGACCATCCCGTAGAGGATATCCTCCAAAAGGTAGCGGTGCTTCATGGTCGTTGGCGCGCTCTTGGTCTTGTTGTGGATAACCGATCCCACAGCGAACTCATGGTAATTACCGAATTCCGTCTCATGCTGGTAGTTCTGGTTCATGTATGTTGTGATGGAGACGAGGTCGAGCCCGTAGGCGCGAGCAATAGCCAGGCGCTCCTCGTCCACCTTCTCCGTCACCCGCGAGACGGAGGGCGACATACCCTGCGCGTAGAAGTAGAAGTCACCTTTGGTAGCCTCGATCCAGCCCACGTTCATGAGTGCCGCTGCGCAGTGCACGACGGGGTTAATGTTGTTCAGGCCGACCTGAAGCAGGTTCTGACACCACACCAGGTTCTGCGAGAAGATCGACTCGACCTGTCGGCGGCGACCGAGCTCTGCGTGACGCTTCAGTGGCTCGGCCTGAGCTGAGGGGGGGGCCAGGCCCAAATGGCCAGACTTTTCTTGACGCCCTTGACGAACACCGTGTCGCCTATGATCCGGACGGCGTAGGGGGAGATGTCAGTTTCGAGGATGGCGAGGGCGTTGACCTTTTGGCGGGCGGCGAGGTAGAAGAAGTTGCCCACGTTGACGATGAGGGTGTGACGTTGCAGGTCAAATTGGCTGAGGATCTGGAGTATAGTGTCTTGTCCGTATGAGGGAACGGTGGTTACGATGAAGTTGGAGTGTTGAATAGCGAGATCCAGGTCGCTGGTAGTTTTGACCTGATACCTGCCATTGATCTCTCCGCTTGCGTTCAACCACCCGCCGTTACTCTCAATCATGGGTATAGCACCACGGTGGTCGGGGTGACCGTAGAGCAGGACACACTTCCCACGGCTGGCCAGGTCGGCGGCAAAGGCACATCCGCAGGGACCAGCGCCGATGACGGTGACCGACGACAATGGATCGAAGCTGCCGGAGGTCATTGTGTTTCGTTATAGTCCGGGACAAAAGTTGCCGCTGTTGCGAAGTACTGAGAGAATGGAGCGATCTTGAAGAAGAGATTTAAGAATTCCAGTTGAATAGATTGGCCAAGCCTGACTCAATCGGAGTACGAGCCCGTTATGTACTTTTCGACCATTTGTACGACCTATGCCTTCCTAGCCCTGGATTGTCTCAGCTTTGCGTCTATCACCTATTGATGGCTGCCTATGCGCACCATCTCATTCCAGGAAAACTTTCTTGTGCTTGCATCACGTCAAGCCCCTTAGCAAAAGTCACCGTGCGTTCGCATTCCACTGGCCAGATGGTGCCAGCTTTGCCCGGGTCGACAAGGGCAGATAGATCGATGGGGCCGGTCGATCATTCAGTCCCGACAACCCTCGCGCAAAAAAGCCTCAGAGAACCCAACCCGCAAGGATCGACGTCGATAACCCGAACGCCCAGTGTTACGAGGCACCCTCACAAAGGCTAGAAAAGGACCCCGGGGAGTTACCTCTACTGCACCAGGGAGTGCGCATCCAGCGTGCGTTCCGCAGCAGGGAATTTCATATCCGCAAGAGGACTCAGCAGCTAGAGCCTAGAGGATTCCGTGGTCATGTTGTAAATAGCCCTGGGGTGTTGCGCATTATAATCCGCAAAATAGTCTTGTTCTAAATCTGACTATACTGTTCCTTCCCCCGCCACGTCTGCTTCTCCTTACCTAGTTGGCGGACCTTTCTCCAGTATACTGCACTTCACACCAGGGGTTCCTGCAGCTCCGTGGACGTATGTCAGCATGTTTCAAAGGACTCCCGAACTGATCTGCTCTATCCCTTGGAACGAACTCGATTCATATCCCCAACCCCTATGCATAGAACACCCTCGCAGTCTCCGCTAAGAGCTCAAGGTAGCGACTTATTCTCATCCCTCGAAGAGTTCGTTGTTGGGGCTTTGGCCATCGGGGCCCATTCTTGAGCCCTCGATCAATCATTCTTGACGAGGGCTTCCACAGGATCGCAAAACAACATACAAGCTTCGGCGGGGTCATTTACACGTGTACTCATGCCTGCGTCTTTGTGCGAATGTTGGTCTTTCTTTATTTAGCTGATTGACTGGAGTCTAGGTCCAGCAGGAAGTGAAAAGAGCGCCCAAGGACTCGATTGCCGATAAATTTTCTGCGGATCTCTACCCAAGTTCCACTGCCATGACTTCGGAATCGACGCTTGCCGAGGTCGTGCCTCAGCAATATAGCTCCTTCACCACCCTGCAGAAGCGATATATCGTCTTCACAGCGGCTGGGGCGGGCTTCTTTTCTTCATTATCGGCGCAAATTTACTTTCCGGCCCTCAACGCTCTGGCCGAGGACCTGACGGTGTCGACATCGCTGATCAACCTGACGGTCACCAGCTACATGGTAATTACGTTACACGCAATTTCATGAAGGGATCACACATTAATATGATACGCTCATATATCAGATTTTCCAAGGAATCGCCCCCATGTTTTTCGGCAGTTTTGCCGATCAGACCGGCCGTCGTCCCACATACATTATCTGTTTCATCATCTATATCGCCTCTAATATCGGCCTCGCCGTACAGAACAGCTACGCTGCCCTGGTTGTACTACGATGTTTGCAGAGCTCCGGAATCAGCAGTACTGTTGCCCTATCTGCGGCCACAGTTGTCGATGTCAGCACGAAAGAGGAGCGTGGCTCGGTGATGGGTATCGTCATGGCTGGCAACTTTATGGCCCCAGCTATTGGGCCCGTAATCGGTGGCCTGCTCGCCCAGTATCTAGGCTGGAGGTCCATATTCTGGTTCCTGACCATTGCATCTTGCGTCTTCTTCCTGTCTCTCCTATTTTTCCTTCCGGAGACAGCACGAAGTATAGTCAACGATGGCTCTTCCCCAGCTCAGCCATGGAATCAGCCCCTTATTCGCTACCTCTCCTTCCGAGATGAGGCCAACCCCAGTCGTTCTTCTTCGGATGGTGATCGACGCCTGGGCAGCGACTCGCCAAGGATAAAACACAAAATTCGATTCCCTAATCCGCTTAAGCCTCTTCTGGTCGTGTTTAACCTGGACTCGGTCATCGTCTTGCTGGTTACTGGCGTCATCATGGGGGCAAATATGACAGTCCTCTCATCTATCACGGAACTTTACACCAGGCAGTATGGCCTAGATATGCTTCGCATTGGTTTCTGCTACATCGCTCTGGGCAGCGGGTCTATCGTGGCCTCCGTTATTACGGGCCGACTCCTAGACTGGAACTACCGCAATATAGCCTCTACGAGAGCCACATCCCAACAGCAAAGTGATGATTCGCTCTCGGTGAAAAAAGCCCGTAGCATGATCACTATCCCCCTCATTATGTTGGGCAGCATGACCGTGTTAGCATTTGGCTGGGTGCTCCAATACGGCGCATTTCTCGCGGTGCCTGAGATGCTTCTATTTTTCATCGGCATAGGCCAGACTGGTGGCTTCATTTCCACCTCTACCTTACTAGTGGATCTGCATACCTCTCACCCAGCTGCTGCGACAGCGTCGAACAATCTGGTGCGTTCCATTTTCTCGGCTGCAGCGTCGGCCGCTATCAATCCCATGTTACTTGCAATGGATCGTGGGTGGGCTTTTACTCTTGTGGCATTTGTTTTACTGTGCATGATTCCATTCCTCTTGCTCCTTTGTGGTGTTTGTCGTGAAGATCAAGAGCTTCATGAGAGGCCGGCGGATTAAGACACTTTTGTGGGATATTCCCGTTTGATATATCCTGGGGTCGGTCGAGACATCTCTCCCTATAAATCCATAACAATCAATCTCGTCTGGCTTATATTGTGAGATAGATATATCATTTACCTATATCTTTTGTTGTAAATTCTGCTAAAGTAACCTAAGTACGCACCACTATCTTCCCACGTGCCTGCACATTATATAAGCCAGTAGAGCAAAAATAAAATGCAATAGGCGAAGGAAAGAAAGCTAAACAAACAGAAAGCTACCGCTTATAGATCGTGATTGCATTGAAGACATAGTACGCATGCCACCAGCGGCGCAAGGCCGGGAAACAAGATAAGTAATGAAAGGGATGGCTAGTCTGTGAGTGATCAAGATCACTCAGTGAGTAGTTCGGAATTGTCTACCGTTAGCGATATTAGCAAAATCATATAAATGCGGGAATTATGCGTTTTGCGCGATTTGTGCGTTTAGCGCTACTTGTGCGTTTGCAATTGGCTGTAATTACCCTGGTGTTGTGGAGCAAAAGGCTGCATACCTGCTGATCAGTGATCATACTTGTAATCTGCCCCAATCTAAATCCTGTCCGGAGTAGATCACCACTGTAAATAAATCCACATTGAAATCACATATATCTTAAAATTAACAATTTAGCCGGTATGAATACTGGGATGTAGGCACGACTTTGGGAACCGATTTTCGGAGAATCCCCAGGCGCGATTACCACCAGCGTCATCATTATTATCAGGTCTTGCGGCCTAAGCTGAAACAGGGCATTCAACCTACAGTATGTCAGTTCAAAGGTAGCTGACGACACACAGATCACCGTGAATACCACCCTGCTGTGCGTCTCCCTTGTTATTTCCCGACTCCACTACTTCCTGTACGGTCCATTCGATCCGGCAGAAAGCGAAGAGCTGTACACAAGATTCGTGGGAGCTTCTCTGGAATCGATTTTGACAGTGGTCATCCTTGACATAGACGTCGACTTGGAATTCGTCTTCTTGTTAATAGCGCTCCTTGCGGGAAAGGTGTGGATCTGGATAACGCAATGGAGAATGGAATCGCTCGGCCAACAACGGCATTCACAAATTCGCCCTTACGCTTGCGTTCTCGCAGGTCTCTTATTATTCCTAATTTTTGAGTCCTCCATGGTCGGTTACACATTACACGCCGCCAAGCAAACCGCCAACACAAAGCTAGGGATTATGTTTGGGTTCGAGTATGCGGTCTTGTCTTTATCAGCCATATCAGTTGGGCTCTCTTTTTTCTTACTACTTGAGGAGGCCGCCACGAGTACCCGCGAGCAACTATCAACAGACTTCGCGAGCGGAGTGATTACCCAGTTGGCTATTCAGGCATCGACTGAAAGTAACTCCGTAGGGACTGCAGCCGGAGAATGGAAGGGCGGATGGCGATGCGTGTCTGTCCTGGTCGTGATAATAGGTAATCTTGCTATAAAGAAACTCTCAGTTCCGTTTCCGATTTGTCCGGATGCTAATAGGGTGCACAGAATGCATAATACTGCTTACTAGTCTATCCTATCTTCTTGTCTGTCTTGTCTGGTACAAGCGCCCTATCATATCTAGCTATATTTTCGTCACTTCGCACTCGCTCATAACGCGCTTGTGTGACCTCCTCCGCTACCGAGATGCTGTTCAAGAAATCAACAGGCAATGTTTTGATGCAACCGCGGAACAGGTCGCACAGGCAAATTTGTGCGCCATTTGTCATGAGCGTATGTTGCCGTGGTGCGATGAATCTGCGGAGGAAAGATATATTACCTCCGGCGAGAGGGCAACCCCTGAATATTCACAAGCATCATGCCGTAAACAGGAACATCGATCGAAAAGATTGCCTTGCGGGCATGTGTATCATTTAGGTTGTCTCCAAAAAATGGGTTGAGAGGCAGGCAACCTGCCCACAGTGCAGAGGACCGGTCTCTAGAAGAGCGACCGATTCTGGGAGGGTACCTCGTGTCACCGATTAATATTGGTCAAGAACTATCCCCGTTCGATGGCAATGGGCCAAAGGCTGCGGACTTGACATTACCGTTGACCAGACTGCCATTGTTACCTGGGTACTGTATGCTGAGGCCGAGGTCCCACTAATATACGGAGTACGGAAACATGTCCGAGGGGTGGAAGGTGAGCACAAAATTTCTTGGTGTCCGCATGTTTGCACTGTGTGCTGCTTTTCCAGTAAGACCCAATTTAATCACCTAATGTAGTAGGGCTTTTTGACATGTGGGACTTGGTCGGTTTTGCGTTGCGGTCTTATTTAGTTGGTTCGTCCGTGAGGCTTTCTGCGGAAAAGCAGGAAGTAGGAAATCTTCAGTAGAATAGAGGATATGGAAGATGTAAAAGAAGAATACACAAGATCAAAGTCGCACATTATTTCCATGATGTCTTTCCCTACTCCTGACGTCTAGCATGACGTTCCTTCAGTTCGTCGTAAGGAAGCCGTATCTATCGCTATAATGACAGGCCAGCTGCAAGATTCGCGCTTGATTCAGCGATCGAAGCAGCCAGTTCTTTTGCAAGGACTGTCTTATTCCTGGGCACGATATTTTGTAATCATCCCCTTCGCTCGATGATTTACTACCTGGCAATGGTGCACCCATTCGCCTGGGTTATCCACGGTCATAGTGAGGGACTTCGTCTGCGCCGGGAGGACAGAAACCTGCAGAGACGGACGCTGATTAGTGGTGGTGGCACCGCAGCGGGGGAGGAGGGGTGCACCTACTACATCAAGTCTCTGGCCGGCCCACAAAAGGGTGTTGCCATGCCAGTGAGGCGTATGCGCGTTAGCAACACTTCCCAAAGATTGCTATAACCTGTTGTTAGCAGAATGTACGACGAGCTCTATTCCGTAACGTTGAACACTTACGACGTGCCAGCGGGCCTGACGGCCAACTGTAAGATTCAGTCCCTCTAGGTTACCGAAAAGGCGCCCATTGATGCTGTGCTTCAGATTGCTTTCCTGGAAACCTGGATCGAAACGGTTGACCTGCAGCTCACCGGCGGTGATGTTTGTCCGACTTAGAGTATTCTGATCGATATAGAATGATCTGTTCTCGTCGACTATCATGAAGAGAGTGAGAACTTCTTCGGTGAGGTTAGAGTTTTTTGGCGCTGGAACGTCCAGTGTGTGCTTCCTAAGTTCCCCAGGCCGATAAACAATGAGTGCCCCAACCAAGCCGCTGTATATGTCCTGGGCACCCGAGACATCTGAATGATAGGTCCATGCTAAAGACGGGGGATCCATAGGCCCCGGCCCCGCGCGCTCTGTAAATGGCGTAAGTTACGACATGATTTGCGATCTAGCGAGTCGTTTGTACACTTACCTGGGACTTCCCATGTGTAAGTCCAGGTGTCTCCTGGAGGCACGGAGTTCCCTCCAAAGACCTGCTCCGGGCCGTACAAACCTTCATTGGGCTTTGTGTAACGGAGCCCGTGAGGGTGGATTGAGTAATTATGCGATGCCATGTTTTTAAACACGACTCTGAGTGTGTCACCGACTTCGGCTCTTAGGATAGGGCCCAGCATCCCCAGCCACTGCGATAACTGGTTAGAACGCATCGCATACAAAATTATTGGCTGGTTACCTCAGGCCGCTCTGACTGGGAGACGAATGTATCATCTGTGAATTCTCGGAACATTGCTTTTGTGTAAAGGTGGCCAATACGCTGGCCGTTTTGAGCGGCAGTAGCAGCTGCCTGGGGTGAATCAGCTATTCTTTGCTCGTTGATAAGATCCATTCCGCTATTCCACATCCGTTAGACTCATAACTCGACTCCACGACGGTCGGGAAACTGACGTGGGCATGTAATCCCAATCCTCTTCGACAGCGCCTACGAAGTAAGTGCGAACTGTACCATTTGAGTTCAACGCAAAGGAACCTGTGAAGGTAACGAACCAAAGCGCGATCAGCATCATTAGAGAACACGACTGTGCCAGTGCCATTTTTGAATGTGTCAAAGAGACTCAAGATTCTGCAGCGGGCAATTCAAAGACAGATACGAGATGATGGCAGTTGCTTGACCGCCATATACATGGCTCTTGCTGCATTTATGTATTGGTGCTAAGTAAACAGACTAGCACTCTTTCGGAAGGCGTAATCCGATCAGTTTTTCCCAGTAAAGCGACAGTGCATGCTTACGTTTGCGTCATGCTGATCCTAGAATAAAGCCGGCGATCAACAAGGCAAATTGGACTGAGTGAAAATCCATGACCCTGCATTCGTCAATCACTAAGTCGACAGATTGCGGAGAGTTGGTTCGACATAGGTAAGGCGGCCTGACATGCAGCGGGAAGGCTTTGGAAAACGCCCAACTCACCCTATTACCGCGTTCAGATTCTTTGGGCGGCATTCCGAGGAAGCTGCTGCTGACTATCTGGGAATTTGACAAGGCCTACCTCGTCCATCGTTTGATGAAGTCTTTTATCACCTTTCTTGCCCGAACATGGGTCTGGCAACCCAACCGAGGGGCTAGGAACGGGCCAGAGTATTGCGCATAAATCGCACGCTGATGGCCTTCCGTCGGAATGTACCCGAGGCACGTACTCCGTACTACGCATACAAGTAGGCCTCGCCAAAACCCGCCCACCGCCCAAACCCGCCCGCGAAAACCCAGCCCATGGGCCGGGTTGGGTCTTAGTCAGCAAACCCGTGGGCGGGTTGTCATCCGGGAAACCCAACCCAAGACCCAAATGGGTACCCGCGATTACCCAAAAAAGCAAACAAAGCTGACTGATCATTTTACACTAAGTTATGCAGTAATTTTCGATTATCTAATTGTTTCGATGGCGTAACTACTAGCTTCTGGCTGTGAATATTTGGAAAGGAACATGAAGGGCTTGAAAAAATCAAATTGGCTAATTATAAAGACTAGTATACCTCGTAACCTCGCAGTCTGCTGGAGGGCATTGTTACCCGACCAGAAGATCTCTTCTGGCTTCTATCACTCAATTGCATGATTGGAGGCGGAAGTAAATCTGCTTCGTCGTAATCAACCACGTCTTCCTCCATACTCTCTTCTTCTTGTTCAGGTTCGTGAATATGTCTGTGTATAGAGCTCCGGCCGGTCTCTACCACCGTACACTCCACTTGGTATGTCTCCTCTGGCTCAGAGTTACCCTCGAGATTCTCGCTCTCTTCAATCTCCTCATTGTCGCTGATCGGCTCTGCATCCTCTTCGATTGCCTTCAACGCTTCATCCTCTTCAAGTGCCTCTTGGCTCTCGCTCTCCAACGGTTTCTCCAGACGAATCAATTGCTGTCCCTCTAGTGTGAGCTTTTCTGAGCACATGTACATCATCAAGTCTTGAATGGTCCCTTCGTGAAGAGACCCTCGGCGATAATGACAAATGTCTCGTGCGCTATTGAAGAGCCTTTCTACACCCGCGCCGGTGGCAGGGACCGAAAGCAAGTCTCGTGCGAGCCGAGACAGCACTGGGAATTCGCGCTCGTGTTCTTTCCAATAAAGTCGCGGCGACACAGGGACATTGGCTATTCAAGGTCAGTCAGTTGTTCCAGTGTGTTGTACTGATTGCTCGTGCCTTCGCGAAGATACTGGTCCACTTCGTCATACTCTACTCCTTCATGGAAAATCGATGCACCAGGTGGCTCGAGTAGCCGATCAAGCTCTGTGCTATGCGAATTGGAAGATCGCTGGACTGTACGGAATAGCAACTCGGGGTTCTGCTGCTGATACTGTGTGAAAGATGCTCTCAAATATTCACAGTACCTTTTTGACGTATCTTCATGGCAAGTTGAGTACTCTCGATCATCAAAAGCACTCAGTTTATACTGAGGGGCAAGTAATGTTCCAGTGCCATAGAGAAAACCGTGGTCGCGGTAGGTTTTTTCGTAGTACTCTTTCAGCTTCTGCCTCGCCACAAGCAACGCGCCATACATGTCTTTCTTCCAGGGTGTTGTCTTTCTCTTCAATCTTCGATTCGACCGTTCGATATGCTCCAGTAGTTTCCTATACACAAGGAACACACTATGGATTGTGACGTCTCTGGTCTTCATCAGAGCCATGGTGAACTGAAAAAACGGTTTGGTCAAATGAACGAGGTAGTCAATTTGCCTCCATTCAACGTCGGTAACCTTGAGCTGCGAGTATTCATGATCGCAGCAGTATTTGTCGATTACATTTCTCAGCCGGCGTGCTCGGCGAAGCATCAAAAAAGTTGAATTCCAGCGTGTCTGAACGTCATGTAACGGAAAAAGCCGAGTACCACCTGATTGGAGGCATAAAAAAGCATCACGCCGTTGTGGGCTTGCGTTGACAAAGATCGCAAAGGATCGAATCTAATGCTGTCAGTGCTCTGAGTATATTGAAAAGGTGAATATCTTGGCTCACCTTTGTCAGTGTATGAGCCACGTCTCCATAATTGATCGAATCCTTCAACCCGTGCGCTTGGGTGTCGGACCAAAAGGCTCTGACTTCTTTATTCTTAGGTGCTGCCCTGATATGTCCCAGTAGCTGTTTCAGGCAAAGCTGGATCACATGAGCCATGCAGGGAACCCGGACTATTGATTCCCTGGAGCTAATAGCTCCAATAGAGAGCAGTCTCTCTTGCAAGGCGCGTATCATGGTGTCGTTGTTGGTAGCGTTATCTGTAGTAACGCTAAAAATACGATCGAGAAGTTTTCGTTCCTCCAGTAACCGGTGCAAAACATCACTAAGGTTGTTTCCTGTATGAGGACCGTGCAACGGCTCAAAGCCGAGGAGCATTTCCCTATAGTTCCAATCTTTGTCGATGAAATAAACCGTGATTGCCATGAATGCCTGCTGAAATGGACTGGTCCAACAATCTAAAGCGAGGGAAACCTTGGCATCTTCAGGCAGATCTTGTAACTGTAACTCTTGCTGGCAATTGACTGCATCCCGGAGCCGTCTTCGCAGGGTCTTCGCTGACGGGAGTTCCAATTCTTTGGGACCAGAATATAAAAGGCTGAGTAGCCTCTGAAACACCGGGTTCTCCACCGTCTGGAAAGGCAAACGAAGACACGTAATTGTCTTCAATATCTGCTCCTCGATTTGAAATGTTGTCACTCTGTGGACACTGGGTGAGTCTCTCATGGAATGGTTCTGCAAAGAATCCGAAATCAATGACTGATTAAATCCCTTTTTCTTCCCTTTACGACAAGTGTTAGACTTTTTGTGTCTACTCATGGCGCTTGTCCCATTCCCTTTATACTGTGGATGATCAAGCACAGTGAGACAAGCCTGGCAGATGACTCGAGGACGCCCAGAATCAATATCAGCAACCTGGTCAAAGTGTTTCCACACATCAGCGTGACGCGATCCGGTGGACCATTTGATCTGGGATTGGCCTTCTCCATTCAGCTTTTGGCCGTACTCTGTTTCCTTCCACCATTCAAGAAACTCTGTCTCTAGATGCGACTCGTACGCAATCCATTTCTTTCTGTGCTGAGGTCCCACACGTCGGAGTGTCGCTGGAGGTCTTCGAGTAGTTATGTCGTAGGTTTTGCGGGGTCCTGTCAAAGGCTGCGGTCCATCTTAGTATACATGTAGATAACGCCGCAACACTCAGAGGCTAGTGGAAGGGACCATTTTCTTACGGAGGATTGAATTTCAGAATCCAAGAAGCCGTCAGATGACGGCTCAATAGAGAGCAGTGGACTGAAAGGCCGATGTATTGATCGCGATGATGAGGAAGAAGACGCCATACTGAAGTAAAAGGCCACTGATATTGGAAGAAGGGGAGATTTTTTTCATCTTGAGTACTTGATTGTGGATTTTGTTTCAGTCGCGTCGTGCGTTTGGATCTATCTATTCCTGAGTTGCGTAAAAGCCGCGGGTACCCAAAACCCAACCCAACCCAACCCAACCCGCCCGGAGATGAATACGACTTTGGGAGGACACTGAGAAGGTCCAAATCACTGATTTTAAATGATCGAACTAAAGATGATATTTTTGAGCTCACTCGAAAGATTCTCAATTGATAAATTTACATAAAATCATCAATGTGGCCTGTAATCCCTTCAGTTGTGTAAAGCAGGGCGATGGGAGCAGTGTTCTACATGTAGAGAATATATATTTCCAGGTCGATGGCGTTCATTGTTTCAATGTAATATCCACTCAAAAGCGTGACAGAAATAAATGACCAAAATTACACTAGATGACTAATCAGGGTTATCCACGATTTATGCATGTTTTTGGGTATTTTGGGCAACCCGCGGGTACCCGCCAAGAACCCATGGGCGGGTTCATCAAGGCCAAAACCCGCGGTGGGTTGCCCATGGGCGGGTAAGGAAATTGAAAACCCAACCCAAACCCGCGTTTGGCGAGGTCTACATACAAGGTAATGCGCGCACGTGATCTCAGACCCTTTTGGAGAACGGGAGCTTGTCTGCCAATCTAATTTAGTTACCGCCACAAAAGCCCAAGCACCCGATTGCGGACGACTTTGAAAAGACCGCTTTGTCACCGCTTCTGGTAACTTACCATCTACAGTTGATGGAGCTTCATCTACCCTGACCCGCTCGGTGAGTTGATTTACCGACTACGGAGTAGACCAAATACTAATCCAGTACCAAGTCTATGGTGAGGGTCAGTGCAACCAACCCCCTTAAGTAACAATGATGCATAGCACAAGCAGCACCTGCCTGATTTGTAACGATAACCACGTTGTCATGTTGACACATTGATGACGTCATTCATATATCCACGCCAGCCCTGCAAATATCCCAGCCTGTTTAATCTCTACAGACTTATATTCTGTAATATGCACTGCTTCTGATACCCAGGATCTACGCTCAAAACAAATCTCAGAGAAATAAAGAGTCTTCATATCATCATGGCCTGCACTTGCGGATCGACTTGCAACTGCACCGGTTCCCAGAATTGCACCTGTGGTAACAACTGTTCCTGCAAGGCTTGTGGCGTACGCATATTCCATACGCATATCCCATGCTCTGGCGGCGGGCACTGAAGTGTGATATCCAGTATGGCTGACTTTCGGCTTGTCGCATGTAGAAATGAAATGCTACCTCGACGATGTCTTTCATCCTGGGTCCACGATCAGATGGAGCAGAAAGGCTTGGTCCGTCACTGTGCGCTTTCCATCTCAGTATGCTATTTACCCCGCTGTACGCAGCCTCAACGCTATGTCTGTCCTTATTCTATAGCACTCAATATTGAGTTGTTCCTTTTGCATAAGCCGTTTTCAGCTAGTATGTCGTATTATTTCCGCTTTGTTGAGCCGGCTAATTGCTGGACTGACTGGCGACAAAGCTGTGGAGTATACGAGACCCATCTAAGATGCTCTGGGGAGCAATGGTTTCCGTGTCTTCGTAAACCGCTCTGCCTCTCTCTTCGTCGCAACACATGCTAAGTGGGTGCGGAAAGCCAGCACAGTGGAGATAAACCATCAAGTCGAGGCTCATGAGGGTAGTTCTCAGGATTGTGAGAAGTGCGGCGAAGTACCAGATAAGCCGCCGGGAAAAGACTACTTTCCTGAAGAGCCTAGCAGCAGCCTACTGAGTGAAGTTCTGGCCTCCGTGATTGGCGTGGGACACTTGGACGGAATAGATGGAGATTTCGAATGCTCGCTGTGGTAAAAGATTCGGCGCAGGTAGCGCTGTAATTTGTCAATCATATTTATTCCTCCGGATTTATTACTACGAGAACTGTTACGAATAAGGTAGTCGGAACGGTGAGACTTGGTGGAGTTGGACTTGGGAACAAGGATTTCCGAATCAGGATGATAAGCGATGGCGTCTGTATCAGAGCGTGTATCAGAACGCGTTTCCCGCCATCCTAGATCTTTCCTTCTTTCTCTCCTTAGCTTCGATACTCTCGTCAAATGGCACCAGTTGATTCCGAATCTCTTTCTGGCTGTTAACAATGACTGGTTATTAGATATCTTGGCTACGAGTGGTCATTGCGGCCTTTCCTCAAATCAACAATTGTGCGCTCTGATATTTGCATGTTGCACACGCTTGACTCACTTGGAAGACACATTTAAGGAGAGAAACAAAAAACATCGGCGGTCTATGGGAGGGGTAGACCAAGAGCAGGTAGAGGTAAGCAGGAGACAGTTCCGTGCACTCTTTGCGCATGCTTCAGAAGTCCCGATTTCGACATCAGCTTTTCGCCGCAAATAGTCTACCTTCCAGTCGTTCCGGCTCTGTGTGTTCGACTGGGGTAAGAATGCTCTCTGCGCCTCCTCGTGGACACCGTTCTCCTCGTCCTCTTCGTCCTGTACTCCCGGGTGTGAAACTTGCTTGTAATCGGGTCGCCTGCTGCCTGATTGCGTGCTCATCCAACTCGTTCGTTAGCCGGAAAGCTGAACGAAAGCGATCTGTACGGAGTGGCAGAATATCAGCCATTACACCACGAATCTCAGTATGGCAGTGAACCCACCTTGGCCCCGAAAACAAAAACGACTGCAACAAATATCATCCAAGATGTATTCTGCTGCTGCTCTCTCCAAGGAGCGAAGCAACTCCTCTGATATCCTAGTTGCAACCACACGCGTTGTCCCCGTGGTTCCGGTCTTTGAAGGGCCTTCTGCCCTGTCGTGAAGGCTTCCAAGACCACAGCATCGGAACTCATCTTGGATGGAGCGGATAGCGTGCGAATTCTTGGATTGAAAGAAACCCTGCCATTGTTGATCTAGGTTACAGAAGAGAATCCTGTCGGGAAAGAGGTACGCAAGTGCTACTGTAGCCACGATAGTCGATATGACGTTTTGAATCTGACTGAGTATACTGGATATTCTGCTCCATCGACAGTTGCGAGGAGTTGACGGTGGGGAACAAAATCGCGTAGCTAACAGTACGAGTGCCGCAATCGGGGATATGAGTGTTGCGATGGCCGGAACCCATGTTGGTAAAGGAAGAAATAGAGCGGCCGTACGAGCCCACGATAACCTATTCCGTGAAAGCGCTGTTAATTACTATTCTTATTGAATAAACTCTCGCCATAGATATGATGAAGAACACAATAACTCACGCTCCAAGGGTCAAGGATACGGCTCCTCCCTAATGGCAAAATGCGTTAACAGAAGTCATCGTCAAGCTGGATCTCCAGCAACTTACCAAAACAAACACGATACTATAGGGCTTTTAACAAGACGTGATGAAATCGTATCTGCTAGTATACACTCTGGCGAATAAGGATCAGGCGGAATCAACCTAAACGGGATGAACTGATTGATTGAGAAACTATGTACAAAATCGAGCATGGGCGAGGACAGGTTCCAAGATACCCCTTAATTCCCGCACGGACACTCGGCGGTCACAACACCGGAGCCGCAGCTCCGCGCAAGAATGCGTACACCAAGAAAGGGACGTTATGTCCCGACAATGGCCATGTGTCGTGCATTCTACCTTGCTAGAAAATGATGACTGTTGCGAGCCTGGTGCCGTCTTTTGCCCAGATAATAGATTCGCGAGTTTGCCTAAAAGGTTTGACATCGTAAAATGAGTGATGAAATTGTGCCTGCTGTTTGGGAGTTGTATTAGTGAGAATTGGCGTGCGAGGGGATGCTTGCGGTCTTACGGCTGACGTGGATCCATTTACCTCACAAAACGAGGGGAAGCATTGTGGCTGAGCCAACAAACTAAACCACTATTAGTGCCCTGTTTTACTTCGGCTGCGAGGCATTCCATCTTCATGTTGTGTTCTGATCCTTCGTGGCTAGATTTTCGGTGGGCATCTCAAAAAATCAGTTTCAAATTCGGGTATTATCCTAGCTGTGTAACTTGTTATCATATTTGACTTGATATAAAAGAATTTAAATGTGATTGTGCGAATCTTGCGAGCTAGGTGAACGAGCTGGACTTTACATCTGAGTCGCGCTGCGCTTCTCGGAGCCCACTTGGCATCTATTGATGTCGCGACTGAAGCGACGGAAGGGTTGAAAGGGATTAACACTAGTGGCTCAAGGACGATAGATCTGTCTATAACTACTACCATTCAGAATACACTGACACGTGTCCCGATTTTGATCTTATTGGAAGGATCGAGCCAAGGCGTTGTTCACGGTCTCGCGGCGCACCAGCGGATTGCCGCGGAAGACCGTTTCCATGATATAATCAAAGCGTTATGCAAAGTGGCCCCTGTTCGAGACGAATTTGGGCATCGGCGATATAACCAGATTCGATGACCAAGCAAACCGCCAGAATGAAAGCGAGCCTACTCCAATGACGATAGGCCAGCCACCAAAGCAACCCACCTGAGACCTGACTAGATCCGCAATCGTTGAGTCGGTGGCAACGTCAGCAATCTCCTAACGGAACTGATTGTTTTATGTCAGGAAACAAGAACACACGAAAAGTTATTTCCAAAAGTAAGTTAGGGTTGATTATGTGCGTGTTAGATATACTAATTGTTTAGAGGTGTGCATCTCTATTACCTACGTGAGTTAAAAGGTTTTAGCACCATGCACTCAACCACGCACGAAGGGCAAAAGCCCAAAGCCAAAGGTCGAAAGGGCAAACGGCAAACCCCAAAAAAGCCAAATGCAAAAAATCCTGGCTTCCGAAGAGTTCAATCGTCCGATCTAAAACCGACTATTGGCAGCCGAGTCTTCATCAAAAGACTGCTGGATATGACGCTGACACTACTCAATGCCATCGCGAGGCTGGCCCACACCGGATCCAAACGAACGTGGCTGCCATTGCTGACGATCGGATAAAGCACTCCCGCCGCGAGCGGGATAGCAACGCAGTTGTAAACTAGGGCCCAGGCGAAGTTGAACTTGATTCTGCGGAAAACGACGCGGCTGAGATCGATGAGTGTAAGGAGAGAGGAAAGGCTAGAAGACACGAGGACAAACTCCGCGGCCGAGATTGCAATGTCCGACCCTGATCCGATGGCAATGCCAACGTCGGCCGCGGTAAGGGCGGGTGAATCGTTTATCCCGTCGCCAACCATCGCGACAATTGCCCGACCAGAGCCCGATTTCTTCTGCAGAGTTTTCTGGAGATATTGAATCTTTTCCGCTTTTTGTTCGGGTAGAACGCCGGCGATAATGTTCTCCGGCGGAATTCCGACCATACCACCCACCGCATATGCGGTCGTCGGGTTGTCTCCTGATATCATCCACACCGCGATGTGCCGGTCCTGTATAGCGTGAACGGTCCCCTTGGCATCGGTCCGGATAGCGTCGGCCACTGCCAACATGACGGAGAGCTTCCACGGGACTGCTTCGGTGCTGGTTTGTTCTGGGAGTGTTCTCTGCCCCACTAAAACCACAGACTTGGCCTGGTGCTTCCAGGCTGTCAATATTTCTGCACTCGCTGAAGGAATGACGATTCCATGATCATGCATCAAGGCCTCGTTACCCACAATGACTTCCATAACAGATGAGTCCGAACGAAGAGCGTCGAATGAGCCTTTCATACCCTTTCCAGGTATTTCTTCCACCTTGAGTGCTTGGAGGGCCGGTGCTTCATGAGAGCTGGCAAAAGACACCACTGCTCTAGCAATGGGGTGACTGCTGTTCTGTTCAAGCTCCTTCATGGCGCCCCAAAGCTGATCGGCGTTCGCAATGTCGATGATTTCATGGTCAGTAATAGATGGCTCACCGCCCTCGGTAATAGTACCGGTTTTATCGAAGACGACGCAGTCAAGCTGGCTGGCCTCTTGGAAGGCCTCACCCCCGCCCTTGACGAGAATTCCATGCCGAGCCGCGAGACCTCCACCAACAAACAGGGCCGTTGGCGCAGCGAGTCCGATACCACATGGGCATGCGATGACGAAGACTGCGATAGCGAACTGCAACGACCAGAAACCCCAGCCTCCCGGAGTGTCGCCCTTCCAGGAATCTGGCAACCGGCCAGAGACACCAAGACCCAACCAAATCAGCCAGTCTAACACCGTAATCAGAGTCACGACCGGGACAAAGAAACCGGTAATCAAGTCGGCCGTGCGCTCGATTGGCGCTCGACGGATCTGCCCCTGGCGAACAGCGTTGATGATCTGATCCAGCATCGAATTGCCTGAAAGACGGCTAACACGGACCAAGACCGGGTTTGCCTGATTGACAGTCCCCGAAAAGACTTCATCTCCAATGGACTTGGAAACCGGTCTCGACTCCCCAGTCAGGCTCGACTCATCAAATTGCGACTCTCCCTCGACTACCAGTCCATCATATGGAGGTGATGCTCCGTTCGCCACCCGCACGACGTCTCCAAACTCTAGTTGGTCGATTGGGACTATGTTAGGTTTCAAAAAGTACGGGGGCCCACCCGTCTCGATCGGTTCCACCAGTATGGCCTCTGTCGGGCGAAGCTTGCCCAAAAGGCTGACCGCATTTCCCGTTTTGGCCTTGCTATAGGCCTCAAGCAGCCGGCCGATCATAAGGAACATAGTCAGAAAGACGACCGCATCAAAGTACGAGCCGGTAGAAGCCCTAGGGCTACCGGGTGGCTGTGAGGCATTGATGGCCAGGATAGCGATAGAGGAGAAGTAGGCGATGCTGGTGCCCAGCGACATCAGCATATCCATGCTTCCAAAGCGATAGAATCTGCGCAAGATAGGTGTCTTGCTGCCAGGCCGCCAGAGTGCCTTAAGCTCAAAGAGCATGCGGCGGTGGAAGATGTCCGCGGCGAAGAAATACACAGGAGTTGACATGATAAAGAGTGCCCACTCTGAACGTGAGGCTCCGCCGGACCACATAGGTCGCTCGAGGTACATCCGACCGGGGTTATTTTGGGGGACGAGTGACATGTACACCACCCCGATGATGAAAGTCGGGATAGCAACTATCACAGCCAAAATCAGCCGGCGAGCAATTTGCCATTGATGCCGACGATGCATCGCTTGGGAGCGTTCCTCAAGACTCGGAGGGTGATAGACAGAAACAGTAAAGGCATTATCTATATCAGCGATCGTGCGCATGATATGTCGGATGGTGAATTTTGGCGAGTGTGGCAGATAGCTCACGGTAACCTTAGGGTCTGCTGTGCTAGGAGGCGCGGTCACTTCCAGCTGGCCCGAGTAAGTGGAAAGGGCTTCGAGAACCCGCTGTGGGCACTGTGGACAGTGCATTCCCTCCACCTGGATGGTAATCGACCGCTTCGAGCTGGGCTGGCTAGAAGGGGTTGCTTTCTCGACATCGCTGAGGGTGGCCGTATAACCTAGGCCTTTGATAATGCCAGGAATTTCGTGCAAATGATCTTTCCCAGAGAGCTCCACAGTCGCACTGGCGGAGACGAGGTTCACATCAACGGTGGTGATCCACTCGTGCTGCTTCAGCGAGTCGGTCACCTTCCCGACGCAGGAGCTACAGGTCATACCTTGGATAACATACGAGGCTCGCCACCTATCTCCACTTCCAGATGGATCCGACAGCTGCTGGCGTCGGACCTCCTGACACTCGATCATTTCCGGGGAATAACCTATTCCCCTGACTGTCTCGAGCAGCTCATTCACACGCGACTTATCCATGAGCGTGACAACAGCAATGCTTGTTAAGAGATTCACGTCGGCCGATTGCACCCATGGTCCACTTTGTAAGGCTTCAGTTATCTTGCTTACACAGGAGCTGCATGACATTCCACTGACGGACAGTGTCACTCGCACCCGAGAGTCGATGAGGCGGTCGTCCTTAACCGACACGAGAGCTTCTTCTTCTGTCTGACGATCATGCGGGCCACGATGCTCCCTCTCGTTGGAGATTGGCCCCTTCTGTACAGTAGAAGACGTGGTCGCCGATAACTCAAACTGTGCACGGCAGGCATCGCATTTTGAGATATGTAGTTTGGACGGAGCGATGGCTTTGCTACCACGAGAGCTTCTGCTCGAGTATTCTGCTGAATTGGCCTCTTTGGCACCCTCGCCGGCATCGGGTATGAGACAGTCAACTTCGAAGGCAACATCCTCGAGAGCGCGCACGATGCGATCGGCACTGAGCGTAACTGGGTGCACGATTTCGATCTCGTGACGTATGATAGATGTCGAAATGGAAAATGGAGGCGGCTGGAGAGCCGAAAGGGTGTCTTCAACGTTTGTCGTGCAAGACGGGCAATGCAAATTGTTGACCAAAATAATAGTCAGCCTCGACTGTGGCGGTGACGACATGCTGGTGGACAGGAAAAGGCGAAATACAATGAAGTATTTGAACGTAGAATATCCGATCCGCTGTGGGGGGTGGCGAGCTTATGTATCTTCCAGTAAGCCTTGGTACCTACATAAAGGCCGGATTTGTATCGATCGATTCTAACGTTTCAGTAACCAGTTTCTAACCTAACGCACAAATCGCGCAATTATCCTGGGGAAAGCTGGACAGGCTGCTGACTCGAAGTCCGTGATGAAAGGGCCAGGTTTTTCTGCAGCTAGCCAACGACGGGAGAAAAGACTAACCCTCTCCTTTTTGTTCGAACCACCTCTTTATTCTGCCGGCAAATACTGATGACTTCACCTTACGAATCACTTCCATGAGCATTCACCGCCTACCATTCTATCCTCCGCCCACATGCCGTAGCTAGCCGCCCCAATAAGCAACGCTGCTAAACCCGTTGGCTTTGACCTAGAAAAGAAACGTTCGTTATCTGTAACGAACTCAGTTAAAAGAGGTAGCCACCAGTGCAACCACTATCTTATTGGTGGACTGGCCCATCCATGTAAGTCAAGCAAGGCAGGCATTGGTTGGCTATCCTGACTAGCAAAAAGGACGGCGGCGAAAATACGCGAAAATAGCTCATCATGGTACCGCGGCTTCTCAAATGGTCTAAGCCTTCCTACCCTTGGTGGACGGGAACGACGCCTAACCTTTTTGTAGGCTCGCCGCAGAGCCAGTGGCACAAATACCGCAATCAGGTGATGATGCGACTACAAGAACTGTGGACTTGACACGGTTCGTCGAGAGTACTCCGTACCATAAAACACAATAGTTGGTCTCGCAAACTGCTTTAGCTCTCAATTTCTTCACTTGCTCTTGTCTCATCATACTCGCGGCATGTCCGACCATCAATACGAATTCAGTGTCCAGATGGGCTGCGGAGGATGCTCGAATACCATTCAGGGCGCTCTCGAAAATTTGCCGGGTAAGTGAACTATGACAAGCCCACGCTGATTCGGTGCTAATGCTTTGCAGGTTTAAAATCTCTGGCGATCAGCCTCGAGGAACAAAGTGTTGTTGTAGTTGCGGAGCCCTCGCTTTCCTACGAAGCCATTCTCGAAACCATCAAAGGGAAGGGGAAGACGGTCCGCAGTGGCCAGGTCGATGGAGTTCCCCGGCCCGTTTGAGCATACCAGGAGCCATGACACTTGGATTTCCTTCAGTTTCTGTCGGGACATATCCTCCCGTCAGAATAATCAAAGACAACATGCCTTTGCTTCGTGTACGTAATCTGGCGCTAAGCTGCGGCTCCCGCCGCATTGAATTCAGGGGTATTGGAACCTGACTTAGAACACACACATCTTTCATACACGAATCAATCAACTTTTGCTTAGGAGCATAAACTGTCCACTTAACTGTGTACACAGTACCTAGCTGGTGATACCAACAGTTTCAGCGAGGCTTGGAGGCCGGTTGTCTCGTCGGAATGACAGATAATTAGTCCGTGCGAGAGTGTCAAATATGGGAGGGTCACCCTACCAAGTTTTATTCTTAACTCGCTCTGTAACGGGATACTACAACGTGGAACACCGGACAGACATGGATGGCGTCCCGGGGGTTACTCAGGTGAGTGTTGATCGCTTTAACATCCCTCGACTCCCTAATGGGACTATTTACTAATTTCACCCTGTAAGTATCCGATACCGCCCGGAGGGAATTTCACGTACCGCTTTTCCGTGAAGAATGAGTACGGATTCTACTGGTATCATTCTCACTTTCGTGCGTCCTACGACGATGCCATACGCGGACCTCTTTTGACCCGGCCAGCACCGTCCCACCATCGACCTTTCGAGGAACTTCCTGATTATAAATCCGATAGTGATAAGATGTTACAGGCTGAGGAAGGACGCTGTCTCTATACTCTTGAATGACTGGACCCATAAACTTTCGGATACGATATTTGCGCGCTATCTTCAAACAGGTGCCTTCCCTGGCTGCGTTGATAGTATCCTCGCGAATGGACTTGGCCGGGTGGAATGTCTGCCAAAGTACGTCCTCGACGCTGGCCCCGGGTTGGGGATAGCTCGGAACCGACTACTGCACAAGAGCCTTATGCTACAACAACGCCGACAACTACGTCTGCGGGGATGGAAATGTCTGGAATGATGAAACGGATGGATGGCAGCATGAGCGACGCTAGCGGTAGCCAGATGGCAGTATCTACGATGAAACCATCACCATCTATGGCAGACCGGATGGGCATGGCCAGTTCAGGAAATATAGGACAGGCAATGGGACTGAGTGCTCGGGGCTGCATGCCGCCTATGTTGTTTCGACCGGGGTACAGTATCAGGTCATTGCCGCCAGACACCTGCGAGAATATTACGCCACCCCAGTCACTTATCTCAGCGAATGCTTCGCAGGGATGGCTTGCCCTCAATTTGGTCAATTCTGGAGGAGTCAGTGCTCTCAGGGTATCCCTCGACCGTCACTCGATGCATATTTATGCTGCTGATGGCCTCTATGTTAAACCACAGGAGGTGAAAGTGATTCCCTCACAGAGTACGCGGAACCTAATCTCTTTCTGACCTTTCTAGGTTCTGGAAATTGCCCTTGGTCAGCGATAGTAATGATTAAGCTCGATCAGCAACCCGGTAATTACTACCTTAGGTTCGCAACTTATCCCAATGGTGATATGCAACAGGTCCTGGAAGGCCAGGCCATAGTTTCTTATGCTGTGAGTAATCATCGTTTCACCCATTCGGCATCCGTGCTGACATCACATGCAGGTAGAAGGAATGGATATGTCTCCGTCAAGCGTTTCAGTCGACCCAGATTTGAAATCATTTGGATGCGGACAAATGGCACAGCTAAATCCGGGGCCCGTGAACTAGCTGAGACGCAGCTATCGCCTTTTGAAGGTAATAGACCGCCGTCCTCTAAAGCTGCGGACCTCACGCGACAATTTACAATCAATCAGACTGGCATTGTGACTTGGGTTGTGAACAAGGACCCATATGCTGAGGCTGAGATTCGTCTTGTATATGGGATGCTTCAGATCGCTGGGTTGCAAGCACTACGCTACATATACCATCAAACTCGTCTATTGATATTGTAATGAGCATCGCGAACGACTCAATGGATACTGTGTGTGATAACATTCCATGAGCAGTGCGTGATCATCCTTTGACTGACCTTGACGCAGATGGGCCATCCAATGCACCTTCATGGTCACAAGTTCTGGGTGCTGGGTTCTGGCAGTGGCTCGTTTCCTTATCAGTCCGTGGCAGAAGCACCATCGTCCATTATCAACCTCGATGATCCACCATATAGGGACACAGCGAATGTGCCACCATCAGGATGGCAAGCAATTCGGTGAGCCTTCCATGCGGAATGCTCTTGCTGCCACGTGACTAATAAAGAAATAGCTACGTGACCGATAAGCCTGGGGCATGGATACTTCACTGCCATATCCAGTGGCATATTGTGGTTCGTTTCATCTTCTTCCTTCAATATTTGGATACGCAATTCTGAGTATACGTGCAGAGTGGGATGGCGTTAGTCCTGGTCGAAGGCGAAGACCGGCTCCAGACGTTAGTTGGTTCATTCAACGTCTCAACGATGGAGCCGTCGACCACATCTGGCAGCAGTTTAGCCATTAGCCTTGGCAAGACGGCCCTTTAATCAGCACAGTTATCTCTTTTATTGTTTCGTTCGTCGTGTAACAAACGCGACGACGGTTGAATTTAGGTTCACCCACAATTCTCAGACACGATTGAGTAGCATGGATTTATGGAGAATATATACTTTGGCCTTATATACACAGGACACGTCCGTCCTGACAGCGAGTATCCTCTCGCTTCTGCTCTCGGGGCCTGGGCAGGTTTGAAGATTTTCTTGGTCGTAGTCCTGGGTAAAAGTGAGGTATACGTAATGCATAAGACTGGACTTAAGCAAGTTGGTGGCGGCGGCTCAAATAGTTAGCGGCTGCAGAGTTCGTGACAAGTAGGTAGGAAAGAAGAATAATGTACTCTATGAATTGGATGATTAGCGATGAATAACCTCGTGACATTATTGACATGTGCGAATAAACAGTTGTAGCGAACTCTCCTGCAAAGAATGCTAGTTCTGTGGTCTTGACACAGCATGATGAAAGCAAGAAATATGAACACGTGTTCTCGAATACTTTGTGGTGTGGGCCAGGAGCATAACAATGGGTTGACAATGTGTTTGACAATGTGCAACCGAGAATGAAATTCAGCTGTGGAAGACAGAAAGCGATGAACGTTCCTCGGGTGATACAGTAGACAAGCACTGGAAAAGGTCAAAAAGGTGCGTAGAGTTTATTCGGCCTCGGTGACAGTAAACCATTTTTCGTTGGATTCCCTCCAGTCGCCAATCCCCAACTTCCCGTCCTGTATGACCAAGGATAAAGCGTTGAAAACAACTTGCTCGTACAGGTCTCGAGCAGCAGTTACAGCTTGTTTGTGCCATGGGCCAGTGCCTCCGAGACAAGCATCTTCTCTGCTTCTCCATATGCCTGTGATCTATAAATCAGCCCACTTGAATTCATTTCAACCAAGTAACCTCCTCGTCGGGGGTTAAGGAGGCTAACCTCTCATTTCGGAAACTTACATGTTGCAAGGTTTTCGTTATTTTCATTGCGATTTCCGAACCAATACTTTAACAGACCCCCACTAGCAGTCGCCTCCCGATGCGAATGGTTATCTAGCACTTGCAGGAGTTGGACGTTGGCATCTGGACGCAGGCGCGATCGAAATACAACTACATAGAACTCCTGTCTCTGCCAGGGATATCCGTTCGCATCAGGAAATTTAGGCAGCAAATCAACGACCTCCTGCCAGTTGAATGATTCTGCGTAAGGAGCCGTAGCATAATCATCTCGAGTGGGCTTCAGGACGGTCAACGCTTTTGCCAGCAGTCGGTTTGGCGTGTCGAGGGTCTTGAGGTCAAGCAGGTGGGGAGGATCATTGTAAGGGGATGCAATAAGGCGATCATCCGATTTGACTATATTGTCACTCAGAGAGCCGAATTGCAATTGCAAAGCAGCAGCCGCATGAAACTGGAGAGCCTCCGAATTCTTCGTCACGAGGCTGTGATGGAGGACACATTTAAATGTTGTAATAGCGTCTCTCGGTGCAATTTGTTCTGAGCTCTCGATCGAAGGGGCCATTCTTCTTCCTCTGCGACGTGAGGGCAGGTATCGATGCATGGGAAGCCCAAACGCTAGCGAAAGCACTAATCAAGCTGAGAGAATGAAAGACACGAGAAAATTAGAATATGGGAAAGAGTAATAAGTTGAAAGACGTTATGCTAGGCTCGGCACAGCAGGCATTGAGCGTAGAACATCGACGCCCAAGACCTGATATACTGACAAAGGAGACCACGATTGCGCGGTTTTCGCGGCTGCGGAAGACACGTAAAGCTTATTAATGTCTGTGCATTGAGCTACATCATGAAGTAATTTAGACGAGCAGGAAGAATAGCTTGATTTGTTTTGGCACAGTCTCTAAGGATTTCACCCATGAGAGGCATACGCAGTAATATGAACGTTGACTTGCTACACAATTCCAACGTATTTCTTGGTACATGTGATTCATCACCTCGGCCACCCGAATACGGAGTACATTATCATGCATATTAGACCATTTAGTAATAGTCTATTCCCGGCGGTGGATTACGACGAGGTAATCGACGAGACACCGATAACCGGACGTGGAGGTCAGCCAATGGCTACTGCCTTATGGATATGTTTCCGGTAACTAGTTGAGGTCTACTGACTGTGAGAAATGCCGTTTGTTTACTTATGCCTCTGAGAGGTAACGGACTGAATGTGGCGCGAGTTGGCAACGCACAAATCCCTCAAATGTGTCATTAATGTGGGCGTCTGAAATTCCGCAAACATGCCTCGCTCTAACAAGGCTCAGCTGTGAAGCACTTTCCAGACAGCCCAGGTTCCCAAACATAAAGCCATTTCCCTTTCCCCTTGGGAATGACCTATACAAAGGATAATCGCTGAAATTGGATGCGGTGAAAATCCAGCGTCTTCCACCTATGGCTTCTCGAGATATTGCCACCAGATTCACTAGCTTTTTTGTCCACAACCTTCACTGTGATGGGTACGTGAATTCGACCGTCTACATACAAATGAAGGGGAAAATTAATCTGTTTTGCAGCTGTAAGGCAGCAATTGAAGATTCCCTCCGACAACTAAATCCCTCGCCAATAAGTGTTGTAACGTCGGTAACTGATCGGCGGGTGTCTGTGGTACATCCTGGCGGCCTCAGCAGCGCCGAAATACTCGAACAGGTTCGGCGCCTGGGTTTTCTCGTTGCCGAAGATCTTCCTTTACCAAGCAGATGGCAGGTTTAAAAGCAGATCCTTATGCGAAAAAGATCCGCCTATTATTCGGCGGGGCCGAACACGGGGATTTGTTCCAGATCCTTCTCCTTACACAGTACGGAGTTAGTGAAATCTCTTTAATTTCGACACCCCTGGTCCTACATGTCTGTAGAGATTCCCCTGGTCATAAACCTTCTATAAATCTACCAATATCAACAGGATATAGCGCATGACAGCCATGTTTTCTTCTAAATACCTTATCTCTTCCAAATGAACGACTTCAACAACGCATATCAAGCTGATGCTGGTATGCTGGACCGTTGCAGAGATAGGCGGTGTAGGCGGTCGTGATGGCCTACATCAGGGGGTTGGATAGTATTTGACGGTCAAGCATGATACGAGTAAAACAAAAGAAGTGGATTTGGAAAAAAGAACATCTAGCTAGTCCGTAAGAATGATTGTTCGTGCCTCAAGCAGCGCACTCTTACCGTTACCTTCTCAATGATATCGGCGAACCCGTAAGTCGTTAGTCTCACGCGGGATTCTCGTTTAGCTGTGGCGAGCCGTCCCGTGCGGGAATTTTGCGTCGGCCTGTGGTGAGGCGCCTTCAACAACCGAGACTTTTTGATGCGCGATTAGTGCGTAAAACTACGTCATAGAGGTGATTGGGCACACTCAATTGCTCCTCCGCGGACTGGCATTGTCGAATTTATACGAACTACTCCTTCAGTACGGAGTATGGACAGGACATACCACAGAATTGTGGGCTTACAGAATTTCGGATAGGAAAGCTCCACCAGGAAAAACCAGCCAACAAATCAATGAGAACACGTGCCAGACAGAAAAAGCGGGCTAGTGAGCTCTTTCATTACAGATATTTTTTGGCTGCAGATAAGGAGCGACTTTCCCTACAGCGTAGATACAAATTCCTAGCCCTCTGTTCTCGCACACGAGTGAGTTACTGCCTTACAATATATGGATTCAAATAATCCTGTCAGGACGAGCTATGCTCAAGCTTCACCATATGCATTCCCTCTCCGGCCCGAAGAGTATGCTCCAGGGCCTGTTCCAACTATGGAAGAGTGGCGGCAACTCTGGGCGGCGTGGGAGCTGGTGACGTTGAAAATGATCCCCAGGGAGGCCTTGCTTGAACAGCCAATTCCGTTACGGAATCCCCTCCTTTTCTATCTAGGGCATATTCCAACCTTGTAAGTCCAGACATGTATAATCTCATTCTCATTTTTTTTTTTCAAGATACAAGGGCAGTGGACTTACCCAAATAGTGAGGACATTCATCTATCACGAGCTACAAATGAGCCTCCGACCGAGCCCAAGTTCTATCGGCAGATCTTTGAGAGAGGAATAGATCCAGATGTCGATGATCCTACACAATGTCATGACCACAGCGAAACCCCAGATACATGGCCGGAACTCAAGGATATCTTAGCCTACCGGGTCAAAGTCTGCAGGAGAATTGAGGCGCTTTACAAAAAAGACAAGCCCTGGTCAGATAGGACAATTGGCCGTGCACTCTGGATCGGCTTTGAGCATGAGGGTGAGGACAAATCTCGACGGTGATCACGCAGTGCTAACATCATTAGGACTACATCTGGAAACCTTCTTATGGATGTCGGTACTCAGTCCAAACATCCAACCACCTCTCGGAATTCCCAGGCCAGACTTTGTTGCCATGGCCAAAAATGCATCGCAAGAGCGAGTCGAAAACCAGTGGTTCAACATTAAGCCTCGCACGTTTTATATAGGGATCAATGACTCGGATAACGACGACGAAGGCGGCCCGGATGATTTCTTTGCCTGGGACAATGAGCGAAATCCATATCCGGCCCTCGTTGGTGGGTTTGAGGCCCAGGCACGGCCTGTGTGTATTGAAGAATATGCAGCATATCTTGTCAAGACTTCGCAGATGGACCGACTTCCAATTACGTGGATATCCAAAACTGGAAGAAAAGACGAGCCGATAGCGAATGGCCGGAATGTCCATGAAGTCGACGAATTCATCAATGGTCTCGCTATAAAGACTGTATACGGCCACCTCCCTTTGGAACTCGCACTTGACTGGCCCGTATACATTTCCTACAACGAAGCAGAAGCATATGCGAATTGGGCTGGAGCACGACTCCCGACGCTGCACGAAACGCGCAGTATTCATCGGCAGGTCGAGGAGGAAAAGACCCCGAAAATGGGGCCCCGATCAAAGCGTGATGATATCTACATTGATCTGAGCGGATGTAATGTTGGATTTCATAATTTCCACCCTACCCCGGTGACGCAAAACGGAGACAGGCTCTGCGGACAAGGGGGATATGGGTGGCGCGTATGAGTGGACGAGCACATTTTTCGCGCCTCAACCTGGATTTCAACCTATGGATATCTATCCTGGATATAGCGGTAAGTGAACCAAGTCCCGCGGGAGAGTCATCTTTTGATTCGAAAATCTAGCCGACTTCATGGACGAGAAGCACATTGCGGTGGTCGGTGGAACATGGGCTCTGCATCCGCGGATCTCGGGAAAGAAGACCTTGTAAGTCTATAAGCCTCAAATGCTCTCCAGGTATCTGTAGACGCTGATTCGGACAGTCTCAATTGGTGGCAAAAACCCTACAAGTACCCATGGGTTGCCCTTCGGTTGGTTCGTGATGCTTCATCGCCAGGATACCCGAAGTGAACATCACTTCAGGAATCAGACCACCCACAGGCCTCACAACTTCACAAGACATCGCTCAAAACCCCAGGATCGCAACCATACAAACTGGTAATCTGATATCGCTAACGCGGGGGGTGAAAATACACTGAAATTGGTGGTCTGTGAAAAAAGTCGGACCAAGATGGCATACCTGTGCAAAGTTGAAAGCCCTGCAAATTTTCACTCTAATGCAAGAAATCACCAACGCTCAATTTCAAACCTACCTGTAACAGGGTAAACCCTGTTTGTTGTTCGTGGGTTACCTCAGGTATCATCTGCCGACCTTAGAAATACTCAAGTCTTCGCTGCTACCAAGTTACCTGAAAGCTAACTGCCAAAGCCTGTCAATCTCCCTGCATGAAGCCCTCGACTGGGGCACTACGGAAGGAATCACCTTCGCGCCTGACAAATATGAATTGATCCATTTCTCGCGCCGTAAGGATGACCAGGATTCTAGCCGCACACCAAGCGTCATCGCGGGCCGGATCACGATCTCTGAGAATACAGAACGCCCCTACCTGCGTTGGTTAGGGGTCCTCTTCGACAAGAAACTTAGCTTCAAGTATCATGTCGGTGAGACAACCTCGAAGGCCATAATAGTTGCAAACGCCCTCCGCGGCCTTGGGAACACTGTCCGGGGAATCAAGCCATACCTTATGCGGCAGGCCGTGATAGCCTGCGTGCTCCGGAAAGCCTACTTCGGATCGGAAACCTGGTGGCCAGGCCGCTCGCGCCCCTGTCCCCGTGCAGGCTCCATCTCAAACCAGGTCCAAGGACACCTAGATAAGATAGCCAAAGTCATACAGACGGGGGCTAGGGCGATTCTCCCTGTCTACTGCACAGCTCCCTTGCCGGCTCTGTATCGGGAGTCAGGGCTTCTACCAGCTGAAGTAGAGCTAGACTATATAGCTACATCGGCTACCATCCGTGTTCGTCGCTTAGATCCTTACCACCCTCTACGCAGAAGGGCGGCAAAAATAGCACAAACTGGTTGGAAAACGAGCCGCTTTGCGCGCCGAATACTAGCCCTGCCGGAATCTGAGCAGATAAACCCGTTGCAACATGCCCCGTGGCTCCTAAGGGAGTCACGGGCGCCCAACTGCGAATAAAGGCACCTAGCGGACGATCAAAGGAGCAGGCAGCTGCCGACTTCCAATCCTTCTACTCCTCCCTCCCAAGCAACGATATGAAAGTCTTCACAGACGGGTCGAAATTGCCTGATGGTATGGCAGGTGCTGGGTTTGCTCTAGGAAGACTTTGTCACCAATAATCCTTCTCGCTCGGGCCAAACAAAGAAGTTTTCGATGCCGAAGCTGAAGCAGCTCTTGCTGGTGTTAAAGCAGCCATGCAGTCTTACGCTGCACGCTTTGCCACTGACCTCTGGGTCTGCCTGGGTAACCTAGAAGTAGCTACCCGCCTACTCTCACCTTTTACTGGGTCATCCCAAGAAGTTTTCGAGACCTTCCGAACCCTGGCTTTGACCTGGCCCGAGCGAGAGAGGTTCTCCTATACAGACGAGGGCTCCGTGCGTATTTGCTGGGTCCCTGGACATACAAAAGTCCCTGGGAATGAAACAGCTGACCAAGCTGCAAAAAGGGGAGCTGCCTCAGAACCCCTGTTTCCCCTGTTTACTCCTTTGCCTCGCTTAAGCGTCGAACGAAGGCTGCTGTAACCTCTGGCCTACAAAGGCACTGGCAAGCCGTGGCTCCGAAGTCATACCAGGATCTTTGGATCACCTCCTCCCCTAGGTGCCCGGATGAGCTGCGCCTCCCACGCCACCTTCTCGCGCGGATCCTGGCTGCTCGCACAGGGCACGGTGATTTTGCAGACTACCATGAGCGGTTCAATCATGAAGATGCACATCTACACTGCCGGTGTGGAGCCAGGAAGTCTCCCGGCCACTTCTTCTTCTGCCGAGCCTACCCCGACCCTCAGGACCCCCTTCAGAGACAATTCCCTTCCTTCTGGGAACCCCAAAAGGCGCAGCCAAGCTAGCTGCCTGGCTATCAGAGACTCGGTTCTTTGACGACATCTGTCCAAGAAGGCCCCTGCCTGAGCATGCCTGAGACAACACATCCTCCCAAAACCAAAAAAAAAAAAAAATGGAAGAAGTAGAAGTAGTAGAGAGGCGGAGAATTGGCGGATCAAGGTGCGGAGAAGGATCCATGCAGCTGGCATTACTACCTAACCTGCAATATAGCAGACCTCCCCCGTGACTGAGGCAGCTATGTGAACGCGCCAAAGTCTCTTAATTGTACATAGAACTAGCAATAGTTAGGGACACCCAGGGCTCACCCCCTGGCGGCCTTTGCCCCAATAGGGGATTCCACAGCCGTTAAACAATAACACACACACACACACACTCCCCACACACATACAACACACACAGAATATCATAATAGTGTCTTAGACGTCCTACTGTTGCTCGCTTTCTCTCTCCCTTCTGCGTCAAGTCTCGGGCTACGCGGTCGCGACGCGCTATAACGCGTCCCGCAACGCCATGGCACGGAACCTCTCCGAGCCTGACAACAGGACTCTACAAACAGCTCTACAAGAAACAACTACCGCAGCCACCATCAGAGCAGCTGAGGGCCAGAAGATCTTCAGCCCGATAGCTGTTTTTCTCGACAAACACCGCAATCAGTCTACTGGCCTCAGTCCTCATCTACAGAACGCCCTCGCTATTCTTAGTGATGATCTAGCTGCTGTAGCCCAACGCCACTTCAATGCCTATATCAGTGGCATCACTCTTACTATATCCCCCTCCACCCCATCCCCAGCCCTTAATCCTGCCCCTGCCCCTCTTCCCCCATCACCTCCCCCTTCACGTCCCCCCTCCGGTCTCGCTCAGTCCTCGTACGCAACTGTCACCAAGCCCAAGCCCAACCCAGCCAAGTCACTCACTGCTGTTCACCAAACAAAATCTCCGAAGAAAAAGCTCACAACTGATGTCAAACAAACCCACTCTGATCACCGTCTTTTCGTGCGTCTGCCAGATGACCACGCTGCCAAAAAGATCGACTCCTATGCTATTTTCTCCAGTCTTCGCTCCCAACTAGGGACCAGCAGCAACGTTTTGAAAGAAGTACAAACTATAAAGACCGGCTTTGCTCTCTGCCCGGCGTCTCCAGAGGCCCTGCCGATTCTAGAGGCCCAGAAAGAAGTCATATCTGCTTACTTCGGTAACTGCCAAATTGAATGGAGCTCCCAATGGATCTCATACAGAGTCACAAACCTACCAAAGAAAATTGGCCAAATTATCAACGGCCAATACTCTGTCATTCCAGTCAATCCGGCCATGCTCTCTGCTGAAGTTGCCGAGCAAACAGGCCGTAGACCGGTGTCTGTCAGTGAGACCGCTACAAGTGCCGCCGATACCAACTCACTGTCTTCAAGCTGGTTTGTCAACTTCTCTGAAGACACAAAGATCTCCCTCCCAGCCCGGCTCCGTCTTTTCGGTACTGTCACCAATGCCCGCTTTCTCACCCGGAAAGTCACAGTCATCCAGTGCAACCGCTGCTGGAAGTGGCATAACCCCCGGTCCTGTGCACGACCCCCAAGATGCCGTCTCTGCGGCTCGTCTGAACACGCGGAAGAAAGGCATACCAACAACTGCTCTATCCCAGGCCCCCACTGTTGCCCCCCAAGATGTTTTCACTGTCACGGACCCCATCCAGCGGACTTCCCTGAGTTTCTACTTCGCCCCAAAGCGGGTATTACTCACACCAAAGCACAACGAGCAGAAATTCGAAAGACGAGCGCAATCACTCTAGCAAAGGCTCGCACAGAACAAGGCTGCTCCTCAGAGCGCCCTACGGACACGCAAGAGCAAGCCATGGCCATAGACATACCTCCCACGCAAACCCAGGTCGTCTCTCCGTTTCGACCAACCACTCCTCCGCCCCAGGAGCCACCGAAAGAACCTCCGGCCACAGCTAGCACAGTGCGATTCGCAACCCCTAAACCACAAAACCGGTTCAACTCACTTCTCGAAGAACAACTATGATCTTTTGGCACTCCACCCGTAAAGAACCCCTCACGGTACTTCAGCTAAACGCTGGACGGGGCGCTGACTCACACGTAATTGCCCTCACACTGGCGTTCACCAACAACATCGACGTTTTACTTATACAGGAACCGTATATATTCTCTAATCTCAGCCGGCAAATCACAAAGAGACATCCATCGTATGAATGTTTCTCCCCCACAGACAGCTGGATAACGACTGGCCGGCCGCGTGTCCTCACCTACGTCCGGAAAAATGCCGGTATACAAGCATCTCAGCTCCGCCCGAGCATTGAGGACCCGACAACTCTTTCAGATCTGCTCCTACTCCAAATCTCCTCCTCGACTGGTCAATCTGTCCTTACCATCAATACCTACAACGCCCCTGCAGGCTCTATCAGAGCCGGGAAAGCCATGGGAGCCCTGATGACTCTACCCGAAACCCTGTTCTCCCAGCCTACCCTCCTAGCCGGAGACTTCAATCTTCTACATACAAGCTGGCAACCCTCACTTACCTACACACCTGCTGTATCGGCAGAACCCTTTGTCGAATGGCTTGACCATCTAGGCCTCATACTCGTCTCAGAAACAGACCGCCCTACTCATACTAGAGGCAATATTCTAGATCTCACCTTCGCTACTAGCTCTTTAGCGCAAAGAGGCCCACACACCAGTATCGCTTCCCATCTGACCACAAATCACTGCTCACCATCATCCCTTGGGATCAAAGTCCCGCATCGTCCACCCAGAAGATAAGATTTGACACACTCGATCAACCTCTTTTTCTATCTCTTCTCTCTACCAACCTCACGCAGGTCAAACCGCTGGACTCCTCGAAGGATGATCTAGAGTCACTAGCACTTGGCCTAACCTCAGCAATACACGGCGCGTACAAAGGCTCCGCCAAGACGTCTCTGCCACATGGAAGAGGACAGCCCTGGTGGAACCCAGAATGCAAAGAAGCATTACAGAACTACCGCTCTGGATCAATTTCCAAAGAAGATTTCCGCAGGGCCGCCAGAAAAGCACAAAGGCAGTTCTGGCGCAAGAAGTTAACATCTGCTGCACAAACGAAAGAGGTCTTCGACATCAGCAAATGGCACAAATCGGTGGGATCGTACCACAGCCCTCCTCTCAAGGACCCTCTACGGCCGGGTGAACCGCCTGCAGTCTCCATTCAAGAGAAACGAGATCTACTTGTTCGCAACCTTCTCCAAAACACAGCCGAAGCCGGGGATATCCCGCTAGACTGTCCAGCTGTTCCTCACGCTGCTCTTCCATTCCCAGAGATCACCATGGCACAAGTGGAAAAGGCCATCTTAAGGGCAGGAAATACCGCACCAGGCGAAGACGAACTACAAACCAACATCCTCAAAGTGGCCTGGCCACTGATCAAGGACAAGATCCTAGCTCTATTCCAGGGCTGTTTACGACTAGGATATCACCCCAAAAGCTTTCGGCGCGCGATTCTTGCCATCCTCCAGAAGCCGAACAAGACAGATCGGACAAATCCTAGGTCCTACAGGCCTATCGCTCTCCTCTCAGTCCTAGGAAAAGGCCTTGAACGCCTAGTGGCACGAAACATGGCCTGGTTAGCGATTCACCACAAGGTCCTAGCGAGCCAGCAATTCGGCGACCTTCCTCTCAGATCAGCAATCGACCTAACCACATGCCTGACACACGATGTAGAACAAGCCCTGAATCAAGGCAAAACGGCTTCTCTACTCACCTTCGATGTCAAAGGCGCTGTCGGGACATATCCTCCCGTCAGAACAAGCAAAGACATCATCACGTCTTTGCTTGGTGTACGTAATCTGGCGCTAAGCTGCGGCTCCCGCCATATATGCTCTTACCGGCCAGACCCATGCTCCGATGCAGACACTGCAGCTGGCTACGTGAGCATTGCGCTTCTGAAATGTCCGCCAAGGATGGGGAGTTATTGTTGGAGTTCGCGGGCTATATTCGAATATCAGCTAGCTGCGTGAGAATGCATCCGTGAATTCTTGTCTCAGGGTAATTTTACTGTTTCTGCTTAGTGACTTGATACGGCGTCTCGTACTTTAGAAGTAGAGTTACTGTGCTAAACGATCGCTACAATGGCGTTTCATAAGTCTGCAAAGCCATCTCGTGTCGAACATTGGGAGTTGAGAACACCACATCAGGATTGAATTGTACTAAACGCATTGCCCCGAAACTGTTTTGAATCGGGTATCTTTTGACTTGAATATGGGCCGCTGGATTGACATTCAGTGAATCAAACTTGTCGATATGATCAATGCCATTTCATCTCTCGCCCAACAAGATGGCCATACTCTCGCTCCAGAATCGCAAAACAAGCCACGTTAAAGTGATTCGAGAAGATGCAACAACGGTGCTGGCATGCTGTTCAGTGTAATAATATGTCGGCCGCAAATTTGACCGAATTGAGCTGTCAAATGGCTCCCATGACCGTCGAGGATTTGTGGAGCCTGTTTATGGTCAAAGAGAACCACGGTACCACCTATTTGAGTCAGTCAACCAATGGGAACGCGGTGTGATTCACAACTCTCACAGTTAACTCCATAACAAGTTGGCACTGTACTATAGAGAAAGTAGATTCAGAGATTCTTGAGCATCACTGTAGAGTAGTATAAAATCGTGTGGAACGTCCAAAAACCTATCAGTTCCGAGTATCCCCATTCTCAATGTCCACCTCCATGGCTACCTCCGTGGCCGCCTCCAAACCCGCCGTGCCCTCCTCCATGGCTGCCTCCATAGCCGCCTCCGTGGCTTCCTCCAAACCCGCCGTGCCCTCCTCCATGGCTGCCTCTATGGCTACCTCCGTGGCCGCCTCCAAACCCGCCGTGCCCTCCTCCATGGCTGCCTCCATGGCCGCCTCCGTGGCTTCCTCCAAACCCGCCGTGCCCTCCTCCATGGCTGCCTCCATGGCTTCCTCCAAACCCGCCGTGCCCTCCTCCATGGCTGCCTCCATGGCCGCCTCCGTGGCTTCCTCCAAACCCGCCGTGCCCTCCTCCATGGCTGCCTCCATGGCCGCCTCCGTGGCTTCCTCCAAACCCGCCGTGCCCTCCTCCATGGCTGCCTCCATGGCTTCCTCCAAACCCGCCGTGCCCTCCTCCATGGCTGCCTCCATGGCCGCCTCCGTGGCTTCCTCCAAACCCGCCGTGCCCTCCTCCATGGCTGTCTCCATGGCCGCCTCCGTGGCCGCGGCGGCCAAGAAACTTGTTCAGGAGGCCTGACATGAGGAAGGATGCGGCTGATCCACGCGAGACTGCGGGACGTTTAAGAAGGTTTCTGCTTCCGAAGAAAAAATGATTATTGAAAATGAGATTGATGATGCCCAATAAACAAAGACGTTGAGAATAGCAAGTTTCGAAGGAAGTCCTAGGACGATGATGCCGCTTAGTTCAAAGCCTTTTACAAAAAGCCAATGCTCTTTAATAAGGGGAAGAGCGGTTTACCATAAGACTGGGTGGGACGTTGCTACACCTAGTAGAAAGAAATGCGTGATTTTTGCGCTACTAGTTTAGCACAGCCACGAAATCAAATCGTCGCCACTTTAGAGGACGTCGGGAGTTAGTGTGGCTCTACCTGTGAAAATTACAGCTGGGGGACACCGTACAGTGGCAGTACATCACTATTTACAGTCAGAGTTCATTACGTACGCAGTAGTATTTGTACTGTTGTACCTTTAGCATGCCGAGAGACGCACTAGGTTTCTGCCGCTACAAGCCCCTCAACATCAATCCCCATAAGAAGTCTCGAGATAGATAGCGCGTTGGCCTTCGTTTCTAATAACTTGCGCTCTAGTATAAGGCAGTACTAGTTAGGTAGAGAGTAATAACGAAGGGGGGAAGCGTGGATTAATCGGATTTATTAAGGAGTGTATAGCTGATAAGGGCAGGCGGTAAATAACGGTTGTGGGCGGGAAGTTCCACAGTGCAAATACTAATGAACGGCCACTGTACGTACGGAGTACAGTGACCTGACATTAATTTGGATTTTGTTAACCGTACGACACAAAACGACATTTTCACGACAAACTAAGCCTAATTAGGAACACCACCAAAAAGTAACTTCCGACACCTTCATAAATCCTGCCAAGCCCTTATGTATACATAGTCCTATACATAAGCGCTTCTCGCGGTTGACCTTAGTGTCCACTGTCTGCCGCATGGGGGCGTAATGCACTTCCCCAAATTTGCGATCATGTGATATTTACTTTCTTAATCATCATCGCGACCTTTCCTTTTTTGGTTTCTGTTTATCTGTTGCTTCGTCCCTTTCCTGCGCGCATCACTCCCCCATGCTACCTTCCCGAGCAATGGATGCTCTGCCTGCCAATGCCGATAAAATCTTCTGCAGCAAATGCTTGAAATTCTACGCCACAGATGATTTTGAACTTAACAAGAAAGGGAAGCGGAACAGAACTTGCAAGCGCCACAGCCGAAAACGCGCGTTGGAACTCGATGACTGGGACAGTTTCACCCGGGTTCTTCGAAATTGGAATAAATCGGCAAGTACCTTTCAGACTCCAGATATGCTTTTGCTGTAGGATATTTTGGCCAACAGCTAACGCAAGGTATATTGTCGAGATCCCAAAACTCGTTCCAGCCTCAACCACAAAGCGTGCGCCCATGCTTCTCATTAGCAGGTAGATAAACTGACATTTCTCGGCATCTAATGCAACAAATTTGTCTCGCATGTATGTCTCGGCAGTTTTCGACCAGATCTCTCCAAAAAGGTAAAATCGAATCAGACGACTCAGGTAGAAGAATTTTTGCGAGAAGGAGCCCTCCTCAGCCTTAGCTAAGGCGTGTAGCCTCCCGAGGAGTTGCTGGACGTTCGGACTGGCGATGACGGGTGTTGGTCTCTCAATCTCCATTTTGCTAATAACCATAACTCTGACTGCACTTAAGCTAATAAAGGCTTCCTTTTTCAGAGGGAATGAGAAAACATGGACGTTTTAAATTGTGACGAGACTTGGTGGCATTAGTAGTTAACTTCGCTCGTATTGGGAAAGTTTGCCTACCAAGGCGGGGTAGTAAAGTTTTGCGTCGCTTGAATGGCTAGAGTGCGCCAGAAACCGCAAAACCGCAAACCCAACCCAACCCAAACCGCAAATGGGTTGGGTTTTGGGGCCAGTTCCAGAAACCATTGCGGTTTTTGGTTTTCGAGGTTCAAACCGCAGTGGGTTCTTGGGGCCCCAATGGGTTGATAAACAATGCAAACTGGGTGGGTCCTTCTGACTGCATATTTTATGCAGTTTTGCGCTGTTTCTTAGGGTATTTGATTTACAGCTAAAGTGGATTTTTGACGTACGTAAATGGGTTCTTCAGCTTATAGCAGTATATTCTGACAGCCGTCAGAATATACGATTATTTAGCTAGTGTTGGCTTCTTAATAGCCGTCGGGAATTAGGTTAATATGGTTGAATTGGCAATTGTGTTAATCACTAATAATACTTGTATAGATCCTCGTCACGTCTGATCCGTTTTCGAGCTCTTACTGAAGCACGGATCTGAGTGCTTTCCTCCTCACAAGAAGGAAGAGGAGGGTCGGCATCATGATCGATTATACCTTGTATATCCCCTCTACCTTGTACCTCTTCCTCTTCCTGTGTTTGCTCTTCTTCGGTATCACTGATTGGATCAACGCTGACCGTATCGGGTGTAGTTTCCTTCTCTTCCTTCGCCGCTTCAATCTCGTCGCGAGTAAAGATTTCCTGTAGGAATGCCGCCTGTTCCTCCTCGATCTCGAACTTTGAAGTACAAAGAAACATCATTAACTCCTGAATAGTTGTTGCACTCAATCTCCCACGGCGGTAATGACAGATATCTCGAGCAGTGTTGAATAGTCGTTCAACACCAGCTCCAGTCGCAGGGATTGATAGTATATCTCGTGCTAGGGCTGCAAGAGTAGGGAAACGATGAGCATTCTCCCTCCAAAACACTAAAGGTGCCATATCTATAGTAGCTTTAGGTCATTAGTATCATACATAGCAGAGCGGTTTAGAATACATACGACTATCAAGATATTGTGAAAGCTCATCGCCTGCTATAGTAGAGCGGGGACGCTTTGGCTTAACCATCGAGTCAAGACGTGATATTCCCCTCCCTAACGAAAGAGATGGAGTGGATATCGATTGTTGGGCAAGGCGTTCTTTGTAGACAGTCAAGTGTTCTTCGATAGATTTCCGGTATGTCGTACGCCAACGATCATCCCAATCATCTGTTTGAAAGAATTGGAACTTATTCGCTGGAGCGAGCATTGTAGTGATTGCATAAAGATGCCCTCGTACGTTATCTGTCTCAGAGTAGTATTCATCAAGCTTCTTACGAGCGGCTTGTAACGCCTGAAGCATCTGTCGCTTCCAGAGAGTCTTCTTCCGCGTTAGCTGGGTAATTGATAGCTCAAGGTGCTCAAACAGCTTATTATAAATCAGGAATACATGATGTGTAGTAGCATCCCGGGTCTTTGATAGTTCAACTGTGAAATCAAAGAAAGGCTGGGTGATAAAGAGAAGGTAATCAACCTGGCGCCATTCTTCGTCATCGAGTACTAGGTCAGGCCGCTCATACTCATCACAAAATGGCTGGAAAAGCGATCGTAGGCGTTTTGCACGTCGAAGCATTAAGAACGTGGAATTCCAGCGTGTTTTGACGTCTTGAAGAGGCATAAGCTTTGTTGTTTCGCCTTGTAGATTATAGAAGGTCTCCCGGCGTTGAGGACTTGCATTCACATAGATAGCAAGGTTTCGAATCTAGAGGTAATGGTTAGTATTATATAATAACTTTAGACGATATAGACATACCTTAGATAGTGTACTAGCAATATCTTGCTTAGTTGCATTCGCACGCGCTGACTGGGATCGTTGCTCTGTCCACCGTGTCTCCGTTGACTCATTTAGCGGGCATACCTTAATATGCCCAAGAAGCTCATTAAGGCTGAGCTGAATCACATGAGCAAGACATGGAACCCTAATAAGGATAGTGTCTTCTGGCATAGCTTGTTGTAGTGTATCAACTAATGTTTGGTTGTTTGATGCATTGTCGGTTGTGATAGCGAAGACCCGATCCTCAATCTTATGTTGTAGAAGAACATCGAGGAGCACAGAACTTAGGTTAACGCCAGAATGTGATCCATGAAGTGGTTCGAAACCGAGAAGAACCTCTCGATATTGCCAGTCCTTGTCGATAAAGTAACCAGTTATAGCCATAAATGCCTGTGTGAAAGGCGAAGTCCAGCAATCAAGGGCAATCGAGATCTTTGCGTCTTCTGGGAGTAGGCTTAGAATCTTTTCTCGTTGTTGTTGTACGGAGGATTGGAGCCGACGTCGTATAGTCTTTGCTGAAGGGATATCAGGGACCCTTGGCGCGGACTGGGCCATCTGGATTAAGCGATGAAACGTGGGATGCTCAATCAGCCGAAAGGGAAGACGCGCGATAGTAAGAAATGTAAGAATCTCTTGTTCCCATGTCTCCTGACTGAATTCATCGGTTTTCGGCATATTCTAGTCATAAAAAGCTAGTAATTAGACCAGAATTATGTACGATAGTGGACTAGAACTATACCTTTGGCTGTAGAAATCGAGTGATATTTGTCCCTTGATCCTGAGAAGCTCTAATACAGCCTGCGCTGGTAAGGTGACCTTTCATGGTCGAGGTTCCTTGACGCTGTTTCTTCCCATCCTTTGTCTCACGGACGAAGTTCTGGTGCTCAAGAAGCTGTCCACAGCGCTTACACATAACCTTTGCAGCACCATCAGAGCTATTAGCGACCTGGTGAAATGCATCCCAGGTACTAGACTGATGTTTCGCGTCCCAGGGTATATGACCTTTCTTACCAAACCCTGTCTCTAGCCACCAGCTTACCCAGTCGTTATGGAGCATTTCGTCGTAGAGAAAATAGGCTTTATTCCGACCAGGGCCAACACGTGTGAATGGTGAAGGAAGTGTAGGCGGTAGGGACAGTTGGAGGAAATCTGTATCGAAGGAAGGTAATGTTTCCTGACTCTCGGATAGATCAGGCGTAAAAGGATGATTCCGAGGAGTATAATTGTCAAATTCGCTGCTATAAATCGATGAGGAGAAGAGAGATTGCTGGTTTTGAGACATGATGATATTAGAAACACCGCTATTGATAGTAAATAGTAAGAGAGAAGGGTCTGACTTACACAAATTATGCGGATTCTTTAGGGATGCGACCGACAAACAGAGGATCCCTGAGTGAATTGATACATCGCGATAGAATAATCATATAAAGCCGCTAATTGGATACTAGTGGCTTATTATATGGGTCAGCCCCATTTTAAACCGCAATAAACCATTACGAACCGCAAGAAACCGCAAGAAACCATTGAGAAACCGCAAAAAGCCATTGAGAAACCGCAAAAAACTATTGAGAAACCGCAAGAAACCATTTCAGCCGAAAAACTAAAGCACGTGACTTTGAATGCTTAGGCAGCCGTTGCCATTATCAGCCCGTAATAGTCGATAATAGCTAGTATTCTAAGGTAAGTTAAGAAATCAAAGTGTGTATCTAACTATCTCTAGCCTCTATTTCTGAGATAATTCAGAAAGTAAGGCGTAATATAGCTCTTAAGAATTAGACGTACAATTATATTAGGTTTGTTGCGATCTTTATATCAACAGACGATTTATGCCAGATATAGCGGCGTCTGGATCTTCAATATAATCCGGAGCTTCAAGTCCTCTATCTTCTTATCTATAATCAGCACTGATTTGGACGGAAAAAAAGCCCCTATCGTAACCAAAGTAGATGTCGGTGGCTATTGTTTCGAAGTATCTAAGTATAACTGTCAAAATTTGGCATGGTAATACACAATCAGTCGCAATCGGCTTTTTGGCAGAGCTTTGGCGATCTCCACTTTTTCAAATTACACAATTATCAACCCTTGGAGTGGAAATTGACAAAAGTTCATGATTAGGGGACTAACTTTATTGGGGTTGCCTCAAAATACCCGTAGCTTCACGTGATATATATACCGACATTGACGAGGGCCTCTTCTTCCAACTGCCTCACGAGAGTCAATCGTTTATGGACCTCTGTAAGAAGCTCGTCATCTCTCACGCAGTCAAGTCTTGAATTTATCTTTCCGGCCCTCCCTCTGTATATAGAATATACCACAATACAGACATATTGCCTCCCTGTAAGGGAGCGCGAACGGGCCCTCTGACCCTACGGTCCATGACCCCAGCGACAGGTGACCCGTTATGGCCAAAAAGCACTCTTCCTGATTCTCTTGGCTGTGTGAGGTCACCAAAAAACGCGCGGTGTTGAGGTTTGGACTCTCGTAAATGAGGAGAATTGAGAAATTTGACCGACTGCCAAAAGAAGAGGCTTAAGAGCCACGGGGCTTACATACAAACAACTATCAGCATGTGTAACCTTTGTGACTGTTATGTGCTCTTCAGCCCTCATGAAAATGAATCTCAAGCTAGTTGAGGATTTTCATAAGAATGGGAAAAGGACCGCATTGCTTAGCATGATAGCCCCCTGACTCAACCACCTTACAATTTTGGTACCCATAGGCGCGCTTTTCTGTGAGGGACGGCTGTTCATCATTTATTATCTCTAGGATTTAAATGGTTGAAAGAGCAAAAGATAATGAGAAGGAAGCTACCAGCAGCTATCTCTGTAGCCACAGATCCGGTAGACTGTTTAACAGAGGGCTTTCAAACCTGGATTATGTGTTCGCGACCTTCATGGGTAAATTAACCAACGACTCAACGGAAATTTCCAGCCGAACCATTGTCTACATGAAATAGGTTGTCGGCTGATGGATTCATCGAGAGGCAGATGTCAGATGACGATAAAAGTTTGCGATGTACGTCTAGTGTGATCTTCTGTGTCTGGGTTATT